CAACTTTCTTTGGGTCTACTTCTATCCCATCCTTCGACACTACATGTCCTAGAAAACCAACATTATCTAGCCAAAATTCACATTTTGAGAATTTGGCATATAACCGATGCTCCCTCGAGGTCCGAAGTACCATTCGTAGGTATTGCTCATGCTCTTCCTTACTCTTAGAATAAACCAAAATATCATCTATGAACACTATCACAAAGCTCGTCAAGGAATGATCCGAATACTCGATTCATGAGATCCATAAATGCTCGCAGGAGCATTAGTGAGTCCAAAAGACATCATAAGGAATTCATAGTGTCCATATCTACTTCGAATGTTATTTTTAGGATATCCTCCTTTCTTATACGCAATTGATGATATCCCGATCTCAAGTCTATTTTGGAAAAGAATTGAGACTCTTGCAATCGGTCAAACGGATCATCAATTCTAGGCAACGGATACTTGTTGCGGATTGTGACCTTATTCAACCGCCTATAGTCAATACATAGGCGTAAAGACCCATCCTTCTTCCTTACAAACAAGACTGGTGCACCCCAAGGTGACACGCTAGGCCTAATGAACCCTTTGTCGAGCAAATCTTGCAATTGCTCCTCGAGCTCCTTAAGCTCAGCTCGGTGCCATCCTATAAGGTGGCATTGATATTGGCTCGGTTCCGGGCACAACATCTATGCGAACTCTATCTCCCTCTTCAAAGGTAACCCCGGCAATTCCTCCGGAAACACATCCGAAAATTCATTCACAACTAGCACATCTTCCATCTTTGGCTCCAAAGACCTTACATCTCTTACAAAAGCTAAGTAACCACAACATCCCTCGTGCAACATACACCTAGCACTAAGTATTGACACAAGGTTATATGGAGCTAAACTTATGTCTCCCCGAAACCGGAATTCGACTCATCCGGTATGTTAAAGTTCACTATCTTCTTATTACGATCAAGAGATGCATGATATTGAGACAATCGAGTCCATTCCCAATATTACGTCAAAATCCACCAACTCAAACAATAAGAGATCCACTTAAAGATCTTTATCTCCTACCTTAACCTTGCAAGACCGATACACCAAATTTACCTCTACACTCTCTCTTGCTGGAGTGGACACTACTAAGGACTCATCTAATCTTTCCGATCGTTTACCCAACCTCTTGGCTAAGAATGGGGATATAAATGAGTGAGTAGCCCCGGTGTCAAATAATACCCGTGCATCAAAAGAATCAATAGGAAGTATACCCGACACCACCGCATTAGAAGCATGCTTATCTTGTTTAGTCAAGGCATACACCCTAGCTTGTCCACGCCCCGCAAAATCTCGATCTCTTGCCCCTACACCTCGACCTCTACCGATCCGCAATCGACTTCTACCTGTCCGAGACCGACCTCTACCGAATTGCATCGGTCCTCTACCATCGGAACCTTTATCTTTTAAACCTCGTCCACCAGCCCCATCGGTCCAATCGACAAGCATAACTCGACCGGATGAAGTAGGTGTACGTCCTCGTGACAAAAATGATGGACATTCTCTAGCAAAATGACCTTCTTGCCCACAACGATAACATCCGGACTCGTCCAACCCTACACCGGCCCCAATGCATCCCGTTACAAGTTAGACAATGAGAAGGAGTACGAGCATTTTGCCCGGATCGAGGAGGAATGCGAGTATTCCGGCTCGCTCGTGTTAAGCCCCGTCGACCGTAGCTCATAGATCCCCGACTCCTACCCACGGACGTTCCAGGCCTCTAGTGATATCCCCTCTATAAGCCCCGTTGGCCCATTTGACCCCGATGGCTTGAACCCCTACTAAATCCACCAAGTCCACTACCTCGACCCCGTTGGCCACCGGACCGCCCCTCACCTCTACTCCTTTTAGGTCGAGGACTCTGCTCTTCCGGGCGATCCACCCGAGATAACTCTATTAATCGGGCACACTCTATAGCCTCTGCATAGGTGTTCACCCTTACAAGAATCAAAAGTGCACGAAGTCGTGGCACTAAACCACCTATAAATCGAGACATCTTTAGCTCCTCCGTGCCGACTAAGTAAGGAGCATACCGGCTCAACTCCATAAATTATGCATCATATTCAGTAACGATCATGGAAGCATCCTGTCTCAATCTCTCAAATTCAAATGCCCGCCGTCGCCTAACACTCTCTGCGTAAATCTATCCATGAAAGCCTTACCGAAATCCTCCCAAATCCAATTGGAAAATCCCTCGATCTTAAACCGGCGTTTGGTCGTCCCGATCAAACAAAACTCTACTATCTCGCACCGCTTTTCGAGAATCATAACCTAATGCCTTACATCTTGCATCTATCTCCTCTAGAAACAAATGAGGATCCTCATCGATTTTCCTTCAAACCCTAGCGGCTTAAGTTTCAAGAACTCGGATAATGGCACTCCATCCTCATTAGCATGTGAAGAGGATGGTGTCATCCCCGCTTGTGCATGTAGCCTCTCATGCCGTGCAACAATATGCGTTAATAAGTTCAAGTTTTGGGCAACATCCCGTGCCCCTATAGTGGTCTGCGACCCGGTCACTCTTTCCTCCTCTGCCTCTCTCTCGTCCGTCATAAAATCTCGTCTACTACGTTTGCTACCCCATGTAACATATGGGATAGCTAGACCGAGTGTTGTACGTGGGGCTCCGGCACCCTTACCACGACCTACATTAGGGGTCCTTCCACCCTCGCTACCTCTATCGCCTCTAGTCCTCGCCATCTAGTAACAAAAGAGTTCTAATCAATATCATTTTATAACAAATACACAATATACTTAACCTAATATAATAAGAAGCGTTACGCGTAAACTAAGATGCAATGAATAACTCAAAGACAATTTGGAAACCTATAACTACTTATAGCTCCGCGGTGCAAAACCGAAGGCTTATCCTATAACTTACTTACTAGTTCAACTTTAAAGCATATCTACCAAGCCTAAACCATTGCTCCGATACCAATTTTGTTATGACCCGAACCGGCGAGCCGCGATCGGCACGTAGCCCGAGGTGGGGTGACCCACCATAGGCTACGTAAGCCTTAATCCTTTCTCTATTTCCTACGAAATTTCGACAAGCATTTCCCTTATAATTGGAGGGTCCCAAAAATAATATATATCCCGCATAAAAATCAAAACTTATGTACACTTCGAAATCATCTTCACCAATTCTCAATCATCATCAAGTCCCTCCATTGGACATTCACACTTTCTCATAAATCTCGATATTTACTAAATTGACAAAAATACACATAATCCAATATTTAACATAACCAAATTTATAAATCATCATTTAACCATCCAAATACAAAATATGAAGACCCTTAACTAGCTATCCCTGGATTTGGTGATGCTACCAACGGAGCAACTAAGTGAAATAAAATACACAATGACTAATTACAATTCCAAAATGGACAATGAATACAAATTTAAAACAACCATGTCCTATACCCGGAGGAAGCAAAATAATATTCGGGTAGTACCTTCAAATCCGGAAAATCTATCGTCCTCATTCTATGATCTAGCTTACGTATTATCTACAAAATATTTGAGGTTTAGGGGGTGAGTTTTTAAAACTCGGTAAGCATAACACATATTATAAATCGCTATACATACAATTATGCCAATGCACTTATCATACATGATTTGCAACCAAGCAAGCAATCAATAACTTTTTTTTTCTTTCTTTCTTAACAACTAATAATAACATAAAAATTTCTTGAAATCACTCTATGCGGAACTCGTCTATTCCTTTGGCCCTCAAAAGGGTAACTATGGCCCTCGCAAGGGTAACCGTAAACTCTAGCCCCCGCAGGGTAAACTCGAGGGAAGCACTCGCGGCCATTCCCTAGCCAAGCAATACTAGGTGCACCTAGGCTAACTATAACCCCGTTAGCTTAGTTAGTCCCGCATGGACTTCTTTCAAGTCATAAATCTCATTATTCTCATTCGAGCACATAGCAATCACACAATTCCATTTAATGCAAGTGATCATTATATCAACATGCACATATACCATTCAATGTATCAATATTCTCTTTAATAACCACAATTCATACGACAACATACCAATTCAATTCATCAATACTAAAGTAATTCAATTCACATGCAATTATTTTTAATAATTAAGCATTTATCCAAACAATCAATTTTTCACCTTACAAGCAATATAGACATATATGATAGTAAAGACTCATAATAGGTGTTATACTTACCTCTAATATAGAGGAACACCCCAAATTATAATTGTTTCTTCCTTAAGTAGCTTCTTCCATCAAATCCTCTTTTACCTCTATCATCATAAATTTGCATTCATCAATAATAACAATAATTAGACACTAATAAATTGAAATTTAAGCTTAATTGGACCCTAATTAACTCATTCACTCACTTTTCCCAAATTTTCTTAAGCTAATATAAACCCTAATTTTAATTAAACCTAATCCCTAATTCAAATTCTTAATTCAAGAATGAAATTCACTAAATTACATATAACCCATCCTAATTAAGGTTATAATTAACTAAAACATTTAAAAAAAAATCCAAAAACTAACTTAATAAATCTTTTTCCTTCTTCCTTATTTCACCTTTTTTTACCCTTATTTTTCTTCTTTTTACATGAGTCACTCCACCATCGCCATCGTCGGAGTGGATGGTCGCCGGTGAGTCTTCTTCTTCCTCTCCTTCCTTTTCCTCTCTTTCCTTTCTTTTTTTCTCTCTCCCCCCTTTCTCGTTTTTTTCTTTCCTTTGGTTTATGCCAATCTTCCCTCTTTGTTTCTTTCTTTTCTTTGCTTTTAAATTACCCTAATACCCCTCATTTAAAAACCCCAATTAAGTCGACTCTTGGTTTTATGGGTATTACATTGCTATATGCCATCCTTACTTGTTATTTACGTTGCTTAGAACTAATAGCTTTTCCGTAGGTTTATCTTTCTCCAGATCGAAAAGACGATAGTTGCAGCACTTTTAGAATTTGGAGAAGTCACCGAAGCTAAAATAGTAATGGACAAACCTAGAAACAGACCTAAAGGTTATGGATATGTGACCTTTTCCAAGAAGGACGATGTCATCAAAGCTTGTAAGGGGATGAATGGAAAGGTAATTGCATTGCTTCCCATGACTCCATTCTCTAAGCTATCATACCAAGAATAACATTTGATTACTTGCATACTGCTAGATGGACGAGCCATTTATGTAGGGTTTTGAATTTACTAGTGTGCCGAGTAGCAAGAACTCCCTCGTAGCCTCATTTCGAAGAGGATACCCGAAAGGCGGAACTCGTAAGGAATAATTGATATTATTTGCCTTTGCTACCGAGCTTCTTGTTTTTTGGGGGCATGAAATGTGCGAGGGTAGAAAAGATGAGTTCATTTTTGTGAAATAATTTTAATTTATGGTCAACCTTTTGTTCTATTATTTTGTCAATATTGTGTTTCGTGCTTTTAGGAATAAATTATAAAAAAATTAATTTCCCTTGTTTATTCAGTAGTTTCACATTTGCCAAAGAAACTCTAAGAAACATCAATCATTTCCAATGAGATCCCTATATTTTGATCATAAATAGCAACATCAGCTTCATGCGTAGCTTCATAAAAAGCGATCACAAAGAAATCGAGTTGATTATATTTAATTTAATATCATAAAAAATTGAATTGATCATATTTAATTTAATATTATTTTATTTTAAAAAATATCATTAGTTTTTTTTCTATTTTTTCATTTTTTTAAAAAAATCAGAATATATTTTTTAAAAAAATTAAATTACAAAAAAATTTAAAATTTAAATAATTTTGACTAAGTATGAATATAGTCATTACATTCATGAACCTAGTTACATGTGATGTGCCATTAATATAATATTTAGTATTACGTATGTAACAATTAAGGGATGTCTAGTTATATGTGTATGAGTATCTCTATATATAATTATAAGTGAGTTGATGTTATGTAGAGTGGAGTGAGTTAAGTTTCTAAGAAATAAAGTGTCTTTTATCAAGTGTTCTTGTGTCTCCTCCCTCTTCAAGTAATTTCCTTCTTGTTATCTTTGTGTGGTGTTTGAAATCTATCCCCAACAAATTGGTATCGAGCTCGAGTGAGGTTCCTATCTCCAACAAGTGATAGAAGTACACAATTAAAGAAGTTTTTCTCCGGGTTTATTGAAAAGAGAACCCGTTGAGTTGGTGTGAGTTAAGAGTTAGACTCCATAAGAAAAGTAAAGAACTGGTGAAGAGTTCTTTTAAAAGCAAAAGTGAGGTCAAGAAGAGAACCTTGTAAGATGAAATGGCGTGTATTGTGCCTATTTTTGTTTCAACACCATTCAAAATGTTTTTGAAGGAATTACTTGAAAAATTGAATTTGCCTCCGGCAAATTATTCGTGTGAAAAGTTTGGGCAAGATCATTCTCCATAATTTATTGCTAAAGTTGAGTTTGAAGATAGGTTGGGAAAACATACCCAATATGGATTCAAGGCATATACCAAGAAAGATGCAAAAAATGAAGTAGTTTTGCGTGTGATAAGACATTTGAAGTTTGTCTATGATATTATCATAAAGGATATTAATGAAAGAGAATTATATGAAACAAAGTTTGATTTGAGCCAAATACGGGATGTATATGAGGATTTGAGGAAAGATTATGATAATGTTGTCCAAGAAATGCAAGAACTGAAGAAGAGACTAGAAGAAATGAAATTTGGAGAATCAAGCACTAATGGAGTAAATTTTAGAGTTCCAAGAAGAGTTTTTACTATTCGAGATTTTTCTCTTGGATGTGGATCAAGTAATTTTTGAAAAGTCATGACCAAGTGGATAATTAAGTTTACGAGAGGATGTTGGAAAGTATAAATAAATAAGTATGAATGTAGTCATTATATTCATGAACTTAGTTATGTGTGATGTGTCATTAATATAATGTTTAGTATTCTATATGTAATAATTAAGGAATATCTAGTTATAGGTGTATGAGTATCTCTATCTATAGTTATAAGTGATTTGATGTTATGTAGAGTGGAATGAGTTAAGTTTCTAAGAAACAAAGTGTCTTTTATCAAGTGTTCTTGTGTCTCCTACCTCTCAAAGTAATTTCCTTCTTGTTATCATTGTGTGGTGTCCGAAATCTATCCCCAACGGACTAAGTTACGGTAATGTTAATTAAGTATTATCAAATTGCAAGTGGGGTTAGCCAATTCTTTGTCCTGGCCTATTTGCTCTCTCCTTTCCAACGAGAATCCCATATAATTATACAAGTTATTACTTGATGTGCATAGCATAGTTTCGATGTTTTAAGAATAACAATAATGAATAAGTCTAAATCCGTTAAATAACAACTATTAGGATACGTAACGAGTCATCGTCCGAAACTATTGTGATGTTTCAAAACGTGGAGGCTGGAGCCGGGCACCCAACAACTTCCTTGGAGGGTGATGTTTACCATTTGCTTGAGGATGAATAAAATGAGTCGGTTGTCGAAGGACAAACTATTGTGTTGGCATGTAAGACAAGTAAAGACACTAACAAATCCCGACGACCCATTGAAATAGGAAATAGAAATGGAGTTCTTTTTTTATTTATTAATTATTATCGAAGTTAACTTGAGGTGATCTTTACTAGTAAACGGAAATTATTTTTTTAAAAAAAAATCTTAATGATGTATCCTTCGTATTGGTTGGGTAATGGGTACTTTCAAAAAAAAAAAAAAATCTCCTTATTCGAATTTAAAAAATTAAGAATTTTCTTAATCAATATACTAATTTTTTTATTTCTTAAAATTTCTAATAGAGTCTAAGACTTGTTCTGTGATGCTCATTATATATATATATAACTTTAGCGTGCCATACATGCCTTGTTGAAAATTGGAAACTTAACTTTAGCGTGTCATTCGATCTTTTGTCATGAAATGCGTCCGTGGGCGCGTTAATTTTCAAAGACTTACAGATATTTACTTCTGACACAATTTGCAGTAGTTTACTATTATTTTCTCCAGTGATCATGCTTCTGATTAATTTTATTTGCAACTTGTCTATCGCTTGAAAATCAGGGTCAATGACCGTTCATCCACCAGCAACGACAACCCCATTAAAATTATTTTATTTTCATCTTTGTCTTTCACCATTTTACAATCTCATAGCATTCCTTCCATCTTTTCCTCTTTCGTCTATCATTTTCCTTCACTCTGCAATTTCTTCTGTTCAAACCCTATTTATCTGTCTCAGTTTACTCCTCTCTATTCCTTTCCTTCCACTCTCTTTTCTTTGGTTTTCCACACTTCTTAATCTGTGAACTCTCCTTCTCTTCCTTCAAAGTCCTTGCCACCGAAAAAAAAAAAAAAACATAAGATCTCTCGTTACTTCTCTCCCTAGCTTTCTTGTGTTGCAAGCTTCAGAAGCTAATTGTCACCAGTTTCTGTAAGATATTCAACAGTATCTTTCATTTTCAAGGTTAATTTCACCGGCTTTGGCCATCTTTAACTAAGGTTTCCAAGCTTTCTGCAGATTCAAAGGTAATGCGAAAAACTATTAAGTCCATGTTCATTGTCTTAGTTTCTCAAGTTAAACATATTGCTACTAGCTAGTTTCTTAGATTATTCTGGGTGGCTCTAAAAATACTGTTACTGGATTTCAAATAGTTTGTTTTTTAATACAAAAGGCTGTCATGTAATTACCAGGTTGTTGATCCTCTTAGTAATGATGGTTTCATCATAGTTGAGAAGCAATCATGTTAAGCTCTTTATATGTTTTGATTTCTTCATTATTTTTTCTTGTTTGATCAAATTAATTTCCCTCACTTTTTAAGTTTCTTTAAGCTCTTCAATCATTTAAAAAACATAAAAAAAAAGAAAAAAAGTAGGGTCTTAGGTTCCTTAGATAGAGATGATTAGTTTTCATTTCAAATTCAAGGTATCCATTTACGGCTAATCAAAAGTATTTGCTCAAAATTCTTATTTTAGATTTGCTTCTTTTTTTTTTTTCCCCAATTAACTGTTTGACTTTCATTTTTATTCAAAAAATTTGACCAATCTGTTTATGTGATTGTGTCTGCAGAGCCACTAAAGAAAAAGAAGTTAAAAATGGTTCGATCATTTTGGGTTTACACTGAGAAACAGAGTGATGGCCGGTCGAGGTGCGTATTTTGTCGGCATACATTTGGGGCTGGTACTTCTGTTACCAGGATCAAATGGCACTTATCAGGAGTTGAAGGGCAAGGCGTTGAGATTTGTAGGCAAGTGCCGACTGATGTCAAAGATGAGGCTCTTCTAGCTTGTCAAGTTGCAAACAAAAAACGCAAAACCATGCCTAGTTCAAGCAATATTAATGTGGGCACGGCAACTTCAACTTCTCCACAAGCACAGAACACCGAAGTTGCCAATCCGATGAGTATTATAGAACCAGATGAAATGATCAGAGGCCCACTACTAGGGGCAGAGAGAAACGTCTGTTGTACAGAAGTAGAAAATCATACAGAAGACATGAATGAAGAAACGGCGCAGACAATTATGAGAAGGATGGCCACTCCTGAGAGGCTTCCCGTTCACCAACATGATAGTAGAGTGCCAGTACAAAACAATGAAGATTCAGGTACACAACAAGAAGTTGGGGAAGAGAGAGAATTTTCCGGAGCAAGAATTCAGAAAGAAAAAACGACTGGAGAAACATCACAGCAAATTCAGGGAAGTATCACTCCTGAGAGACCTCCAGGTGATGAACATGAGACTAGACAGCTGCTAGCAGATGAAGTGGGTCCAGTGATTGAAAATAATTGGGGTGCGATTCACGCTTTCTCAATGAGGAATAGTGGCACAATTTCAACTTCTTTGCTAGTACAAAACGATGAAGTAGCAGAAGCTGATCCTTTTGATGCTCTCCAGCCATTGCTTGGAAAGTTGATGTCAGAGTGGGAATCAAGATTGTCGCTAATTAATGACGTGCTTGACGAGGCAGACCAGAAGCCAGATACAAACCAGGCTATGAAAAATTGGCTCAGCAAGCTCAGAGACTTGGCTTATGATGTGGAGGATATACTTGACGAATGCCAAACAGAAGCCTTGAAAAGAAAGTTGAAAGGTGCAAAGTCTCAAGCCAGCACAAGTACAGTGCAACCAAGTGCTGTTCTGCCTAATGGACCCAAGCTACAGGGGATTCCTGCCAGATGGGAAGATATCATGAAAGAGAGAAGTGATCTTGGCTTGGACATAAATGTTACACGGAGGTCCAACAAAGCAAACCCAAGAGTGCAGACAACATCACTGGTCAAGGAACATAAGGTATATGGGAGGGAAAACGCGAAAGAGGATTTAGTTCAATTATTAATGAAAGACGAACTAAGCAACTCTCGGTATTCTGTGATTCCAATTGTTGGGATGGGCGGGATTGGGAAAACCACTCTTGCTCAATTCGTCTACAATGATACGAGGGTGAAGTTTGACTATAAAGCTTGGGTTTGTGTTTCCGATGATTTTGACATTCTTAGACTAACCAAAACGATTCTTTTACATTGGCAAAGATGTGAAGATAGTGATCTAAACATTGTTCAAGAAAAATTAAGGGAGAAGTTGCTTGCGAAGAAGTTTCTCATTGTTCTAGATGATGTTTGGGAGCATAGCTACGAGGATTGGACTACACTTTGTGCTCCTTTTGCTGCAGGAGCACCAGGAAGTAAAATCATTGTCACGACTCGTGGAAAAGATGTTGCTTTAAGGATACGTTCTGTCTCTCCTTGTATGTTGAAAGAACTTCCACATGATGAATGTCTATGCCTCTTTGCCCAACATGCTTTGAACGCAGAAAATTTTGACGCAAATCCAGATCTGAAAGAAGTGGGGCAAAAGATCGTACAAAGGTGTAAGGGATTGCCTTTGGCAGCCAAGACCCTTGGAGGACTTCTGCGCCATAAACAAAACCTTGAAGATTGGGAAGACATAGCCAACAGTGAGATATGGGAGCTATCCGTGGGAGAAAGTGTCATTCTTGCACCTCTAAGATTGAGCTATCTTCACCTACCTTCCCCTTTGAAGAGATGCTTTGCGTATTGTTCAATTTTCCCAAAAGACTACGAATTTGATGAGAATGAGTTGGTTTTGCTCTGGATGGCAGAGGGTTTTCTGCAGAAAACAGAGCAAAAGAAGCAGGGGAAAGACTTGGGCCATAAATATTTTAAGGAGTTATTATCAAGATCACTTTTCCAAGAGTGTAGTGGAAAGGAATCACGGTATGTAATGCATGATCTCATAAGTGATCTTGCTCAGTCTGTTAGTGGAGAAATATGCTCTCATTTGGATGCTACGAAGTCAAGTGGTGCAACATCATATGCAAAGGTTCGCCATTTGTCACTCATTTCTCACCAGTGTGGCACCTCACAAAGGTTTGAACCTTTCTATGAAATGGAGAGTTTGCGGACATTACTGGCAATTCGAAGTTCATCATTTGGACTATGGACGCACTTATCAAATAAGGTGTTAGACGACTTGGTACCAAAGTTAAAATGCTTAAGGTCACTATCACTAGCTTATTATTGTATTAAGGAGTTGCCAAGATCTATTGGTGCCTTGAAGCATTTGCGCTATCTTGACTTGAGCTACACTTCAATTGAAAAGTTGCCTGAATCAATGGGTGAACTGTTGAACTTGCAGACATTGATATTATGTGGTTGTAGAGCACTTGAGGAGTTGCCAGCATGGATCGGTAATCTAATCAATTTGGGGTACCTTGATATAAATGTCACACCTCGTTTGCAAAAGATGCCATTGAAGATATGTAAATTAAAAAATCTCCGCTTCATGCCTAAGTTTGTTATTGGAGATGGCATTGGACTTGGGATAGGAGAGTTGACGAGGCTTCCAAATCTCCAAGGGCAGCTTCACATTGAAGGGTTGCAGAACATTACAGACATTCGAGATGCAAAGATGGCGAATCTAAAGGAGAGGCATGGCTTAGGTGAATTAACATTGGAATGGAGTTCCGGTTTCCGAGATGCACGAAATGAAAGCCATAAGAAGCAACTCCTCAGCTCACTAGAACCACATCGAAGTCTAGAAATACTTTCAATTATCTCATATGGTGGTACAGAATTTCCATCGTGGGTTGGGGATGCATCATTCTCTAAAATGGTGAAGCTAAAGTTAAGTGGTTGTCATAAAATCACATCATTGCCATCACTTGAAAAACTTCCAGCTCTTAAGCATTTGAGGATACAAAGGATGAATAAGTTGAGAGGAATGACTGTTGAGAATTTTCCATCTTTGGAGACTCTGTACATAGGGGTTCTGTTGGAGTGGGAGCATTGGGATTCGTCTGATGGTCGCAATGAAGAACCAGCTGGTGGAAAATTTCCTAAGCTGGTTGAGCTTACACTGCAAAACTGTCCTAAGTTAATTGGGAAATTGCCCGGGTGCCTTCCATCCCTCAAAAAGCTTCACATTTCTGGTTGTCCACAATTAACAAATTTACCTGAAATGGTTCCATCTCTTCGAGAATTGAAAGTGGAATGTTGTGACGAGGTGATTTTCAGAGTGGTGCCTAATTTCACCTCCCTCACTACCTTGGAAATTCGTGAAATTTCAGGCCTTGTGGGTTTACATGAAGCATTTGTAGAGGCCTTAGTAGCACTTGAGGATCTGAAAATTAAACACTGCCGTGAACTGAAGTACTTGTGGCAAGATGGCGTTGATGTGGACAAACTTGCTAATCTACAGAGTTTGTGTATCCTCTGGTGTAAGCAGCTCGTGTCATTGGTGGAGGGAGCGGAAGGCATTTTGCCGTACTCTCTCAAAAGGCTTGAAATGAGATGGTGTGATTCTATGGAGTCGCTGCCTGATGGGATGATGACAGTGATGAATAGCAACAATAGCAATCAGTGCCTTCTAGAAGAGTTGGTGATACAAGACTGTCCATCGCTCAAATCACTTCCCAGGGGGAAGTTGCCTGCTACAATCAAGAAATTAGATGTTGAAGGATGTAAAGAATTAGAGTCTGAATATAGGTTTCTAGAAGGAATTATGCGGTGTGATGCCCACCTTGAGTATTTGCGGGTATCCAAATTCTCCATCCAATCCTTTCCAACTGGCAAGTTTCCTACTTCTCTTGAAACAATTGAATTTGACGGTTGCAGAAGAATACAATCACTGCCTTCCCTACTTAACCTCTCCCATCTCTCTCGATTGACAGTAGAATACTGTAATGAGTTGGAGTCATTCTCAGATCAGGAATTGCCCAGTCTTACCTCTTTATTTATATGTGATTGTAAGAAATTGAGATCTCTACCCAATCACATGGACAGCCTTCGACAATTATGGATCTTCAGTTGCCCCGATCTGGTGTCCTTTCCTGAGACGAGTTTGCCTCCTAAGCTAACTTCACTGGTCGTGATGGGTTGCAAGAATCCGAGACAGCCAATATCAGAGTGGAGACTGCATACACTCACATCTCTTCAACAGCTCAGAATCTCCAATACAACAGATGAGGATTGCTTTCCAGATGATGATGGTCTACTGCTTCCCATTTCGCTAACTTCGCTTCAAATCGATAATCAAAAGAAACTCAAATCCATATCCAGTGGCATCCAACACCTCACCTCTCTTGAACAATTACGGTTTTGGGATTGTCCTGAACTCCAAGTCTTGCCAAAGGAGGGCTTCCCTGCTGCACTTGGACTTCTACAAATCATTAATTGTCCTCTTCTGGGAGAAAGGTGCTTAGAAGAGGAAGGGGATTATTGGCCCATCATTGCACACATCCCTCGAGTTCAAGTACAGTCTAACCATACCCACCCACAAAGCCATGTGAATCAGGTAATTCTTCCTTTATTTATGTTTTTTGTCCCCCGGAACAATGGTAAAAATATAACTAAAATTGCATTAATTGCTAAATCATTTTTGCAGCATTCAATTGTTTTTAGGAAAACTTTTCTAAATACAGTTTGTTGCCCGTATCTTTTAATGGTTTTATAGTTTTCGATCTTAGTCACAACAGTCTGGCCTCTAGTCCATCCATGTCTTCGTTTACTTAAATATTACTTATGTTTCAGTCCTTTGATTATGATTTAGCTAAAATGCCAACCCTATTTAGCTTGTGGCAAAACTTGTTATGCCCAGGTTGAAATATACTGTCAGGTTATAATAATCCGTTCTGACTACTAGTGCAACCTCAACCATTCTAGTGAGAATAGCTTCTATAATTCATTTACTAATTCTGCCAGGTAACCATCTGATGAACTGAACAATAAGAGGGATGATGGACTTCGATGTGGCTTAAGCTCTAGAAGTTGTGAAGCGGGGAGGCATGCTAGCTAGATAATAAGACTTGAAGGGCAGGTAGACTTACAGCAGAGATCTATGGCTGTTGGAACTCACTTATTATGCTATGAACTACGGAGGTATGTTATGTTTGCCAATGTCTTCAACTCTTAGAAGTAATGAATACAAATATAATTATGCACCATTTTTTCATAGAATTTTTCATAGTAGCAGTATCTGATTTTAGAAACTGTTGTATGTTACCATGTTTGCAGGCACTGTGTTTTTACAATTTCTAAGGAACAGAAGCTTGCTTTAATAGTCCAGAAGCCTGAATGCTCTTACGCTGGAGTATATGAAGTTATCATAACATTCCCATGGAGCGTTGGACATATTCTTTAAGAAATATGAGGAACATATCAGGAATGCTTGCTGTTGTGCATCTCATTAAGAGTGTTGCTGTCAGATCGTAAAAGGCTAGGAGATTCTTTATTTTGTCCAAGTCGTATGAGCAAGTTGATCTAGGGGAAAGCTTAGGAGCAGCATATTTAGTGCCCAATTACTGGCCAGTTGTGTTGTTTCGGCAATGGGCTATGCAACATGTTTTCAGCTTACGCAGCAGTTAGCTAGGTGACATTCTGTGAGTCTTGTGAGTTTGTGTGTATGGGGATTAGAATAAGATGCCATCCTTCCATAAATCCCAGGAGAATTCTGGATTACAAAACCAAAAAGGAAGAAGTGCGAATCAGGTACTCTTCCTTTACCAGCTATTTAGGAAAATGATTTAAAATCCTTTCTCTTGTTTACTCCGCCACCTCTCTTGAAGAATTATGGATTGCTGGCTGATCTAAACTCCATGTCTTGCCACAGGAGGGTTCCCTGCCACACTTGGATATCTGCTCATCAATTCCTCTCCTCTTCTGAAAGAAAGGTGCTTAAAAGAGGAAGGAGATTATTGGCCCCTCGTTGCACACATCCCTTGTGTTGATATTGATGAAGCAGAATCTGATGAAGAGATATCTGAAGAAGAGACATCCAATGCAGAGATATCTGACGATGACACATCTAACGAAGAGGCAACCAACGGTGATTGGATAGAATGTGGTATTCTCTTCCATCCAAAACAGTTGTTTTGTCTACTCCATCACTATATTTCACCTTCTCGCTTTTTTTTTCCTTATCTTTTCATAATATTATTTCAAAATAGAACTCCTTTTCTTTTAACTTGATATTGTTGCAGATAACACAGTTATTTTCTTGGTGTTTGGTAAAATATTGATGTTACTTAATATTTGAATTTCGAAAATGGGTGGGATCTATTTATATGCTGTCTTGTCAGGTATGTATTAAAGTAGACGCTTGGTTAAAGCATACTTGAATGAATTTCAAAGTGCTTCCACATTTACCTGGTGTTTCTGCATTTTGGAATGCAGGTTCACCGATGAAGCATTTTTCCTGAAGTTGTGTTCTTCTCCACTGTTCCCTTGTGCAATTATGGATCCTTTGTCATACTGAATCACTCTTGCTGCTTCAGTTCTTTTCTTGAATATGTGGTTAAAGGACTCTTGGGCTTCTGATTGACTTGGGATGCAATCCTCTGAATAAGCATATATTCCAGCACCCTGTGCTTTACAAACTCAAGGTCAAGGGCTCGTGGACAGTAACAAATAGATGGTAAGTTGTGTGTTGCACGGTTAGACTTTTATTAGTTATAGACTCAGTTAAAACCTTACCTTTAGTGCATTTTGGATTCCCTCAGAGTCCCATTAACAATTCTATACAAGCATGGAAATTCTTCTTTAAAGTTGTTACGAGAAAACTTTCTTGAACTGAACTTTTGAAACATTACTGTAATATGTGCAGTCTTGAACCTTCGATCTTTCTGCTTCGCAAAATGCACGAGTCTTGTGGTATCCCATCTACCTTTGGAGCATCATGGATCTTCAATGTGCATACCTGTTGCTTCAGAAAAAAAGTGTACAATTCTGAACAATTGAGCATATCTCCACTAAATAATATTATGCTCTCTGCAAATTCTGCTGATTTTATTTCAACAATGTCCTGCTGAGTTTATCTTCACTAATGCATTTGATTTGCTGCTGTAGGAAGGTGGAGAAGTGACGTGGCTGAAGTTCAAACTTTTGTAACCAAGGTTATAACCTTTATACCTGGAGGTACCGTGTGCTTGCTCGTGCTTTAACTCCTAAAGGTGAACGAATACAGAAACAAGTGCGCACCCACTTTTTTCGTATAATTTCGGCATTGGTTCTTTCCTGTACCAGATTTTCAGAAACTGTTGAATGTTTCCAGGTTTGCAGGAATTGTTTCATTATGATCCAAGAAATAGAAACTTGCTTCAATAGTCCAGAAGCAGAATTTCCTCTGAGAGCATGAAGTTATTCCACTATTCCCAAGTTTCGGATGACATGAAGATTAGTTAATTTACAAGGAAAAGAACAACAGAGCAAATGCATCACCTTAGGACCCTGGGTCGTAGTGTTGCCTCCTATCAGATCATGAAGGTTAGGAGAAGAGGTGTTAAGGTCGTCAAAGTCTTGCGAACAAGTTGGCGTAAGGGAAAGCTTAGGAGCAAATCCTTTTGAGGGGCCTAAGGATAGATTAGTTTTGCTGTTTCTGCCCGCTATCCATTAGAGGTATCTTTTGTGTTGTATTCAGCTCACATATCAGTTCAATGACCTGTTTCTCAATGCTCTAGTCCCTGAGTTGATGGTCGTTGGATCCAAGAGGATACTAGAGGAGGATACTTGAATGAGTTGATGGTCATTTATAATTTACCATATTTAAGTGCTGTTTTATTTATAATTTTCAGGAACAAAATCTGATTTTTTATTTTTTATTTTTTACTTATTTTGTTCACACAATTAAGCAAATACAATGGTAAGAAATAATTCATCAAATACAATGGTAAGAAATAATTCATCAAATACAATGGTAAGAAATAATTCATGCAAAATAACTCTAAATTTCTCTTCGGAACTTAAATATTTTTCACATTAGTAGATAATTTAAAATGTTTGTAAATAATAAAACTTAAATAAATGTATTTATATAATTGGAGGACTTATTTGAAGCTTGCCCAAAATGGTTTAACTCTCCGCTCCGAGTAAATTATAAATTAGCTTCCTTGTTTTTTTTATGAATGAATTAATTTGTCCGTTAAAAAAAAAACTAATTATTTAATTTTATATTTTTAAATCTACTCCTAACTTAATCATTTTTGCTCTTTTAAAATTTTTTAATTTGAAAAAAAAAAAGAGAAAAAATATATAAAAAACGAAAAAATTAATAAAAGAAGAAGCTATTTTGTAAAATAAAAATAATATTAAATTAAGTATAGTGGTTAAAGAATTAAATAATAATTTTAAAACAAAAGAAACTAATAAATTCGTTTATTGAAACTAGAGGGACTTATTTATAATTTACTTCCTACTCCTGTTGTCCTTGCTCTCCACACAGCAAAATTACTTCCTTCATAAATTGCCCTGCATCTCTTCCCAAGAATTGAAATGGCAGCATTCAAAGGAATTACCCAATGCTCTCTCAAACTTTTCTCCCAACCTCAACTCCATCCCCTACTGTTCTTCTCCAGAGGATTCTCATCCAAACTTTTTGTTAAAGGTATTCTCTCTCCTGAAGAAATTTAGCCTATGTGTTTGCTGTTGGTGTTTGGAAACAATACAAATTTTGTAACACCCAACAGAAATTTAGCATTCGTTTCTTGGTCTCAGTAAGTTCAATCAATTTATTAAAAAAAACCCAACATATTTCATCCAAATTTGTTATTAATTGGAGTTAAATTTTAGGATTAGTTTTGTGGAAGAATAGGGGAAAAAGGAAGGTTTTTTTCTTCTTCTTCTAATTTGAATGATATGATCAGTCATGTTTTCTGCTTCCCATTTGAACGTACACCAAGTCATTTAAAGATGAAACAAGATTTGGAACTTCTTGCTTTCACTTCACATTTGCACAGTCTGCACAACCTAGTTTACAGGTCTCATTTCTGTCCAACATGACTCAGGGATTTGCCAGGTTTATCTACTTCTTTCTTAGCCTGGCTAGCATAGGAGTCATTTTTGTAATCTAGTTAATCTAAAGCCCTAAGTTCTTACGTTTCAGTTGAAACTTAAAAGCCTCTTTAGTTGTACAAACTTAAAGAGTTTTGTCTATTTGTTCTAAAGATTGCTCCTGTTTCTGCTTAAGGTTGAGCTACTTTTCTTCAAATTTGTCTGTTCAGATGAAAATATCCTAGAATTGTACGTATGGGGTTCATATGTTCTGCTATGAGCTTTGCTTTGCTAGCATGTTCAAGGATTATTTGGTATACAGTTGGACAAACTTGGTGCTTTCCCACATAAGTAATATGCTGCCTGAGTATGTCTGATTTACTGCATTATACCCATGATGAGTCAATTTAGCTACTGCAGTATTTTGAATTCTGGGTTGGGAGTTGCGGAGTATGTGCTCGTATAACTCAACTGAACCTTGATTTCGAACCATCAGTCACAGGTGTCTTCTTTCGATTCGGTGCTTTTTATTGTTTTCTTGCTTTTGGGACAAAAGGATGTGATTGCTTTTGTGTTGGCAGCCTACCTCCTGCAACTCTGCAACCCTCCTGCAGCCAGGCTTCAACCAGATATACTGGATTTCGATTGATATCTAATCCAATTAACACAGGACTATGCTGTCTTTCAATCTAGAAGCTATATCCTTGCTATATGCCATCCTTACTTGTTATTTCTGTTGCTAGAACTAATAGCTTTTCTGCAGGTTTATCTTTCTCCAGTACCGAAAAGACGATAGTTGCAGCATTTTCAGAATTTGGAGAAGTCATTGAAGCTAAAATAGTAATGGACAAAGCTAGAAACAGACCTAAAGGTTATGGATATGTGACCTTTTTCACCAGGCTTCTTGTTTTTGGGGGGCATGAAATGTGCGAGGGTAGAAAAGATGAGTTCATTTTTGTGAAATAATTTTAATTTATGGTCAACCTTTTGTTCTATTATTTTGTCAATGTGGTGTTTCAGGCTTTCAGGAATAAATTATAAATTAGTTTCTCCATTTTTTAGAAATAAATAAATTAATTTCCCTTGTTTATCCAGGAGTTTCACATTCGCCAAAGAAACCCTAAGAAACATCAATCATTTCCAATGAGATCCATGGAGCAATTCTTAGATAGCAACACCGGCTTCCTGTGCAACTTCATAAAAAGCAGTCACAAAAAAATCGAGTTGATCATATTTAATTTAATATCACAAAAAATTAAATATATCATATTTAATTTAATATTATTTTATTTTAAAAAATATCATTAGTTCTTTTCTATTTTTTTCATTTTTTTTATTTTTTAAAACAAAAAATCAGAATATATTTTTTTAAAAAAATTAAATTAGAAAAAATTTTAAAAATTAAATAATTAATTTTTAAAACTAATTAATTCATATCTCGAAGCTAGAGAACTAATTGTAATTTACTACTTTCAGGGACTTGGACTGTTGCAATCTAATTTTTCTTAAGGGAACACAAAAAAGATGTCCCCCTAATTATACCAACATCTCAATTTTGCCCCCAAACAAATTTTTGTATCAATTTTGTCCGTAAAGAAAGTTTTAATCATGTCCTCTCATCCCTATATTTTGATAATAAAAACCATCCAAATAAAAAATCAACGCCACAAGCAGCCATTCTTTATCAAGGCAAACCTTAAAATCAAGAAATTGGGAAATCTAATTTCCATTGGAAACTGCAGGAATTATGGTGCCAAAAGTACAGATTATCCTCTGCAAAAAGTGCAGGCTATAGTATCAAACATCCTTCACCAAAATTTTTCTTCAATCTACGTTAACATATCTCAACTCATTCATCAAATAGGTCCTCAAGACATTTAAATTCCGATGCATAAAAAAATGTCTTTTACAACAAACAGAAATATCAGGTGACCACAATCAGCAATGCATGACGTAACTACGAAAAGAAAGTGCAGTAAAAATGCAGCTGTGAAAATGAGAGAGAGGTACATTAAAAACATAATTGCCATGTGGAGAAATATATGTTTAGTTTACCTTTAGTTGAATCGTAGAGTGTGAACATCCCGTCAAGCACCTCATGTTGCATGGTACTTCATGAGTATGATCTTCTAATTCCTGCAGAAGGATAGAAGCAAGTCAAGGCCCACATATGTTCAAGAAGAAGCTTTTCTAGCAACTGATGGTGGGAATAAAAGGTTTAAGATCATGCCCAGTTCAAACAATAATGAGGTGGGCTATTCAACTTCAACTTCTCCACAAGAACAGAACAACGAAAATGCAAACCTGATAAGGGATACAGAAAGGATATTAATGGAAGAGAGAAATTCATCAAGTGTTGTAGCAGGAATTCAGACAGAAAACTGGAGCAGAGAAACATCGCAGTCCATCCAGATAGAAAACTGGACCAGAGAATAGTTGGGCTGAGATGTTAGCTTTGTCAATGAAGGATCCTGTCTTGATCAATGAGGCAAATACTACAATTTCAACTTCTTTGCAAATACAGAAGGAAAAAGAAGCAGAAGCTGATCTTCAGCTTTTGTTTGGAAAACTTATGTCGGAGTGGGAATCCAGATTGCTGCAAATTCGTTCAATGCTCGATGATGAAGAACAGAAGCAACTGACAAATCAGGCTATGGAAATCTGGTTCGACAAGCTCAGGGACTTGGCTTGTGACGTGGAGGACATAGTGGACGAATTTGAAACAGAAGTCTTGACAAGCAAGTTAAAAAGTGCAGAATCTCAAGCCAGCACAAGCACAGTGCAACCAAGTGCTGCTATGCCTAATGGACCCAAGCTACAGGGGATTGCTGCCAGATGGGAAGATATCGTGAAAGAGAGAAGTGATCTTGACATAAATGTTATACGGAGGTCCAACAAAGCAAACCCAAGAGTGCAGACAACATCACTGGTCAAGGAACCTAAGGTGTACGGGAGGGAAAAGGCCAAAGAGGATTTAGTTCAATTATTGATGAAAGACGAACCAATCAACTCTCGGTATTCTGTGATTTGTAGCTACTGTACTGTTGTGAACTTAGTCATGTTGGCATTTATTTTTATGAATGCAGATCTTGCCGCGGTGAATCGAAAGGTATACGTATGATTGTTTTATGATTGGTTGGGCAAACACCGTTGGAAAGAAAACTTAATTGTGAGTAAGTATGAATAAAGTCATTACATTCATGAATCTAGTTATGTGTGATGTGTCATTAATATAATGTTTAGTATTCGTGTGTAATAATTAAGGGATGTCTAGTTATATATGTATGAGTATCTCTATATATAATTATAAGTGATTTGATGTTATGTAGAGTGGAGTGAGTTAAGTTTCTAAGATACAAAGTGTCTTTTATCAAGTGTTCTTGTGTCTCCTCCCTCTCCAAGTAATTTCCTTTTTGTTATCTTTGTGTGGTGTTTGAAATATATCCCTAACAAATTGGTATCGAGCCTAAGTGAGGTTCCTATTTCCAACAAGTGGTAAAAGTACACAATTAAAGAAGTTTTTCTCCAAGTTTGTTGAAAAGAGAAACTGTTGAGTTGGTGTGAGTTAAGAGTTAGACTCCATAAGAAAAGTAAAGAACTGGTGAAGAGTTCTTTTAAAAGCAAAAGTGAGGTCAAGAAGAGAACCTCGCAAGATGAAATGGAGTGTACTTGTGCTCGTTGTTGTTTCGAGCACCATTCAAAATGTTTTTGAAGGAATTACTTGAAAAATTGAATTTGCCTCCGGCAAGTTATTCGTGTGAAAAGTTTGGATAAGATAATTCTCCAGAATTTATTGCTAAAGTTGAGTTTGAAGATAGATTGGGAAAACATACCCAATATGAATTCAAGGCATATACCAAGAAAGATGTCGAAAATGAAGCGAGTTTTGCGTGTGATAAGACATTTGAAGTGTGTCTATGACATTATCATAAAGGATATTAATGAAAGAGAATTATATGAAACAAAGTTTGATTTGAGCCGGATGCGGGATGTATATGAGGATTTGAGAAAAGATTATGATAATGTTGTCCAAGAAATACAAGAACTGAAGAAGAAACTAGAAGAAATGGAATACGGAGAATCGAGCACTAATGGAGTAAATTTTAGAGTTCCAAGAAGAGTTTTTGCTATTCGAGATTTTCCTCTTGGATGTGGACCAAGTAATTTTTGAAAAGTCACGATCGAGTGGATAATTAAGTTTACGGGGGTTGTTAGAAAGTAAACTTAATTATGGCCAAGTATGAATGTAGTCATTACATTCATGAACCTAGTTATGTGTGATGTGTCATTAATATAATGTTTAGTATTCGTGTGTAATAATTAAGAGATGTCTAGTTATATGTGTATGAGTATCTCTATTTATAGTTATAAGTGATTTGATGTTATGTAGAGTGGGGTGAGTTAAGTTTCTAAGAAACAAAGTGTCTTTTATCAAGTGTTTTTATGTCTCCTCCTTCTCCAAATAATTTTCTTCTTATTATCTTTATATGGTATCCGAAATCTATCCCCAACAAACACATCTAAGTTACGGTAATGTTAATTAAGTATTGCCAAATTGCAAGTGGGGTTAGCTAATTCTTTGTCCTGGCCTATTTGTCCTCTTCTTTCCGTGAGAATCCCATATAATTATACAAGTTATTACTTGATGTGCATAGCATAGTTTCGACGTTTTAAGAATAACAATAATGAATAAGTCTAATTCTTACGTTAAATAATAAGCGTTAGGATACGTAACGGTCATCGTACGAAACGTGGAGAGCTGGATCCGGGCACCGGCAACTTCCTTGGAGAGTGATGTTTAGCATTCGCTTGAGGATGAATAAAATGAGTCGGTTGTCGAAGGACAAAAACTATTGTGTTGGCATGTAAGACAAGTAAAAACAACGATAAATCTCGACGACCCCATTGAAATAGGAAATAGAAATGGAGCTCTTTTTTTATTTATTAATTATTATCGAATTTAACTTGAGGTGATCTTTACGAGTAAACATAAATTATTTTTTTTTTTAAATAATTTCGTTTACTCGTAAAGATCACCTCAAGTTAACTTCGATAATAATCGAATTTGCGGTGGGAATTAATTTCAGTCTTTGCACCCCTTCTTTACTTTTTTTTTTTTTTAGCATTCATTAGACTTGAGATTTTAATTTCTAATTAAAAATCAAAATCTCAAGAAAATAATTTCTAATTAAAAATAATCACAAACTTTGATTCTTGATTATAAAAAATAATTTTTAGTTAGACTTAAGATTTGAATTTATAATTAAAAATTAAAATTAATATGTAGATGATGTATAACAGTTGTTCAACAATATCATCTAACCTTAAAATCAAGAAAAGAAAAACAATGCCTTCTCAATCTTGTGGGGATCAACCTTACACACATAAGAAATGCTATTGAATTATCTTGAAAAAAAAAAAAAAAAACTCACTTGAAAGTTTGAGTTACTGAAAATAAAATCAGGAAAGAAAATATTGGGAAATGAATCGGAATGTACGGAGATAAATAGAAGTCAAAGAAATTTTATACAAGAAGTGGTCAAAATATTCTTTATTCTTTAACTTCTATAAAATTTACCGGAATTATTATTTCTTATGTCACTCAACCTTTTTACAAATATTTTTTATGGATTTTATAGATTTTGTCAAAATAAAGAATGAAATAGAGAATAGCATTAGAAAAGATATTGATCTTTAATCTATATAATTAATGATGCTCTTTATTTCTATTAAAAATATTAACTAAAGATAAAGAACATAATTGAAGATGCTTTTAACAAGGAAAAATTAAGAAATCCATGAATTAATGAATAGATTACTTCTTCTCTGGTACATCGTGCATCAGCTTTTTTAACTTTTTTCAACAATGTTCTTCGACAATTGTCAACCAAAGCTTATCCATGAATATTCGAATTCTAACGCACAAATGTGTGGAATTTGTGATGACTCAACAGCATAAATTAAAGGATAAATAACTCAATCTCTTTATCTAATATTACAATTTTAATTATTTTTTCATATGTTTTTAAATTTTTTAAAAAATTTAATCTGTCAATTGTTTTATCAAAAGTTTTTTTAACTGAAGTACCCTTAAGTGAAATGCAAAAAAATAATAATAACAATTTAAATATTTCAAAAATAAAACATACATGCATGTTATGTGATTTTAACTATATTTTTTTCTAGTAAAGGACATTTTGATCAAAAAATTTTTCTTATAAATGAAAAATTAATTAAAAAACAATTTGAATATTTAAAAAAATTTCACAAACATATATTATGCAGTTAAAAATATATGAAAAAATCAAAATAATATACAAAAACATATTCAACTATCTATCTTAAATTAAATTATATATTTACCAATAAACTAAAGGTGTCTTAGATCGTCAATCCCACCTCTTTTTTCTAGCATCAAGTACTCATCAAAATGAGTTCAAGTTTGTCCTCTAACGAGGGTCTTTTTATTTAGTTTTTTTTTTTTAATTTTTTTCAATACTTTAGTATTATTTTGAAAGAAAGATTGATATAAATTTGTTAACGTTACCTGGAGTAAATTATAAATTAGTCCCTCTCATTAGAAAAAATGAACTAATTAGTCTCTTTTTTTTTGAAAAACCAATTATTTACTTCTTCCTGTTTTAATTCTACCAATAACTTAGTTTTTTTTTCTTTTAGATTAGTGATTTTTATTTTTAAATTACTAATTTATCCTGTGAAAAGGAAAATGCAGGAAATTACACATGCAAAAAGCCACAAAATATTTCAGTTTGTTTATTCAAGAAAACTGATTTTGGATTGAAGAAAGGGCTTTTTCGGCCCAATAGTTCAAGGCCTTTATTTGCCATTTCCAAAGGGGTTTAAGATTTTTCTGCTTGTATAAAATTTCTTTGACTTCTATTTATCTCCGTACATTCCGATTCATTTCCCAATATTTTCTTTCCTGATTTTATTTTCAGTAACTCAAACTTTCAAGTGAGTTTTTTTTTTTTTTTTTTTCAAGATAATTCAATAGCATTTCTTATGTGTGTAAGGTTGATCCCCACAAGATTGAGAAGGCATTGTTTTTCTTTTCTTGATTTTAAGGTTAGATGATATTGTTGAACAACTGTTATACATCATCTACATATTAATTTTAATTTTTAATTATAAATTCAAATCTTAAGTCTAATTAAAAATTATTTTTTATAATCAAGAATCAAAGTTTGTGATTATTTTTAATTAGAAATTATTTTCTTGAGATTTTGATTTTTAATTAGAAATTAAAATCTCAAGTCTAATGAATGCTAAAAAAAAAAAAAAAGTAAAGAAGCGGTGCAAAGACGGAAATTAATTCCCACTGCAAATTGGTACTTTCAAAAAAAAAAAAAATCTCCTTATTCGAATTTAAAAAATTAAGAATTTTGTTAATCAATATACTAAATTTTTTATTTCTTAAAATTTCTAATAGAGTCTAAGACTTGTTCTGTGATGCTCATTATATATATATATATATATATATATATAACTTTAGCGTGCCATACATGCCTTGTTGAAAATTGGAAATTTAATTCTGGGATACATTAATTATCTCCATGAGGCAAGTCATTCGATCTTTTGTCATGCGGTAGGAGAAGGTAATTTACTAAGTGGACCATAGATACACGAAACGTATTGTAAATCAGGGTCAATGACCGTTCATCCACCAGCAACGACAGCCCCATTAAAATTATTTTATTTTCATCTTTGTCTTTTACCATTTTACAATCTCATAGCATTCCTTCCATCTTTTCCGCTTTCGTCTCTCCATCATTTTCCTTCACTCTGCAATTTCTTCTGTTCAAACCCTATTTATCTGTCTCAGTTTACTCCTCTCTATTCCTTTCCTTCCACCGTTTTCTTTGTTTTTCCACACTTCTTAATCTGTGAACTCTCCTTCTCTTCCTTCAAAGTCCTTGCCACCGAAAAAAAAAAAAAAACATAAGATCCCTCCTTGTTACTTCTCTCCCTAGCTTTCTTGTGTTGTAAGCTTCAGAAGCTAATTGCACCAGTTTCTGTAAGATATTAAACAGTATCTTTCATTTTCAAGGTTAATTTCACCGGCTTTGGCCATCTTTAACTAAGGGTTCCAAGCTTTCTGCAGATTCGAAGGTAATGCTAAAAATTATTAAGTCCATGTTCATTGTCTTAGTTTCTCAAGCTAAACATATTACTACTACCTAGTTTCTTAGATTATTCTGGGTGGCTCTAAAAATACTGTTACTGGATTTCAAATAGTTTGTTTTTTAATACAAAAGGCTGTCATGTAATTTCCAGGTTGTTGATCCTCTTAGTAATGATGGTTTCTTCATAGTTGAGAAGCAATCATGTTAAGCTCTTTATATGTTTTGATTTCTTCATTATTTTTTATTGTTTGATCAACGTAATTTCCCTCACTTTTTTAAGTTTCATTATTTTTTTCTTGTTTGATCAAAGTAATTTCCCTCACTTTTTAAGTTTCTTTAAGCTCTTCAATCATTTAAAAAACATAAAAATTTTTGACCAATCTGTTTGGGTCATTGTGTCTGCAGAGCCACTAAAGAAAAAGAAGTTAAAAATGGTTCGATCATTTTGGGTTTACACTGAGAAACAGAGTGATGGCCGATCGAGGTGCGTATTTTGTCGGCATACATTTGGGGCTGGTACTTCTGTTACCAGGATCAAATGGCATTTATCAGGAGTTGAAGGGCAAGGCGTTGAGATTTGTAGGCAAGTGCCGACTGATGTCAAAGATGAGGCTCTTCTAGCTTGTCAAGCTGCAAACAAAAAACGCAAAACCATGCCTAGTTCAAGCAATATCAATGTGGGCTCCGCAAATCCAACTTCTCCACAAGTACAGAACACCGAAGTTGCAAATCCCATGAGTGATTTAGAAATAGATGAAATGATCAGACTACTACAAGGGGCGGAGAGAAATGTCTCATTTGCGGAAGCAGAAAATCATATAGAAGACATGGATGTAGAAACAGAGCAGACTGTTCTGAGAAGTATTGCCACTCCTGAGAGGCTTCCCGTTCACCAACATGATATTAGAGTGCCAGTACAAAACAATGAAGATTCAGGTTCACAACAAGAAGTTGGGGAAGAGAGAGAATTTTCAAGAGCAGGAGCAAGAATTCAGATAGAAAACACGACTGGAGAAACATCACAGCAAATTCAGGGAAGTATCACTCCTGAGAGGCCTCCAGGTGATGAACATGAGACTAGACAACTGCTAGCAGATGAAGTGGGTCCAGTGATTGAAAATAATTGGGGTGCGATTCACGCTTTCTCAATGAGGAATAGTGGCACAATTTCAACTTCTTTGCTAGTACAAAACGATGAAGTAGCAGAAGCTGATCCTTTTGATGCTCTCCAGCCATTGTTTGGAAAGTTGATGTCAGAGTGGGAATCAAGATTGTGGCTAATTAATGACGTACTTGATGAGGCGGACCAGAAGCCAGATACAAACCAGGCTATGAAAAATTGGCTCAGCAAGCTCAGAGACTTGGCTTATGATGTGGAGGACATACTTGACGAATGCCAAACAGAAGCCTTGAAAAGAAAGTTGAAAGGTGCAAAGTCTCAAGCCAGCACAAGTACAGTGCAACCAAGTGCTGCTCTGCCTAATGGACCCAAGCTACAGGGGATTGGTGCCAGATGGGAAGATATCATGAAAGAGAGAAGTGATCTTGGCTTGGACATAAATGTTACACGGAGGTCCAACAAAGCAAACCCAAGAGTGCAGACAACATCACTGGTCAAGGAACCTAAGGTGTATGGGAGGGAAAACGCGAAAGAGGATTTAGTTCAATTATTGATGAAAGACGAACTAAGCAACTCTCGGTATTCTGTGATTCCAATTGTTGGGATGGGCGGGATTGGGAAAACCACTCTTGCTCAATCCGTCTACAACGATACGAGGGTGAAGTTTGACTATAAAGCTTGGGTTTGTGTTTCCGATGATTTTGACATTCTTAGACTAACCAAAACGATTCTTTTACATTGGCAAAGATGTGAAGATAGTGATCTAAACATTGTTCAAGAAAAATTAAAGGAGAAGTTGCTTGTGAAGAAGTTTCTCATTGTTCTAGATGATGTTTGGGAGCATAGCTACGAGGATTGGACTACACTTTGTGCTCCTTTCGCTGCAGGAGCACCAGGAAGTAAAATCATTGTCACGACTCGTGGAATAGATGTTGCTTTAAGGATACGTTCTGTTGCTTCTTGTATGTTGAAAGAACTTCCACATGATGAATGTCTATGCCTCTTTGCTCAACATGCTTTGAACGCAGAAAATTTTGACGCAAATCCAGATCTGAAAGAAGTGGGGCAAAAGATCGTACGAAGGTGTAAGGGATTGCCTTTGGCAGCCAAGACCCTTGGAGGACTTCTGCGCCATAAACAAAACCTTGAAGATTGGCAAGACATAGCCAACAGTGAGATATGGGAGTTATCCGAAGGAGAAAGTGTCATTCTCTCAGCTCTAAAATTGAGCTATCTTCACCTACCTTCCCCTTTGAAGAGATGCTTTGCGTATTGTGCAATTTTCCCAAAAGACTACGAATTTGATGAGAATGAGTTGGTTTTGCTCTGGATGGCAGAGGGTTTTCTGCAGAAAACAGAGCAAAAGAAGCAGGGGAAAGACTTGGGCCACAAATATTTTAAGGAGTTATTATCAAGATCACTTTTCCAAGAGTGTAGTGGGAGGGAATCACGGTATGTAATGCATGATCTCATAAGTGATCTTGCTCAGTCTGTTAGTGGAGAAATATGCTACCATTTGGATGCTAAGAAGTCAAGTGGTGCAACATCATATGCAAAGGTTCGCCATTTGTCGCTCATTTTTCACCGGTATGGCACCTCACAAAGGTTTGAAGCTGTCTATGAAATGGAGAGTTTGCGGACATTACTGGCAATTCGAAGTTCATCATTTGGAGGACTGACATACTTATCAAATAAGGTGTTAGATGACTTGGTACCAAAGTTAAAATGCTTAAGGGCACTATCACTAGCTTGTTATATTTTGAAAGAATTGCCAAGATCTATTGGTGCCTTGAAGCATTTGCGCTATCTTAACCTGTCCCACAACACTTCAATTGAGAAGTTGCCTGAATCAATGGGTGAACTGTTGAACTTGCAGACATTGATATTACGTGGCTGTGAGTCTCTTATGGAGTTGCCAGCATGGATCGGCAATCTAATTAATTTGCAGCACCTTGATATAAATGACACGCCTCATTTGCAAAAGATGCCATTGGAGATATGTAAATTAAAAAATCTCCGCTTCATGCCTAAGTTTGTTATTGGAGATGGCATTGGACTTGGGATCGGAGAGTTGACGAGGCTTCCAAATCTCCAAGGGCAGCTTCACATTGAAGGGTTGCAGAACATTACAGATATTCGAGATGCAAAGATGGCGAATCTAAAGGAGAGGCATGGCTTAGGTGAATTAGCATTGGAATGGAGTTCCAGTTTCTGAGATGCAGGAAATGAAAGCCATGAGAAACAACTCCTCAGCTCACTAGAACCACATCGAAGTCTAGAAAGACTTTCAGTTATCTCATATGGTGGTACAGAATTTCCATCGTGGGTTGGGGATCCCTCTTTCTCTAAAATGGTGAAGCTAAAGTTAAGTGGTTGTCGTAAAATCCCATCATTGCCATCTCTTGAAAAGCTTCCTGCTCTTAAGCAATTGAGCATAGAACGGATGAGTAACTTGAAAGGCATGGCTGTTGACAATTTTCCATCTTTGGAGACTCTTTACATAGGGGATATGTTGGAGTGGGAGCAATGGTATTGGTCTAATGGTCTCAATGAAGATCCAGGAGGAAAGTTTCCTAAGCTGGTTGAGCTTACACTGCGAAACTGTGATAAGTTAATTGGGAAATTGCCCGGGTGCCTTCCATTCCTCAAAAAGCTTCACATTTCCGGTTGTCGACAATTAACAAATTTACCTGAAATGCTTCCATCTCTTTGCGAATTGACAGTTAAAGATTGTGACGAGGTGATTTTCAGAATGAAGCCTAATTTCTCCTCCCTCACGACCTTGGAAATTAGTGGAATTTCAGGCCTTGTAGGTTTACATGAACCATTTGTAGAGGCCTTAGTAGCACTTGAGGACCTGGAAATTGAAAGATGCCGGGAACTGAAGTACTTGTGGCAAGATGGCGTTGATTTAAGCAAACTTGCTAATCTAAAGAGTTTGAAGATCTTCGAGTGTGAGCAGCTTGTGTCATTGGTGAAAGGAGCGAAAGGCATTTTTCCGTACACTCTCAAAAGTTTTCAAATGGGAGGGTGTCATTCTATGGAGTCGCTGCCTGATGGGATGATGACAGTGATGAGTAGCAACAATAGCAATCAGTGCCTTCTAGAAGAGTTGGTGATACAAGACTGTCCATCGCTCAAATCACTTCCCAGGGGGAAGTTGCCTACCACGCTCAAGAAATTAGAAGTTGAAGGATGTAAAGAATTAGAGTCTGAATATAGGTTTCTAGAAGGAATTATGCGGTGTGATGCCCACCTTGAGTATTTGCGGGTATCCAAATTCTCCATCACATCCTTTCCAACTGGCAAGTTTCCTACTCCTCTTAACACACTTAAATTTGACGGTTGCAGAAGAATACAATCATTGCCTTCCCTACTTAACCTCTCCCATCTCACTAAATTGATAATAAGATGCTGTGATGAGTTTGAGTCATTCTCAGATCAGGAATTGCCCAATCTTACCTCTTTAGCTATAATGTATTGTTGGAAACTGAGATCTCTACCCAATCACATGGACAGCCTTCGAGAATTATGGATCTTAAGTTGCCCCAATCTGGTGTCGTTTCCAGAGACGGGTTTGCCTCCTAAGCTAACTTTACTATACGTGATGAGTTGCAAGAATCTGAGACAGCCAATATCAGAGTGGAGACTCCATACACTCACATCTCTTAAACAACTCACAATCTCCAATACAACAGATGAGGATTGCTTTCCAGATGATGATGGTCTACTGCTTCCCACTTCGCTAACTTTGCTTCATATCAAAGATCAAAAGAAACTCAAATCCATATCCAGTAGCATCCAACACCTCACCTCTCTTGAAGAATTATGGTTTATTAATTGTCCTGAACTCCATGTCTTGCCAAAGGAGGGCTTCGCCGCCGCACTTGGACATCTATGGATCTTGGATTGTCCTCTTCTGGGAGAAAGGTGCTTAAAAGAGGAAGGGGATTATTGGCCCATCATTGCACACATCCCTGGAGTTGATGTCTATCATACCCACCCACAAAGCCATGCGAATCAGGTAATTCTTCCTTTATTTATGTTTTTTGTCCCCCGGCACAATGGTAAAAATATAACTAAAATTGCATTAATTGCTAAATCATTTTTGCAGCATTCAATTGTTTTTAGGAAAACTTTTCTAAATACAGTTTGTTGCCTGTATCTTTTAATGGTTTTATAGTTTTCGATCTTAGTCAAAACAGTCTGGCCTCTAGTCCATCCATGTCTTCGTTTACTTAAATATTACTTATGTTTCAGTCCTTCGATTATGATTTAGCTAAAATGCCAACCCTATTTAGCTTGTGGCAAAACTGGTTATGCCCAGGTTGAAATATACTTTCAGGTTATAATAATCCGTTCTGACTACTAGTGCAACCTCAATCATTCTAGAGAGAATAGCTTCTATAATTCATTTACTAATTCTGCCAGGTAACCATCTGATGAACTGAACAATAAGAGGGATGATGGATTTCGACGTGGGTTAAGCTCTAGAAGTTGTGAAGCGGGGAGGCATGCTAGCTAGATAATAAGACTTGAAGGGCAGGTAGACTTACACCAGAGATCTATGGCTGTTGGAACTCACTTATTATGCTATGAACTACGGAGGTATGTTATGTTTGCCAATGTCGTCAACTCTTAGAAGTAATGAATACAAATACAATTATGCACCATTTTTTCATAGAATTTTTCATAGTAGCAGTATCTGATTTTAGAAACTGTTGTATGTTACCATGTTCGCAGGCACTGTGTTTTTACAATTTCTAAGGAACAGAAGCTTGCTTTAATAGTCCGGAAGTCTGAATTCTCTTCTGTAGGAGCATATGAAGTTATTGTGACATTCGTATGGAGCTTTGGATATGTTCTTTAAGAAATATGAGCACATATCAGGCTGAATGCTTGCTGTTGTGCAATGCAGTAAGAGTGTTGCTTCCTGTGACTAATCATAAAAGGCTAGGAGATTCTTTATTTTGTTGGAGTCGTATGAGCAAATTGATCCAGGGGAAAGCTTAGTAAATTATACATTAGTCCTTCTCGTTTCGAAAAACAAATTAATCAGTCTCTCTTATTTCAAACAATTAAATATTTAGTTTTTTTTTGCTATTTTTAATTTATTTTGATATTTTGTTTTAAAAAATAGAAAAGAAAAAAGTTAAAATATGAGAAAGTTAATAGACATTTTATAAAATAAAAAAATATTAAATTAATTATGATCAATATAAGTTAAAAAAAAAATAATTAGTTTTTAAAACTAGATCAACTAATTAATTTGTTTCTTGAATGAGAAGGATAATTTATAATTTATTAACTAGATTTCTTTTAACCAGCAACCATCTTTACAGCAAGGAGTTAAAAAACAACAAAAGATCTTCATTTTTTAAAAGGCACACTTATGGCTTATCCTAATATTAATTATGATTAAAAAACAACATAAGTTCTTTATTTATTTTTTTCCTTTAATCTATTTGAGGTAGTTTATGCAATTAAGCTCCATTTTCTTTCCTAAGACTGGTTAATAGTCTTGGAAATTTAGCCTAAGTTATTTTCAATATTAAATTTTCAGAAATTGACAATACATTTCTACCTGCAGGCAAGTTTGTGATACTAAACTAAAAAGTTTAAATTTATTTTAAAAACTAATTGTTTAGTTTTTTTTTTATTAGTACTGACCATTTTTAATTTAATATTATATTATTTTAAAAGGTAAAATGTATCTTTTCTCATCAATTCTTTCATATTTTTTATTTACTTTTTTATATCTTAAAATAATTAACCATAATAAATTAAAAAGAACATAAATGATTAAGTTATAAAAAAATTTAAAAACGTAAAGACTAAATAAACAATTAATTAATGAAACATGAGAGATTAATAAATATCATATTTTATAAAATAAAATAAAAAAAACTAGAGACATTAATTTGTGTTTTTTTTTTTTTTGAAATTAGAGAGACTAATTTATATTTTACTTTATTTAATCACTGTTTTATTTATAATTTTTCTGGACCAAAATCTTATTTTTTCTTTTTTTTCTTTTTTTTTTTTTTGGTTCAAGCAATTAAGCAAATACAATGGTAAGAAATAATTCATGCAAAATAACTCTAAATAATGAAAAATAAGTTTTTGATTATAACTCAAAATAAAAATTAACTTTTTCCATAACTCATGCAAAAATAAATCTAAATTTGTCTTCGGAACTTAAATATGTTTCACATTTGTAGATATTTTAAAATGTTTTCAAATAATAAAACATAAATAAATGTATCTATATAATTGGAGGACTTATTTGAACTTTGCCCAAAATTGTTTAACTCTCCACTCCGAATAAATTATAAATTAGTTCCTTTATTTTATAGAAATGAATTAATTTGTGCATTTTTTTAAAAAAGACTCATTATTTAATTTAAAATTTTTAAATTTACTCCTAATTTAATTATTTTTGCTCTTTTTTTAATTTATTTTAATTTTTTGTTTTAGAAGCTTAAAAAATATTTAGAAAAATTAATAAAAAAAGATCTTTTGTAAAAAAAATAATATTAAAGTAAACAAAATACAGATTAAAAAATTAAATAATAATTTTAGGGAAAAAAACTAATTAATTCGATTATTGAAACTTGAGGGATTAATTTGTAATTTACTTCCTCGACCTGTTGTCCTTCTCTTCACACAGCAAAATTACTTCATAAATTGCCCTGAGTCTATTCCTCCAGGAAATGCAATGGCAGCGTTCAGAGGAATTACCCAAAGCTCTCTCAAAATTTTCTATCAACCCCAACTCCATCCCCTATTGTTCTTCTCCAGAGGGTTCTCATCCAAACTTTTTGTTAAAGGTATTCTCTCTCCTGACGAAATTTAGCCTCAGTGTTTGCTGTTCTTGTTTGGAAACAATACAAATTTTGTAACACCCAACAGAAATTTAGCATTCATTTCTTGGTCTCAGTAAGTTCAATCGATTTATTAAAAAAAACCCAACATTTTAAATCCAATTTTGTGATTACTTGGAGTCGAATTTTAGGAATAGTTTCGTGGAAGAATATGGGAAAAAGAAAGTTTTTTTTTTTTTTTCCTTATAATTTTAATGATATGTTCTGTCGTGTTTTCTGCTCCCCATCTGAATGTACACCAAGTCATTTAAAGATGAAACAAGATTTGGAATTTCTTGCTTCACTTCTCATTTGCACAGTTTGCACAACCTAGTTTACAGTTCTCATTCCTGTCCAACATGACTCAAGGATTTACCAGGTTTATCCACTTCTTTCTTAGCCTGGCTAGCATAGGAATCATTTTGTAGTCTCGTTAATCTAAAAAGCCCTAAGTTCTTACATTTCAGTTGAAACTTAAAAGCCCCTTTATATGTACAAATTTAAAGAGTTTGTCTATTTGTTCTAAAGATTGCTCTGTTTCTGCTTGAGGTTGAACTACTTTTCTTCAAATTTGTCTCTTCAGATGAAAATATCCTAGAATTGTACATATGGGTTTCATAATGTTCTGCTATGAGCTTTGCTTTGCTAGCATGTTCAAGGATTATTTGGTATATAGTTGGACAAACTTGGTGCTTGCCCTCATAAGTAATGTGCTGCCTGAGCATGTCTGATTTACTGTATTATACCCATGATGAGTCAATTTAGCTACTGCAGTATTTTGAATTCTGGTTTGGGAGTTGCGGAGTATGTGCTCATATAACTCAACTGAACCTTGATTTCAAACCATCAGTCACAGGTGTCGTCTTTCCATTCTGTGCTTTTTTTGTTTTCTTCCTTTTGGGACAAAAGGATGTGATTAGTTTTGTGTTGGCAGCCTACCTACTGTAAGTCTGCAACCCTCCTGTAGCCAGGCTTCAGCCAGATATACTGGATTTTGATTGATATCGAATCCAGTTAACACAGGACTATGCTGTCTTTCAATCTAGAAGCTATATCCTTGCTATATCCCATCTTTACAAGCTATTTCTGTTGCTAGAACTAATAGCTTTTCTGCAGGTTTATCTTTCTCCAGTACAGAAAAGACGATAGTTGCAGCATTTTCAGAATTTGGAAAAGTCATTGAAGCTAAAATAGTAATGGACAAAGCTCGAAACAGACCTAAAGGTTATGGATATGTAACCTTTTCTAAGAAGGACGACGCTGTCAAAGCTTGTGAGGGGATGAATGGGAAGGTAATTGCATTGCTTCTCATGGCTCCATTCTCTAAACTGTCAAACCAAGAATAACATATGATTACTTGCAGCTGCTAGATGGACGAGCCATTTATGTAGGGTTTTGAATTTACTAGCGTGCCAGTAGCAAGAACAACCCCCTTGGAGCCTCATTTCGAAGAAAGGATATCTGGAAGGCCGGAACCTGTAAGGAATGATTGATATTATTTGCCTTTTTCACCAGGCTTCTTGTTTGTTTGGGGCATGAAATGTGCTAGGGTAGAAAAGATGAGTTCATTTTTGTGAAATAATTTTAGTTTGCGGTCAACCTTTTGTTCTATTATTTTGTCAATGTAGTGTTTCAGGCTTTCAGGAGTAAATTATAAATTAGTTTCTCAATTTTTGAGAATTAAATTATTTAATTTTTCTTGTTTTAAAAATTAATTATTTAGTTTATTCACTATTTTCACATTCGCCAAAGAAACCCTAAGAAACATCAAATCTAATTTACTACTTTCAAGGACTTGGACTGTTGCAATCTAATTTTCTTAAGGGGACCCAAAAAAATGTCCTCCAGATGATACGAACATCTCAATTTTGCCCTCAAACAAATTTTTGTATCAATTTTGTCGCTAAAGAAAGTAATAATTATGTTCTTCCATCTATATATTTGATCATAAAAACCACCAAATAAAAAATCAACGCCACAAGCAGTAATTCTTTATCAAGGCAAACATTAAAATCACGAAATTGGGAAATCTAATTTCCATTGGAAACTGCAGGAATTATGGTGCCGAAAATACAAATTATCCTCTACAAAAAGTGCAGGCTATAGTACCAAACATCCTTCACCAAAATTTTTCTTCAATCTACATTAACATATCTCAACTCATTCAGCAGGATAAATTAAAAAAGAAAAAAATTATCTTCCTAGGACTGAAATTAAGCTGGTCCGTGGTGATTCTGAGCTAATACACTGCTAGTAACCAACAAACTCTTCCACAGCTGAGATTACATTCTACGCTACATGTGACGCTTTTTCGTCAACAAAGATAAACAACTTTGGTGCACGAATCCAGCTTCATTGAATCATGCTGTTTTCACCTACGAGACTACCGTTGCTCGTCATGCTGTTTTCACCTTACGAGAGGGAGGCCGTCGGAATAAACTTATAAGATCATCAAGACCCTGATAAACAGAATAATTGGCGATTCAGCAATTGCTTCATTCACATATAATTGTGGCAAAATAATAATAATAATACATAGAATAAATAATGAAAGCTAGATATAGAGAGAAGAGGGGTACCCTAGTTGTGATAACCAGAAAAGTAAATAGTATTATCAGATATGATCCTAGCACTAGAAGCAACAGCAAGTCGAATGTTACGCTAGCAACCTGCAACAACGTATTTCAGCCGATTATCATTCGAGCCAGTGGAGAATTTAATAAATTAGTGTCAAACAAAAGGAGGAGCAATAGATTGAAAACAAAAAGCATCTCAAAAGAAAATTTTGGTTGGTAAATAAAACAAAGATTCCATGAATAAAATGAACATTACAGGGGCATTTCCTAGTTATGGTACTACCAAAGATCCTAGAGAAAGAATTTGGAGACAATTCTATTTTTCGGTCCTTTTGCATTAATTGACTACTCTCAGCACCTGAACTTAGCCCAATTCATGGTGACAACAAAGCAATTTAGCTTGTAATGCTATAGTGTAGAAAATCGACAAGTGGAAGAAGGTAAAAATCCCACATCCAATGAGTGATAAAAACATCCTTCATCAAATAGGTCCTCAAGACATTTAAATTCCGATGCATAAAAAAAATGTCTTCTTCAACAAACAGAAATATCAAGTGATCACAATCAGCAATGCATGACGTAACTATGAAAAGAAAGTGGAGTAAAAATGCAGCTGTGAAAATGAGAGAGAGGTACATTAAAAACATAATTGCCATCTGGAAAAATAAAAGGTAAGAACCTGATATATGTTTAGTTTAGCTTTAGTTGAATCGTAGAGTGTGAACATCCCATCAAGCACCTCATGTTGCATGTGTACTTCATAAGTATGATCTTCTAATTCCTGCAGAAGGATAGAAGCAAGTCAAAGCAAAGTAGACAACAGAAAAAGTTAAAAAGCCATGTTTATGTTTTCTTTCATGTGTCAAGCAGCAGCCCAATGAACACCCCCCCCTTAGCGCCCAACTCAAGATATAAATCAAATTTGTCGGTGGGAAATAAAATAGCAGCCCTTTTCAACTTTCTAACTAAGTATCATCAAACAGCTATTTGAGCACTAGGTGCCAGACAGACAGGCATTTATACTGCATATTCCTAAGTTTTGGGTAAATCAGATTCCAGAAGTCAGCATCAGCAAGATCATCAGAGAGGAAAAAATATGGGTGACCAAGAACAGGTTGCATATAAATCAATCTGAATAAAATTAGTCCTACAAAATGCTATCGACATCTGTATAACCTCTGAAGACAGGATAGCATTAATATATAATAAAATTTATTTCATTTCACTTATTCAGAAACAAACAGACAAGAAACAACACAAAGGGTTTATTCACATTCAGTCACCTAGCACATGAAAGAAACAATATTCCCACCACCAACATGTAATGAAAGTTGGCTTGATTTGAAAAAACATAACAGAATGTAAATATCCCACACAGTATTCTGCTGTTAGCAAGGCCTGGCAAAACTTTAAGCAAAAAACACCATTGACCATACGATAAAGGAAACTCCAAAAATCTTAACGTCCAAGAAAATTTGTAAATATCAGACATTTTTCACCTAGCACATGAAAGAAACAATATTCCCACCACCAAAATGTAATGAAAGTTGGCTTTATTTGAAAAAACATAAAAGAATGTAAATATCCCACAGTATTCTTCTGTTGGCAAGGCCTGGCAAAAGTTTGAGCAAACAGCACCATTGACCATAAGATAAAGGAAACTACAAAAATATTAATTGTCCAAGAAAATTTGTAAATATTAGACCTTTTTCAGTGCAACGACAAATGGATCATTCTTTGATAGAAATGGTGCCACTCGAGGTGTTTGCGACAAAAGATCCAACCAGGATATTATGTAAGGAGCATTGACAGCTAAACTAGTGTCATCCGCAAAGATTTGAACGTTTTTCCCTTGGTGACCATAGATATGCCTCTGTGTATGACAATAAAATATGTCAGAGAACATAAGAATTAAAGTAGATATGCCTCTGTGTATGACAATAAAATATGTCAGAGAACATAAAATTTAAAGTTAAATATTAAAACAATTTAGCTATCTTGGTTCAAAAGTCTTAATCAACTTGTTACTAATAATATACAAATCCTGACACAATACCCCATCATACAATTAATTCTAATAGTCTGAAACACATGCAAGTTAGTAGCACTAGCACATGTGAGCACTCAATTGATGCCTTGACCTCACTCTCAGTGAGTCCCAAAATTAATCTTCAAACAGATGCGTGATAAAGTCAAGCTTCAGTATCAAGATCTATCATAATGCATTAAATTTATTCAAAGGCGTGTAACCTTACCGCAATACTCTCAGCAACTAGCTTGATACTTCTAACTATTGCAGTTTCATTTACAAAATGTCTGTCCAGAGAACCAAGATCTCAGTATTGTGTAAAAATATAACAGCTATATTTTCTTTATAAAAGAGGTTCGAGTTAAAAAACACAACCTGCTATCAGACAGACCTCCTGTGCTTTCAAACAGTTCCGGTGCTGCAGAGAGTTCGGAGAGAGTAGCTGCCGTCACCCTCAGCTTTGAAAATTGTTCGTGCTCCCAAGCTACCTACAGCAGGTCAACAGCTATATCACCTGGACTAAATGAGAGCATCGAAAGTACGGCACATTTAAATCAATTAAACCAAAATTCTGGAAAAACATGAAGAAAACCCCATTCGTAATAAGAAAACAGGATGCATACACAAAGTAAAATGAAGTCAAGTCATCATGATAGCAATACGAGCATATTGTTTCAAGAATAAACAGCAAAGCATCTAACGTGCAGTTTGATTCTATAATGGCTATGAAAATATCTCATGAAATGATGAAAACTCCTCTCCTTATGCTGCAGCACAGCAAAAGAGAAATAAACAAATGGGAAGAAAACCATCTATTTCAATGTTCAAGACAAGTCTCCAATGTTTACAAGTTTAAGATCGACAAAATTAATTTTTATTGAACTAGTAATCCAAAAAAATAAATGTTAAAACTTAAAAATAAATTTTCTTATTTTTTATTCTATAATATTCAAACTTTCAGGTACATTGACTTACTCGAGGATTTGAAATATTAATTTTCTTGTGCTTCAGACCAACTTCAATGCCCAGCTCTTCTGCTACTGAGGAGAAACCCTACAGAAAACTCAATGGATCAAACCAGAAAACACAGTAATGCTACTTGGCACAACAGAATAACATCTGTACTGTTAAAAAATTCATCGGCTTACTTCAAAAATTTGTTTAATAAAGGCATTTTCTGGAGGCTTGGACACATGAATCCACAATTCATTATCCCATGAGCCAACACTATTTAAGCAAATAGCATAATCAATGCTCTCTCGTAGACGTTGATCAAAGCTCCGAAGCCACTTCAAAAGCAAAATTAATAATATAAGCAAACCAAACTAAAGAAAAAGTAGATTGTACAATTAAGTTGGTAGAAAAGATTGTAGGAGCTAAGTAAGCACCTTGTGAGTTCCATTGTAGTTATAAGGTCCACCGGATGTTAGCCCAAAAAGTAAATTATACCGTCCTCTTGTCTTTGGATTTGAATAAAGAAGAGAAAATAACCTAGCTATCTCTAGAAGTGCCACAACACCACTCCCATTGCTATCACTTCCAACAGATAATGCCTACACATGTAACTAATTTCGCATTATTATAGAGTGTATAGAAGTTGAAAATAGTTTATATCGACTATGATTTACATACAGGAGTGGTTCCAAAAGTATCATATGATGCTACAATAGCAATAGTTGGAAGTTGATTTGGATCTCCATCTGCTTTCAGTCCTGGCAACCACCCCTGCAAGATTTAAAACCATCATTTAGTTTACAAATAAGCAGCTCTAGCATGAAGAAGAAGCTCAAAGACATAGCAAGATTGCCCAGATTACAAGCATGAACAATAAAAAAAAGTAACTAAATTCATTGATAAGGATGTTTAAAAGTTGCTAATATTCCTATGTGCTGAAAATAGAGTATATAATATACCAGACTTTCAATACTTCTAATTGTTAATGCAGAACTTAAAAGACCAATATATGATCTGAATTCCTTTTTCTCAAGTAATAAATGCTTTTAAACCTAAATCTAAATTCTGCTTTTGAAGTTCCCACATTCTAGTTTCGCTTGAGCACAGTTTGATAGCCATTGAGAAAAAGTAGAATGGTAGTATTGCCATAGGTGCCAAAACATAATTTGCGATGGCTGTGATGTTTAAATAAGCAGTGTAATGAGGGTACTGCAACACTTATAGTTATCTATTAAACATTACACACCAATGCCCAGAACACTTATTAAAACCCAAAACCCACATCTTCATCATGTGTTAAGTTCAAGCAATTGAGTAATGCTTGGAAAGAGGCTAGATTAACATTGACAAGTGTTCATGAGCTTTTGTAATGCAATAACATAGCTAAAAAAAAAAAAGCAGAGATGGAATAATAAATCCCTGAGAAAGAATGTCAGAATGTCTATATCAAAGAAAATATTCCCTAAGTTACAAAACTGCAATTAAATCATAGACAGTATATTTTTCAGAATTAGCATTGATTTTGATTGCAAAACATTTGAGACAAATAGGTCCTTGTTCCCTTAGCCAGCAGAATTTGGAGAACCCAGTACCTGTGTTTCTAGAAAGTGAAAGATATCAACGAGATGTTCATGATATGCAACACATTCCATTTCATTACGACTAGTCATTCCCAATAGACGAAAGAATTGAAAGTGGACCTGAATGTTTGTGATGGTGGGTGATACAATTTTCTTAGGTTCTGGTGCTGAGACAACAAGCTTGTAGCTGCAATATTTCCAAGCAAAAATGAATACAAAAGCCCAACAAAAATGTCATCAACCTCAATGTAAGCAAGCACAAGCACATGTAAAATCACACTTTCATGGACATAGACCAACCATGAGCTGGAAAGTAGATATGTTTAATGTTTGAACTAGATAGCAATGCAGGAGGTATTGCCTTATATAGCATTAGTATACAGAACAATTGGCAGTAGAAATAAAAAATTAAGAAACCATTATCCCAGAATAATGAAGCATAGGAAAAATAAATGACTAGAATAAGAGTAAAGATGGTCTTGATTGCACAATTTCTAGCTGAATAAATTAAGAAACCATTATACTACCAAAAAAAAAAAAACTAAACTAAACCTCATTCATCCCCCCATGAAAAGAACAACTTGCAAATCCTGTTATGCCCACTTAGCATTTTCTCAGTTTCTTTCTTATATGTTCTGCATAGATTCTCTCAGAATGAGATTGTTTGGAGAACAGGGGCATATAATTATTGCTCAGATATTCAGATTTACAAAACATCAAAGAATGCATCCAGGATAAGAAACCCAAAGTTTTCCCAAATGATGCAAATTTGCAAGAAACGACAACTACGGGTCACCTATTCAAACTCGTTTTAGCATGCTAAACATTTCATATTCTATGTTGAGGATATACTATTTCCACTAGAATTCTCAATTTTTAACCATAAAGTTATGAACTAACCCGCCAGTTGTTGCAGTAGCAGGCTGACCAGAGGCATCACTCCTCTTGACATCAGCCAACACAGCATCAATGTCATCATCCTCAAAAGCAAAATATACAGGATACTGCACCAGAAATATCACAATAAAAACATAATCACCCAAATAAAAGGATAGACTTTGCATGAACTAATTTAGTTTGCAATTTTGGAACAGAGAGATTTTAATAATAAATTAGACCAACCGCATGAATACGCTCGAAATAGTCAAAATGGATCGAAGGGTTTCCTACATACGCAACTCTTATAGAACAGGGAGATTTAAAAAAAAAAAACAATAAAAATCTCTTCTTTCACTCACAGGTATACTTGCATGAATGAGCAATCGTTCAAGCTCCACCAAAACAGTCTTGATCAGCTCCTTCTCATGGATTTCATCCTCACTCCCCGACACGACGTCTCTATTTTCAAAATTAAACATTTGTGGCAGCAAAAACAATAATCCTCCCAGAGGCTTTCTTTGCGCAAAATATTCTGTCATTAAAAAACCATCATAAATCAACCAATTTAATTACTTCACTAAATTCAATTAAGCTCGGAGATAAATAAGAGAAGCAATTTAACCTTTAACGAAAGTGATGTTCAATTCGCGAACTGGAATGATGACGACAGTGCGAGAAAGATCGACACCAGAAGCGAAATGCAACGAACCGGCGTGGTGGTTCAGAGTAGCGAAACGAGATCCGAACGGAACGCCGGAGATATCGTATTGGATTAACCGGTAGACGTCAACGACGGTGGCGGCGTCGCAGAGCTCGACGCAGGTGACAAGTACGAAGACGAGAGCGATCATTGTGTAGATTGATTCTAGCACTTGACGCTCTCCCGGTTTCTTCGACGACATTGTTTTTGGATTGGATTGGATCTAGGGTTTGGAGAGATGGATCGATCGGAAGAGAAAAAATTAGAAATATCTGCAGAGTTTAATTTAGAATTTTAATTATTATTATTATTATTATTATTTCTTGTTAAACGAGACAGAGAGAAGGAGAGTGAGGTTTGTTCACTGCTTGCTGTTCTGTTTAAAAAGAAATTTTATTAGTTATGGAAAAACTCAAATTAGTCCCTCAATATGTAAAATTGTATTAAAAAGTCCTCTAACTTTTTATCAATTGATTTATCCATAATGACATATCATTACAACTGCTAATTGGCTATTTCAAACTGATCTTGACCTTCTCAAAGTCTTAGACTCAAAAATATCCGACTATTATTTTCAATTGAAGATAAATTAAAGCAAGAGTGAACCATTTTATACTTGAACTACGAATGCATGCTGAATTGAAAAAAAAAAAAAAAAAAGTTATGGCTGGTTGGTAAATAAGTGGCTAACTCGTGCACTATATAATATCATCAATTATTTTATTAGAAGGATTTGATTGAGAACAGGTAGGCGGAGGACCTAATTTATAAAATTGATAATTGAAGGACTCAATCGGTAAACTATATACAATTTGTGGATTGATATGGAAAGGCCTACTTTTTATTCTGATTTTTTTAATTTCTATTATACTTTTTTTTTTTTCATTTGTAGTAACAAAAAGAGTAACTTAGATTATTTATTTTCATTAAGGATTTTTTATTTTTCGTAACCAAACGACATCTCAGATTATATTTCATCATTAGAAACTCTTTCTACTGCAAAAGTTAAATCATTTCTCAGGAAATAAATTCTCAATTTTTTCGTCCTAACTATTCCATTGCAATGGAAACCATGTTTAATTTAGGGTTCCATTAATTTTGACCATTCATAGCTTAATTGGATTCAGGCAACTGAATTTTTAACACTGTTCAACTTTTGTCTTCTTCAGAGCCGCCCAATGCTTAGCCGCTAGCTGGCATCAAGCTCTTGGTGCTTTGCTCATCTAACGTGGCAATTTGCAGTACTCTTTTTTCCCCTGTTTTGTTTCCATTTGCATGAGGTCTCAACCGACACTAACAGAGCATTAAAACACATCCACAAGTAGAAGATGAAGTTAAAAGGGCTGAAGCACAACAATTTTGGAGGTGATTTATGACGATTGAGCTATCTTGATGCATACATGTTTAGTAAGGGAAAACTAGGATAGGGATCAACATGCCTTTCTTGCTTGTGGAGAAATTATTAGATGTTCTCCGTTTATTGCTCCCTCACTTGTATAAAAAAATGGAATCCACCGTGCAGTAATTATATGCAAGTCCTACTTTTATGGGAGTGCTTGCCACCAATTAGGAAACATTATTTTCTGAAGATGCCAACTACCTGAATTTATACATCAAAGTGTTAGGCAAATCCATTTAAAAGAAATCGTGGAAGAGAAGAAATTAGGTGAGTCTATGATCTAATCATAATAGTCGGATAAGCACTTCCATGGTTCCACCAGTGAAGAGACTATGCTGGAGTTGAACAAGCCAGAATGTTTGCGGGGGTTCGACTTGAAACAGCAAGCTTTCCTTGAACTTACTCTCAAAAACCATGCAGTTCCATTTCGAGTAACTCTTGGGGTGGTTTTTTTGGCAGAATCTTCTTAATGAATTGAACATAGGTAACACCAAAGCAAGGAAGAAGAAATTGAAAACTGTAGTGACTACCAAGCTCTTTGGGAAGCATCCCATTCTGCTATGAAATGATTTAAGCGTGCAGGAGTCATACGTACTCCTTTGAGAATACTTGAATCAAGACCTCAGTCACTATCAGGGAAGACGAGCTTCAGGTCCTCATTATCTCTGTATACTTGCACAAGAGCAGCAGCTTTGTATACAAACATCCCAAACATGGCAGGCACAAGCTGTGAAAGAACAACCGAATGATGAGCAATTAAGAATCAGTTCACTTCATTTCTTTCATTCCAATGGCTAGACCACATAGGTAGAGTAGCCTCCCGCCCGGAAAGTTGACACCTCTAAACCCAGTGTGGAAACATTTCTTTTTTGTGATAATCTCTTAGCGTTACTAAGCTAGCTGACTCACAGACTTCAACCACAATTGTTTCAGCGAAAATAGCACATTGGAACTTTTCTTGAGAGTGCAATAAAACTGCAAAAGGAAAGGTTTGAAAGATTACCTGGAAATCCAAAAAATCATTGCCAATGTATTGATGAGACAGGACCCACAATCCATAAATTGCAGCTGGTATCACAAGCCTTGGAGATGAAAGAGCAATACCGCTTCCCTTTATTGATTTCTCAAATGAGTCCCTAAGATCCTCACTTCTTATACCAATCCTGAGATAAAAAGTAGCTGCTGACTTACACAAAAGAAGAGAGTGCACGATCACTTAACTAAAGAAATGAATGGAATTTTTCATTATACTTCTTGGACTTCTTTTTCCTGAAAATTGCAGGAACCATTTCCTTGGAAAGGTTGTCTGCATGTTGGTATAAGAGTTGAAGGTATAAGCAACTGCACTGAAATTGAAGTTGGTTAGATTGCCAGAATGAATGTGAGTTAGGAAAAAAAAAAAAAAAGAAGTCCATTTTAGTTTTCCTAAAGGAAAATGAAACACAGAGCAAGTTCTATCATAAAGCTAATGGTTCATTGCATCAAGTAGCATGTAGACGATTTCAATTCAGCAAAATGTCAAGGAGGTTGTTAGCTCCATTCGTTCCAATGAACTTCCAACTGTCATGCTCAAGCAAATGATTCTTCAAGAACCTTTACATTGATTACATATACACTTAATTTCACTTTCTTCGTATTTTATGCTGAAGCACTCGGAGGGAGAAGAACTTTTCATCTATATCATGTATAGACTTGGTCAAAGATAAAAGAAATGGCAGATATTAATTAACAGCTAACAAAAATTCTCTTTCTGAAGCAAGCTGTGATTGCAAGTAATCTCAATCTAAGGGTGGAAAACCTTGGCTTGTGAAGGTTTTACTTCAATGGAAAGACAAGGTGAACATATAAAGTAAAAGTGTATCGACTAACCTGAAAAGTACTCCAATTGCATAACTAACAGCAGCCTGCATAATCAATACATAGATCAGTTTTCCTTATGGGCATGACATTTCCCCAATATATATGTATTAATTTTCTATAGAAAAGACCTTCCAATAAATGTACATAACAAAAGAAATTATACCCTGTTTAGTTTAGCTTAAAGACAATAATAAATAAATAAATAAATAAAACGAAATTTACTAGGTATCTTACAGCTGTATGAGATTAATTAATTAAAGCAATGTTTAATAGTTTCCATTTAAATCATGTCAGAAATTACTGATTAATTATAGCAGTGATTTTAGAACCATGATAACAGATTGATGGTCTAAAATAGTATGCTGTTCATAGTCAAGATGATTTTTTTTTCCTCTTTCTGTGAAAATGTTTTACCTGTACAGACAAAACTACCAAGCAATACCCGCTGCATGCGGCTCCAATACCAACTGATAAAAGCATAAGTTCCCTTTTGATCTGCAAGAGTCCAAAAAATATATATATATCATTATGTTCTCAAGCAATTACAACAATGAAATTTCTTTATATAAAGTGCGATACAGGATTAAATATTCAAGTGATATTGTAGCTTGAAACTTAAATGAAAAGATATCAAAATATGGTCCAATTACTAGTAGGCAAAACGAAGGTAATGCATTTCAATAATAATTTGGGACACCACGTCAAATGCATCAAATAGGTAAAAGATAACATATGTTCAAAATATCTGGAAGTTTCATAGCTTCTATCAAACAATTTGAGAAAAAAAAAAATCAATTCATTGCAACCCTTAAAAAGCAGAGACATAATACTAGATGGTATCTTATATAATAAATGCTCATACTAGCTCATTTGGAACCAAGAATGATTTCACCATGTACCAACTGCATCCCATTTTTTGTGAAATTAAGTTTGACCATCAAATTTAGAGTATCCAATCAAAACCAGATTATATCTTTTCCATTCAGAAATTGTCTAATATGCTTGGCAAAAGCTTTCTCCAAAACAATTTGAATGATATCTCAAAACAAGTTCAACAATAGCTGCTCCTAGGAGCTCATGAGTAACCATGAATGGTTTCACCCTGTCCCAACTAAATTTATATCTCCTAATTTTATGACATTACATCCAACATCATTATCCAATATTTGACTAATGTCTAATCTGCCTTGGAAAAAGCTCTCTCCCAAAAGAAAATGGCATAACAAGAAATGCATATAAGTTGGAAGATCAACTACTTGATAGCCAGTTCAAGAACATAAAGTAAGAAAACCACCATAACAACGATAATATGTTATTTATTGTGTGCAAAACAAATGAGTAGAAATGGCCTAAACAAAATAATTAACGGCCATGATTTACAACAAAGACAGCCATAAACCTATATGGAAAGAACACCCAATTTTAGACATTCCTTCACCATCGATGCCATCTTGAAATTCCCACTTATTACAAATCATACCTTAGTCCATTTTTTACAAGAACATACCCAAAATTGAGGCAAAATTTCAACAACTTTATGTTATGTTTCATAGCCTATCACAAGACTAAGAACTAGTTAATGCAAACAATCAAATTTGCTCTTTGGAAGAAAACACATCACTTGCATGCTCAAGTCATAGCATTCAAAATACTTCAAAAGCCCCAAAACAAATCATCATCAGTTCTTATCTATCTGTGGTTAAGTAATTGCGGTCTTTATCTAAACATACAACTCATCCAATATTACACAAATTTGCTCAAAACAAATGATAGACATCCTATCGAAACTTGTAAATATAAAGGACAAGTTCAAGCAATCTGCAGTACTAAATATGTAAATGTAAATATACTAAAATCCCATGCTTACTAGAAAAAGGAGAACATAACTAATATAAAAATTTTGACTTGAAACTTAAGAGAAAGACAAAATCAATCACTAGAAATGCTGAGTTCAGGTAACTATCATACTGCTTCATATTCGAGAAGGTTCAGTCTTTTCCTTCTGTCACTATCGTCCTGCAATGCCTGTATCACGACAAGCATGGGTAGGTGAAACTGAAAAAAATTCAATTCAGCAATAATTTATCCGTACAAGCATTACCTTAGCAACGGCTTTCTTGTTCATTGGTGCTACATTCTCACCTAAAAGCCACTCCTGGGTTCTAGACAGTTTCAAAAACCCACCATCGCTATCACCTTCCATGACCTACATATATTAGAGCAATCAAAATCATTGATAAAAATGTATTGTAATAAGATTCAGCAAAGCATCCTCCAATATGACACGGAAATAGAGAAAACATAAGAAAAGCAAAATGTTGGAACAAATAAAAAAAATGGGCATGCAAACTTCCTTTTTTTTTTTTTTTTGCTGTAATTGTACAAGAGTTCATTATACCTGCTCTGCTACTTGAGAAGTGTCGACCAGTTCAAGTTCACGATCATCAAAGTCAACAAATTTTGTCCCCCTCTGCCAAAACTTATCACAAGCTTTGGATATAAAATCCCCATTTAATTCTCTTTCCCTCAAGAACACTCGCAAAACATCCTCTTCAGCAAGCTCACTCACTACAAAACAAGAAATCAAAAAAACACAATGCAAACAAAATGCAGACAGCTCCTGAATCAAAAGGGCCAAAACCAAAACCCTCTAATTTCAAGCAATAACACACATTTCCTGCTTAGCCCACCGGAAGCTCAAAGAATGGGGAGAAAAATCTATATACCAATGATCTAGGAGAGTCATGATTCTTCAGTATTTCATTACAAGCCACTTGAACTCGGGAAACTAACTTTAACACTAAAAGCATTACAGAACACAATGACATAAGCCTGAGTTCAATTCAATACCTGCCAAAACTGTTAATACTAAGTCTCATATTTCTCAGAGTTAACAAAAGCAGCAAAATGGGTCTAAGAAATACAGAATATCCTCCCATTTTATTCTAAAGAAAATGGTTTTAACCACAAAAATTTTAGCAATAACCCAAATTTCCAGTTCTTTTGATAGTCCTTATGGTTATTTATGAAGCTTAAACTCTCTAGAACCCCCAAAAAAAAAAAAAAATTGAAACTTCGCATAGAAAACAGAGAGAGAAACCTACATGGCTGAGCGCTGGCTCTTGAAACTGAGACTGAAGGTGGGGTTCTCTTGAAGAGAGGAAGTCTTGGAGATAATTTTGGAGATGGGGAGAAGCAAGCAATGCTGAAGAGTGTATCCATTAGAAAATCTTCAGCTGCTCTGTTATAATGGTCGCCTTTCTTTTTCTTCTGTGGATTGGATATGGGAGGAAAAAAAAATCTATCTTTTTGTGCAAAGAATACAATTAATTGGTCCTTGTAATATCAGAAACTGTATATTTAATCACTATACTTTTAAATATCTTTGAAATTATATTTTACTTTTATTTCACTTATAAAACAAACAAAAAGTATTCATTAAAAAAATAAAAAATAAAAAAAGAGAAAAAAGGGAGTTTTAACACAGTTAAAGAGAAGGGCTTGCAAGTTACAACCTTAAAACCTAAACCCTCCTCTTTGCCATCGAACAGAACCACTTCTGCTCTGCTCAAAAACCCCTGAAACAAAGGAAGGACTGGAGCCAGAGAGAGAGAGAAAGAATTGGAGAAGATGAATATAGAAGAGGTACAGTCCACTGCCAAGAAACAGAGAATCGCTACCCACACTCATATCAGAGGCCTTGGCCTGGAGGTATGTCAACACTCTCCCGCTTTCTCTTTTAGGGTTTAGGGTTTTTTAAACTTTTTTTTCCTTCATTTTTACTGAGTATCTCTGTGTTGTTTTTTGTTATGTTTCTTTGCAGTCCAGTGGAAGAGCGATTGATATGGCTGCTGGTTTTGTGGGTCAGAAGGAGGCTAGAGAAGCAGCTGGTCTTGTAGTTGATATGATCAAGCAGAAGAAGATGGCCGGCCGTGCTCTTCTCTTAGCTGGGCCTCCTGGAACTGGGAAGACAGCTTTGGCTCTTGGGGTTTCCCAGGAACTTGGTACCAAGGTAGCACTCACAATTTTTGCACTCTCTGACTTTTCAAGTGTTTGGCCAATATCTTTTTTTTTTTAATTTTTAATAATGTTGTTTTATCACTGTCCGGTTTTAGGGATAGACCTATTGTTTTGGTTTAATAGTTGATGGTATTTTGTGTTCATAGGATTCGGGTTTTGCTTGTTTATTTGCAGGTTCCATTCTGTCCAATGGTTGGATCAGAAGTATACTCATCAGAAGTTAAGAAAACTGAGGTTTTGATGGAAAATTTTCGAAGGGCAATTGGTCTACGTGTCAAGGAAAATAAAGAGGTCTATGAGGGAGAGGCAAGTTATATTCTCAATATTTCTGTGTCAACAGATTATTATCTCACAATCCTTTGTACATCTTCAAATTGGTCCCAGTCTCCCAGATGCTGATATTTTGGTAGTGTTGTATCAGGTGACTGAACTTTCTCCAGAAGAAACAGAAAGTGTAACAGGTGGCTATGGTAAAAGCATTGGTGGTGTAATTATTGGGCTAAAAACTGTCAAAGGAACAAAGCAACTGAGATTGGAAGCCAGTATTTATGATGCCTTAATTAAGGAGAAGGTAGGCTCTTTTAATTCTTTGTTTTCAAATTCTTAATTGCGTACTCGCGTATTTCCAGCTTGTATGTGTTTCAGAACTCTTTGCTAACTGGTGCATAAGTCATCACTTATTGTTATTCTACAATACAAAGGGACTTGTACATTTTGATTACTTGTTTATTTTCTTGGGTCCTTGACCTGCTAGGATTTTTATATTTTTTTGCCCTGTAGTTTTACCTTAATCTTTTGTGCTCTTGAAATTTTCATACTTATAATAAGATTTGCAGGTAGCTGTGGGAGATGTTATATACATTGAAGCAAATAGTGGAGCAGTCAAAAGAGTGGGTAGAAGTGATGCTTTTGCGACAGAATTCGACCTTGAAGCGGAGGAGTATGTCCCCCTTCCTAAGGGGGAAGTTAGCAAAAAGAAGGAGATAGTTCAGGTACTGCCCTATTAGCATTAGGTCTGCTTTAACTTGTATCTTTATTATAACATTTGTCCAAGCTCGGTATTTTGCCATTAGGGCCTAAAAAGGTTATCTTGCTGATGTATTTTGGACAATGACATCTTATTTCTTTATAATCCATGCATAATTGTGCTGGTATATGTTTCAAGCTGATCCTTGATAGAATCTTCCAGCAAAGGGGGTGCTTTGTCTTTTAAACAGGACCAGCGTCATTCTTTGAAGCACATGTAATCAAAATGGTGAGGCTCGAGTGGCATATTTGTGTAATATTTGGAAAATGTGTCCCCAAAGGACCCTAGCTAACACTTTTAGATCTCCATTTTTAAGTAGCAGCTCAATGGCTGCAAGCTATCTAATTAAGAATCTAGGTATCCGATGCCCTTTAATTTGATTGAACTTGTCACCTTGTGAATCTTTTCCTTCCACATTTTAAGCAGTCACTTTATACTCACGGTGTGTCGCATACACCCTGGCCCTTTTTTTTCCCTTCTAATTTTCATATCGTCAGGATGTAACGCTGCATGATCTAGATGCTGCCAATGCAAGGCCTCAAGGTGGGCAAGATATATTGTCTTTAATGGGCCAAATGATGAAGCCCAGAAAAACAGAAATCACTGATAAGCTACGACAGGAAATAAATAAGGTACTGCTTCTGAATCCATGGTAGTATTTAGTACACATTTTTTTCTGGGGACAAAGGCATGAGTTAATCATTTGAAAAAAGATAAATTTAAATTAGTAGAAACTACTCATTAACTCATTTTTTTCACAAATTATCCTCAATCTGCAAATATTTGTGAATAGATCAAATGCTAATTTTGTAAAAATCTGAAGTCTTGAACACATCTGCTTATGTTTCTTCTGTTTTTCAATAACAAACAAATAAATGCTCTATTTTTGGGTTGCCGTAACCGCAATTTTATTACAGGTAGCATGTTTTATTGTCTCCTCAATTTTTCAAGCTGCTAAACTTTAACAATAATAGGTTATTCCAAGTGTGGCTGAAAATAAAATTGTTGATGACAGGTTGTTAATGGGTTTATCGACAAGGGTACTGCAGAGCTTGTCCCTGGAGTTCTATTCATTGATGAGGTCTGTTTTTCTCTTAGGCCATTTCCACAACTTATTCATGCCAATGTTTCTTTTCTTTTCTTTTTTTTCTCAAATCAAAATTCACAGGTACATATGCTGGATGTGGAGTGCTTTTCTTACTTGAATCGTGCTTTGGAGAGCTCGCTGTCGCCAATAGTGATCTTTGCTACAAATAGAGGAATATGTAACGTGAGGTACAAAGGATATTTTATGTGCTTACAAAGCTTTGCTGATCCTCATATTGGAAACTTTGGTAGCTAAAGTGCGTTCACATTTGAAATCATAATGTACATTTCTGTGTTAGGTGATAAATTCATTCAATTTTGTAGATTGTCCTAAATTTGAACCCACCCAGAAACCGATTGCCAGGTGAATTGAGTGATGGGGATTTATGGCTTGTTCTTAAAGTACTTTTGGTTGGTATCATTGCTTGGACAATATCTTTCATCTTTTAAGATTCAGTTAAATATGACTGATAGTGGCCATGACATTGTAATCTGGCTGCAGCAGATGGAGCAAGCCTTTTTGCTTGTCTAGGTATAGGAGGGAAGAGACTTTGAAATGTCTGTCAATATGTTCATATTTGGTGGTGTAGGGGAGCCAGAACTTTGATCCTTTTCTCTAGGTTGAGGAAGGAAAGACTTTGGATGGTTTGTTAGTTTATTATTTGATTATGTAGAAGGTCTAGAGTTTTGGAATGGTTTAATTTAAATTTTTTCATACTCAAAACTCCAAATAATTAGGAAATTAAGGAATGAAGGGCTGCTGTGTAGTTCGATAAATAATCTGAAGAGCAGAGCTACAGCAGGCTAGGATTGGTAGCTTGGGAATGGGTAGTTTCTTAGGAACTGCATTCAAGTGGCAGAAATTTTTATGGCAATGGTATGTGAAACTGCAGACTTAGCATTACACTACATTTTCCTTATAGTTACTTGCTAGGATTCATAAGCATCATGTCTTCACAGAATTGGATCTCACCACATTCAGATTTCAAAGTGCAAAGGCTGCAAGAATCTTCTTCAACTTCTTTTCCAAAATGAGAACTTGTCGTAAGATGCGTATAGACACCTCACAGGCTGCTGGGGTAGAGGAGTTTGAATTCTAAGGTCTATTACTTATCAAAGAGATTGTTTACTAAGTGTTTACTAAGTGGCTAGATGTTTCAAATTGAAACACCATGTGTGAGGCAAACTTGTAATGTGTGCAAAGAAGCTATTGCTTCTAAGTTTGTGACATCATCATATAGAGCCTGGTATAATGAAGTTTCAGATACATGCTTTGTTTCTACATCCAAAACCTTGGGGAATACGAATGGTGCTGTTATGCTCTCTTGGTCAAGTACCTTCCTCTCCCTGAGTTTTTTTTTTATATATATATTTTTTATGTTCTAATATTTTAGATTACTTTTTTTTTCTGTTATTTTTTTTTGTTTGGGTGTTTTGCTATTATCAATTCTTGTGTACATGGGTTGTGCCCCCTTCTAGAAAAAAGAAAGAAAAAAGGAAATGGATATGGAAAACATTTAAAAACTGCAAATCATATTCTCTTTTGAAAGTCAAATGTTCAAAAAAAAAAAAAATCTTTTGGCTTAGATATTTATTTCTTCTTTCTTGGATGTAGTCTAAAGACTATTGTTGTGGAGAGTATGCAACTAAATGCAATTTGTTGTATACTGAACAATCGATTCTAACCCTCTTCCACCGTTCCTTGCTTTTTAGAAACTGGATGCTCTTTCCGAAAAAATTCTATGATGATTTTCAGAACATTAAATGATGTGTTTATAGAATCTAGAATGATGTTTAGCCTCTTATTTTTCTCTCATTTTGGCAAAGATACTTTTTCCTTGTACTATCTTGAGGTTATAGAATTTTGTGACATTATAGGAGGAGCTTGAAGTGTGAAATGTATTGATAACTTCATTTCATTATGTTTTAGATGAATGTGACATAATTATGTTTCTAAGTGTCCTCTGCTTGAACTGGCCTATAGCTTTTGCCAACCTTCCACTTTGTAACATGCACTTGAATCTGAATTTCTGACATGGTCAAGTTGCTGTGCAGAGGGACAGATATGAATAGTCCTCATGGCATCCCTGTTGACTTGTTGGATCGGTTGGTGATTATCCGAACCCAAACTTATGGTCCTGCTGAGATGATACAGGTCAGTCCAAGTTTTATGTCATTTTGTTGTCAGTTGACTTTCGTTTAATTCCCAAGCGCTGATCTAATGGCTGCTGATGGACTTCTGCTGTCTGGTCAGATTTTAGCACTTCGTTCTCAGGTTGAGGAACTGCACATAGATGAAGAGAGTCTAGCCTACCTTGGGGAGATTGGACAACGCACATCCTTGAGGTCTTGATAAATTCATAAATATATGTCAGGTGCAAATAAGTCCTACTTACTTACTTAAGCAAGCTTTAACAAGAACATTTTTGGCTCCTCAGGCATGCAGTTCAGCTATTATCACCTGCTAGCATTGTCGCAAAAATGAATGGTCGAGAAGAGATATGCAAGGTAATGGTTGTATCAGTAAGTCACCTGTTGTTTGTGAATGAATGCACTTCAAGAGTGTTGTTCGCTATCAAATGCATGAATTTTTTTTTTTTTTTTTTGGCTGTCTCAACATATAGGCTGATCTTGAGGAAGTGTCTGCATTGTATTTGGATGCCAAGTCATCGGCCAAGCTACTTCAGGATCAGCAGGAGAAGTACATTTCCTGATTTTTCTTCATTTTCAGACCTTGTTATCTGAAGTAGCAATTTTTCGTTTGCGATCAACCTTCCATGTCGTGTGTCTGATAGGGTTCCTGCCCCTACGATTCAGCCATTGGTTCTGTGGGTTGAGAAAGCAGTTGTAAAGGAAAATGAACTGAACTCGTAACAGTTCCATGGATGGATTAACATGAACTTTCGAATGCAATTATTTATTTGCTCTTTGCCTTTTAATCCTGTGCATTTATGTAGTTATTCTTGCATCCTATCTCCGTTTCATGGTTGGTGGATACCAAAATCGTTTTGAGGTAGAATTTAGTTTCGTTTTGATTGGCATACAAGGTGGTAAAAAATATCATTATCAAAGAAGCAAACAAAAAAAAAGTCACATCTGAAAATTAGAATTAGGTTTGCCAGCTATGTTTGGGTTTTCAGGAGAGCCTAGGAAGTAGGGATGTTTTCATTTTGAGAGCTTTAGTATTTTATACTTCTCTAAAGAGATTATTTGTTATGTCACATTAATATTTTTTTTTTCATTTTTTTCTAAAATATTTTTTTATTAAAATTGTTAATTATCAAATGTAATCATAGGTTATGGGGGAAACAATATCAATTTAAGGAGAAAATCTATTCAAAATTAAAGTTGTAAATTAAAGAGAAAATTATTAAGTTAATTAACAATTATTAGGTTTAAAATAATTATGGAAAAATAACATATTAATGAAAATATTTTATTTTTAAAATTTTGGCATGTAGTAAAGTCTCAACAAGAATAAATATTTCTTATGTAATAAATTATTATTATTATTATTATTTGAAATTTTCATGTTAAAGGTATATATTAAGAATATTGATTTTGTTTTAGTGAAAAATGAAAGAAAGAATTGATTTTCTTTATTAATTAGGGGTATTTAAGGATCGATATTCTTTATCAATTAGGGGTATTTAGGAAAGTGTATTAATTAAAAGTCTAACTCCATAAGTATTTTGGAACAGATGTAAATAAAAATAATAATAATAATAATCTTTTGGGGACAGATTGAGTTTTTTTTTTTTTTTTTTCTCGTTCTCTAGCTGCTGCTCCCTTTTTGCTTTGCTCTCTTCTTGATTAAGCTCAAGAGACGTAAGTGTAATTGGGTGGTTTATAGTGTTTCATTTTACGATATAATCTTTTTCTTTTATTATTATTATTATCATAATAGAATCTTAATATCGTCTTTGTTTATCGAGATAAACAGTTTGGTCAAATCACTTTAAATTTATGCCTTTATTTTTCTCACAAGAATTTCGTAAGACTTACATAATTGAAGCAAATTAATATGCTTACACCACTAAGTTCATGACCTTTCACTATATATTGGGTACAAAATCAATATTATTAATATTTTTGTTTATTCTATAAATATATATTAATAGTGCAAAGGTCCGTATTAAATCCTTGAGGTGGGAGATGAAGCCTTCGAAGATTTTTTGACAACATGCTTTCTAAGACCTGTAATATGAATATCTTCGAAGTAGTGCTTTCAATTTATAGTCCTCAGATCAAATCCGAACATCTTCACTTCTTCGGTAGACATGCAATCCATTAATTTCTTGGTGTTTCCAATATCGTACCTAGTTTAGAACATCATCATGTAGGTCAAAAAGAAAGGATAAGTAAATCAAATTATAGGATAGAAGGAAGAACAATGTGCATGTATTTTGTGTCCTAAGATAGAACCGGAAGGGAGCATTAACCATTCGTGCTTATGCTTGATCGGTAATGCTTTTTTTGGAAACGAGTTTTGCACGTATCGAGAATATGTATATTTTGAATTTTTTTATTAAAATCTTTAGATTTTTTTTATTTAATTTAAAAGTTCTATTATTATGTTGTTGTTTAAAACTCTAATGTGCTACGTAAAAACATGTGACGAGTTTTAATCAATGATAGCTTGTCACATGTTATAATACGTCTAAATCGAGTGATTGAATTGGTGACATGACAAACTCGTCATTAGCTAGAGCTTCCCACGTGTGACAAGCTATCATTGGCTAGGGTCTAAAATAACAATAAAATAAAAATAGAACTCTTAAATTAAAAAAAAAATTAAATCTCAATTAAAAAAATTCAAATTATACGAGATCTCAATATGCATAAAACCTTTTCGGGCATCGAAGATCCAAATTCACATCTTACCTTCCTTTATAGAACAAAAATGGCTCGGATAGTTTAGCCAATTGCATAGATCGTTTCGGTCTTCTGTTGCATTCCATTTGAATATTGAGATGTAACGTAGGATCCAACTTTGCAGAACTATTTCATTTCTCATGTAACTGGAGAAACTATCCACGGAACCAAAAAGCTTCATAGGTGCGATGCCACTTTTCTTCTCCTTGGAGCCCAACAATGGTGCAGTAGTGAAATGATCATAAAAGAAGTTGAGGATCCTTTGAAGAGAAACCGGATTTTCAACTGATGATCCAATGTGATAAACATGTATTTCTGATTTTTCTGCAACCCCATGCTTTGCCATTGCAGCTATTGCAGCATTCACTACCATGTCCACAGGAACCTAGAACACAATCCATCTTAATTAGTAAAACATGTATTATAATTAAAGTAATTGAAGTAATTATTTCTTGCTTTTATGCAATCCAACAATACAATGCGAAATCCCATATAATTCACATACATCCCTCCCAATTGTCTACGAGGCTAAATGATTCAAACGTATCTTGAATTTTGAGTCAAGCTAAAATAAATCCCTAACTTCTAAAAATTTTAATTTGACTACCATAAATTATTATTATTATTATTATGGATTTTTAAGGTATCCTAGGTTTAAAAACTCAAACTAATCTCTCGCTATTCAGTCGGATGCATAAGGCGGACACAAGGATTCAAATACGAAATCACTTACTCGAATTATTAGAATTTTTTTTACTTAAGTCAATTCTCTTAGATAAAATAAATTACTTTTTAGTAAATAATAATTTTTTTTTAGATATCGACTACATATGAAGATCACGTGATAACTAGTCTTAAAACTTACATGTGTTGCACGAATTTAAATTTAAAAGCTAATGCATGAGTGGAGAAGTGATCCCTTAGCAGGATACATGTTACTTTTCAAAATTGCTACGTGATTTCCAAAATCATTGCTAGCTAGCTAGGTACAAGAAACTGCTACTTACAAAATCTACAATTGTAGAAGGGTTTCCAATTAATCCTAGGTAGACGACCTTGTCCATATGATAGAATTACTAGATCTGATATTTGCTTAATATACAAAACAAGAAATTAAACAAATTAAGAGAGAAAGAACTTGTGGAGTTAGACAATATATATATATATATATATATATACAAAACAATAATGCTTGGACGGATAATAACTAGTGAGAAGGTCTCTGATCTTTTGCTGTCTATTAGCAACATCTCCCCCATAGCCTTGGCCATTTCATAGGTGTTTCGCCAACCATAGATCTTTGCCCTTTTATCATTCGTTAAGATGATAAGCATTCTTAGTGATTAATTGTCATGATGCTTAATTATTTAAATTAAGAACACGAAGGAAAAATAGAAAGAAGCAATAAAAGAAAGATGAATACCTCTCCATTCCCAAATCTTTCATTTTTTGTGCTTGTGCTACTTTATCATTACGAAGAGATTCCACTACTCTGTCAGCCAACTTGATTTCATCATTGACATCCAAGGAAGAGACGAAGAATGCTGAGGGTTCAGATGTTATCTTCTCCTCTGCAATGCTTTTTGCCATGCAGAAAGGCTTTTCCAAAATTATTCCTTCTCTATCTCCAGTGACATACACTGCATGCATGTATAAATGATGATCATGTACCATTTTAAGTAGATTTAGTAACATGACTCGAAATGGGATGTAGTTACTTAGGTTTTCAATGTTTACTCACCAGTGGAGAAATGCAGAAAAAGCTTGAGCCTCTTGCATTTCTTTGCAAAGTCAAGTAGCCGGGTAGGTCCTTGTGTGTTTGTGTTAAGAATAACGTCATACCTGCATATATATGTTTATTAACAAAGGTTCCAATTTGATCAGAAAATCTATAGAATTAAAAGCCTTACAAGAAGTTTCCATAACATAACGTTTAAAATCACCAAGAGATTTGGTTTATTAGTAAGAAAATTATCTTGATTTGATTAAGATCAAAATTCAATTCTTATTATCTAGGAATAACTAGCTATAACAAGATTTGTGCTAGTTTGGCTTAAAGAGATAGTCTGCTAGTCGATCAAAAATAAATGTGTTCTTAGACTAATCTAGTTTGAAAAGATGGTGACTGAAAACCTCGCAAATACCTCACTCTCTATAACTAAAAAAAAAAAAAAGGGACGTTGAAAATTAGGGTTTGTTTGAGAGGTTTTGGGTATTTAAAAAAAGAAGACGGAGAGAAGAGGAAGCTAAAGAGAGAAAGATGGATGAATGGGGATTGAAGTAAGTGAGGGGTTAAATATCTTTATATTATACCAAAAATATGGTTACAGTACTTCTATCTAAATATAATTAATAACAATTTTTGTATTATAGATTGAATAATTTTTATTAGTTGACTAATGTCTCACTAATTAAGTGACAACACATGTCAATTTAAGGATAAAAATATAATTTTCTTCTAAAATCAATTTTTTTAAAAAAATATTTAATAATTATTGTAAAATCATTAAAATTTTCCTTAGATTTTTTAAATTATTTATTAATATTTATTATAAAATCATTAAATTTTGAAAAAAAATAATTTCTTTAGATTTTTTTAATTTGTCTTTATTAATAATTATTATTAAACCACTAAAAATTGAAAACAAATGCTAAAGAAAAATTTCAAAATAATCATAATTTTTAAAAAATTAACAAATTTATAATTATTATTATTAAAGAAATTTAAAAAAATCTAAAGAAATTGTCTTTTTCTAATTTTAATGATTTTATCCTAAATATTATTAATTATATGAACTTTAAAATAAAAAAATAAAAAACTAATTTTAAAAGAAAATTATATTTTTATTGTTAAGTTGACATGTGTTGCCACTTAATTGGTCAAACGTTAATCAACTAATAAAAATTTATCAATCTAACAAAAAAAAGTTACCGAAAGAGTTGTTTTGCCTCAATGTCCAATAGTTAAGATTTTTTATAAATTATATCCGAATAGAGAGATTATAATAATATTTTTTATATAGTACAAAAGCACGGAGTGCATTTAATCCAATAATTAAGAGTCATAGTATTGTTCATTTCAATTACTGTTTTTATGTTTTATATTATTTTATTCTTTAAAAAAATTAATTCATTGTTAAATCATTTTTTTAATACATATTGATTTATTATGTTGTGAGATCCAAAACACGCCAAACTATTCGAAGTTGTGGGTTTGGGTCGAATAGAACCAGGCCAAATCGGTTGGAAACCTATGTTGTGAGATTCACAATACCACATGTCAATCATTAAAACTGTTAAATTGGGTTTTTATTTTTTATTGCTCCTTCTTTATGTTTGTAATAAACAGTAAAAGTTAACATGTTGTTTTAGTCTTTATTCGATTCAAATAATTTATGTTTTAGAGCTCTACATAAAATTTTAATCTCATATTGCTCTTTTTTTATGTGTACAATAAGCTTAATATATAGAATAAAAAAAGGTGAAATATTCTTATTATTAACTGGATCTAAAATGATGTATTGATTCATCATTTTTCTAAAATAAAAATCAAACCAAAAAAATATTTTTTATATTTAATAGTGAGTTATTTTCCAAAAAAAAAAAATTGAAAATTTATTTATACATTACCATGAATGTGATTTTGTTTCATAAAAAATTTTCAAAATTATTTAAATGCATTATTTTTTACGACACTCGTTCATCTTATTTCAAGCGCACGACTCGTCGCCTGCAACATGTAACCGACGCCTCGTCCACCAGGCATATCACAATTACAAATCTGTCCGCCCTCATTGCCCTAACAACGAGATTTGCCGCTTCTTTCACCGCCGCCTGAAGCAGAGAGCAGGAGCAGTGCTCAACGTTTTTACTGCAGAAGCAAACCATGGCTTGCCTGAGCAGCCAAAAACTCTTGAAGGATAAGCAGACTCGCGACGCTAACTCCATTACTTCTCTCTCACTCACACACAGAGCTCTCTCGGATGTACGACATCGTTTCTTCTCTTCTCTTTCTAATTTTTTTCCTAATTTTCGTCTCTTATAATTCTTCTTTTTGGTAGATATCTTGCTTGAGGGAATTCCAGAACTTGGAAAAGCTGGACCTTGCCTTCAATAATCTCACCTCACTTCAGGTATGTTGAGAATCTCAAGCCAGTCCCCAAACTGTATAGGTGTGTCAATTAAGTCCTCGAAGAATTTTTTTGTCGTGTGTGTAATGGATGTTACTGAAAAAAATGTGCAAAATTAGGGATTGAGTTCGTGTGTGAAGTTGAAGTGGTTGTCAGTTGTGCAAAACAAATTGGAAAGCTTGAGAGGAATTGAAGCACTCTCTAACCTGACTGTAAGTTTTTTCTAATTTTTCTCCATTGATTGATTAATAATTGTTTTTGGAATTGGGTTTTCGCTTAATTTTTTGAGAAAATGTGAACCAGGTGTTAAATGCGGGAAAAAATAAGCTTAAATCAATTGATGAAGTTCGTTCCCTTGTCAGCTTACGTGCTCTGATTTTGAATGGTGAGCTTGAGAATTGGATGTTAGTTATGTTTTTTTTTCTTAATTGCGGGTGAAATTTTAATCTTTTGGTTTTTGTTGATTTTGCAGATAATGATATTGTTTCCATTTGCAAACTTGATCAAATGAAAGAGTTGAACACTGTTGGTAAGAAATTGTAGTTCCTGTGTTTTTCACTACCTAGGGTTTCTTTTTGTGCCTATGTGAGTGAAAATCAATTGGATATTTGTTAACGGAGGAAGAGGGAAAAAAAGAACCGAAAATGAGTTATCCTTGAAGAAGGGAAAATGCTGGGTTGTGATGCTGGTACGAGCTGATTTGGCTTCGGATCAAGGATTAATGAGGAATTTAATATGCATTCAGAGTTTGTGTAATCGACACTAATTTAGGTTGGAGTTTGACCCTATTCTTGCCCCTTAGGAATCCAAGATGAGGAAGCATGTAAAGTTTTAAAGTAAATTCCTTGGACAGTAAAAGAATGTGATTGATCAACTCATAGATATTTTCATACTCTTTCTCCCCCGAGTTTTAAAATGGTCTTACTGTTATGAGATATCCAGGATCCAACCCAGTTGTTTTCTGAGCCGTCAATCCTGTATCTTTTATGCTTTTAGTGTTTCTTAGGGTAGGTGAATGTTGGAAATGTGCTCTTTTTGACTGGCTGGAGCGTATTGCATTCTGCTCTCTGGCAATGTCAAATAAGTAAAATTTGTGGATTCTCAAGTAACACTGCCTTAATTTTGCTTGCCACTTCAAGTCTGTCAATGATGCCCTATGTAACATGCATGCCTTAATAGGTCCTAATGATTATTTTTCCACAATGATTATTGTATTTCTCGACCTTATTGATTCTGAAATAATTACAACATGAGGGTGGATTGTAAAATTTATTGTTTCGTGGGATTTGAGGAAAAGGGAAAGTTCAGCTGGTAAAAGTTGATATGCAAAATGCATTCATCATCTTATGGGGCAGGTATTGCAGAATCGATATACCTTTGAAAAGATACATAGCTGAAGGAGGGTGGGCTAGGGGACGGAGATGCATCTATGCAAAGCTATAGCCAATTAGGATGCACATGAAGGGCATGCCATCAATTGCAACTCATGTGAATGGTTTGGTGAGGGTTTAAAGTACCTGGAGCGAGCTATACTGAGAAGTTGATGGTGTGTTTTGAAACGCATTGTTATGCCATCAAAGCAAGACTGACTGAAGCACTGTTATACAAAATAAATATTGAGATGAATTACAGCTATGAATAGAGATTATAACGAAGGGTATAAATTCTTTAGTATGCTTTATGGTGTTCAAGGATGTGTGAACATAAAGCTGCTGTTTTGAAGCTTACCTTAGACATCATCATGGTTCAAGATTTTCAGGGGTCCATGTTTCTTTTTATTCCAGGAATTAAAAATTTTCCTTTTTTTAAAGTGATCTAGGCATTGATAATCTCTCTTTTTTGCAATATTTAATCCTTTGGCTTATTCTTTTATGTGGTGTAGATCAATAAATTGTTTTATGGAACATGTTGAGGGCCATGGGGTGTATGCTGGGACTCACAAAAACTCGAGATTTCTTTGGGATAACAATACTTCTCTTGGTCCTCCATTTTTACCTTTCTTTTTAACTTAACCTATTCTACTGTTAGAATATAAGTTGCTTACAAAACTCTTTGATGTCTATATGATGTATTCTCGGACTGATACAAGCAGTGGATTTCTAACTCCAACCTGTACTCATCCTTGTCCTTATTGACATGATATCTAGCTTGAGCATGATATATGAATACTTTATCATATAAATTGAATCTTAATCTAGAAAAAAAAAAAAAAGGTTTTATCATATATTCATCAGAAATGATTAGTTTCTTTGGCCTCTGAAATTTTGCTGTAGTTTTGTCTCGAAATCCAATTCGTGAAATTGGCGAATCTCTGGTCAAGGTGAAATCTATCACAAAGGTAAGTAGATCCTTTGGACATGATGTGTTTTGGTGTAATTTCTGTTAACTGCTGTCATATCTCTTAAACGTTTCTTGTTTGCAGCTTTCTCTCTCAAATTGCCAACTTCAAACCATTGACTCATCACTTAAATCTTGCATTGAGCTGAAAGAGCTCCGACTTGCTCATAATGATATCAAGGTAGGCGTTCTGTATTTCCATTTGTATTCCTGTCTGGGGATACTGAGGGTTGTAAATTATGTATGTTTCGTGCACCTCTTTTCTTTCTTTTTTTCTTTTTCCCATTTTTTGTATGAAGTTTGATTTTCCTCCTTAAATTGCTAGTTACTTCTCAATTTTTCAGACTCTTCCAACCGAATTGGCCTATAATAAGAAACTCCAGAATTTGGACTTGGGGAATAATGTGATCACAAGATGGTCAGATGTAAAGGTAATGGATATAGAGGAAGGCTTTGCTTTTCCTTTGTGCTTCAATTGTCTAATACTTTTGACCAAATATTGGCAAAATCTTAAATTGCAGGTGCTGAGTTCTTTAGTTGATCTGAAAAACCTAAATCTACAAGGAAACCCCATTGTTGAGAATGCTAAAACAACCAAGAAGGTGATACTGTCTTTCACGCTTCCATTGTTGATGTCTTTCCAGCTTTGCCCTGCCCTGCTCTGCTCACATGGCTATGATTTCACTGCAGGTCCAGAAATTTTTGCCAAATTTGCATATATTCAATGCCAGACCTGTAGATAAAAGCACCAAGAAGGGAAGCAGCGGTAGACCAGATGATTCTTCGCTTATCCCCACCAATGAGCTGGACGATCTTAAGGAAAAGGAAAAGGATTGCACAAGGGAAACGAAGTCTTCAAAACATGTGATGGATCAAAGAAGTGGACATTTTGATAATGCTGATGATGAAGTGGAGAAGGATTTGAAGCAGAGAAGGAAGAAAACAAAGGGCGAAGTCTCGAAGAAGGAAGAAGCTTCAACCGATGAAAAGGATGATAATGTGGTCGAAAAGAAATTAAAGAGGAAAAAAACAAATGAGAAAGAAGACCCTTCTAATGACCTTGAAATGGAGGATTTGAGAAGAAAAGGGAAAAAATCTCTTGAGAAGCTATCAGAAGACGATGTTCATGACGATGATAGAAATAAAGTAAAAAGGAAACTGAAGAGTAAAAAATCAAGGGAAGAACTAAATGAACTCGATATTATTGATAATGGGGAAGTATCATTTGCAGACCTTTTTTCCGTTGATGCTGCAGAAAATCCAAAACATGGTAGTGAAAGTAAAACACTTGCCAAAACTGGCATAAATGCACCGAGTGGCTTGTTAACCGTCTCTGCAAAGAAAAAGAAAAGTAAAAACCAGGGTTTGGTTTCTACAATCCCGTTGTCCCCTGCAGTTGAAGTTGGAATGGGTGGGACATCAACATGGGGTGACGAGTAGTTACTAAGAATGCTTTGCTTTGGGTTTCTGTGTTCATTCTCAAGTTGAGCCAGTCCTCTGATTGATATCAACATCTCGTGCTTCAACACTTGGTGCTTTTTTATTTGAGATGGCTTGGGTGAGTTTTCTAGGAACTTTGCGACTTCCAATTGTGTCTGTTGATCGTAATCTTAATGACCTGGTGGTTTAATATTATGGTGATTTTGGATTATAACAGTTGCTCTCTTTTGGCTTTTTTCACACCGTCAAAAACCTTTTCGAAATTGACTAGCTACTAGAAATCACTAAATCCGATTGGATTTTGGACAATTGTATGCTGAATTGTGACATTTGACGATTGCAACCTGCCATGTATGTGTCGGTGATGTGTGATGATTTGTGTTCTGCTTAACGCTAAACATGTATATATTCCTGAATGAATTCACTGGAGATCACAGATTAGTAGACATGACCAAGTTTCTCTCCACTGATTCTCAGTCCTCGTGCTATTTCTGCTTTTTTTGTTCCTAAAATTGTTGGTTCCAGTCTTGTTTCTTGGGGCATGGATGCTTTTGGCTTTTCAGATTCTTGGCTGCGGTTGAATGGGTAGTCCTTTTTCTATAATTTTTTGTCAAAGTTTTCCTATCGATATGGTATTAACTTGCAATCCGCATCTCAGAGGTCAGAAGTAGAGACTGGAGATTGCCATTCAACCAGAAATTTGACAGACTTGTCGGCTGTGTTCATTTCTTTATTCTCACTTCAAATATGGCAGCACGTCCGTTCATGGCTCCAGTCAGTTGGGGATTGAAAAATGTGTATTTATTAATTATCTTTCATTTTCACATCATAGATTAGTTGCGGATATGTCAGGATCGCAACCATTTTGGAATTAAAATATCCACTACTTGGTCAAACAACACTCATTATTCCTGGTGGAGATGGTGACTAAGAATCTCATGTATTCTTAGTAGTTTTGGCATTTATTTATTTCACTAGTTTTTGGAAAAAAAATTAATGTCAAAAGTAACTGCCGTGATTGAATATTCAGCTGAATTTAGTAAACTTAGAGATTGATTGACCAAGTTTTTAGATATGGAGTTTGTTATTGAATTTGCATTTAAGGACTAGTTTATAAAGAAATAATTGCATTTAGCTTATACAACTCCCATAAATTATGCTTTTACGTTGAGAATGGATAACTCTCAAAGGTTTAGTTTGATAATTAATAAGATGTGTTTTAATTCTTGATTTCTTGGGTTTGAATCTTGAAGTCTTCATTTCGATATGAGGAAAACTGATTTAATCACGATTAATGAATAATCTCGATGTGAAGACGTACTGATTTAATCTCGATTAATGAATAATTTCGATGTGAAGATACATTAGAAGTTATTTGAAAAACATATTTAATCTCGGTTAATGGAGAACTTAATTAGAGAATATTCCTTAACAAAAACTTTCTAGCTTATTTTAAAATAGGGGTGTAGTTAACTTGATTTGAGCATCTCCAATACTCTTTTTATATTAAGATTTTTCTTTATAATAAAGAGGTTTGATCTAAATTTCATGTCTAATGCTCTTTTTATTACAATCTCTATCTTTAAAATTGATATAGAAGGTGTCTTTGACTCTCCAATACTAGAGAGTCTAAATGACTCTTTATCTTATATTTCATTAATAAAAATTATTATTTCTTATGTCACTCGATGTCTTCACCAATAATTTTTTTTGGTTTTATAGATTTTGTCAAAATAAAGAGTTAAGTAAAGAGTAGCATTAGAGAGGATATTGATCTTCAAAATATATAATTAATGATGTTCTCTATTTATATTAAAAATACTAATTAAAAATAAAGAGTAGCATTTAAGATGCTATTAGCGACTGTAAAGAAAGTGCCAAGGGCTAAGAATTTTCAGTCAACTTGAATAATTTCTCCAAATTAGGCACAGAACAATCCAATATAGCCAATCTACTCCTCTTTTTCTACATATGTCTACATAGGGGAGCTAGAGGAAGAGAAAGGTTCTAAAAGAAAGTCATTAGATTCCTCGTTATCCATTGTAAGAAGACTGTGTATCTTACTTTAATAAAAATATACACCTTTTAATGGGCGACTTTGAATTCCTGTGAAGCAAAGTCATGATTTGATTCCTTGTCATTTCCATTAAAGAAACAAATGTTCTTCCAAGATTTTACAATGCTTTGATCATGCAGGTTACTCCAATGTTACTGTCAATTATGGATATTTACTAGACATTAATTCTTTTGATTTTTTTAATGGGGAAAGTGTTAGATACCTTTCGTGTAGAATTTTTACAAAGGATGAGCTAAACTGATTTTATCTAATAATTCATGAGTAAATTAAAAATTAATTTCTCTAATTTTGAAAAATGAATAAAATAGTTCTTTTCTTTCTCTATTTCTTAAAAAAAAAAATCAAAATATGAAAAAAAAAAAAAAAAAGATGGTTAAGTTACAAATAGATTTAAAAATATAAGGGCTGATTAATTATTTTTTAAAACAATAGTGACTATTTATTTAACTTTTAAGACTATAGGGACTAATATGTAATTCAACTCAAACGGAAGGGTTGGAAAAGTATGAACCCCGTGTGTGGAAAATGAGGCGATAAAAGACACGGAAGTCTGACTTTGCCTCATGAAAAGCAAGGCAAAGGTCTTGTCATCGTGTTTATCTTTATCTTCACACTTCAACACAGAAGTTAGTTATTGCTTGGATATTTTCAGCTCTACAAGGAATGTGTGCCCAAGATATTTCCACTGCTGGGACTTTTTAGGAAGCAACACTTCTTGAATGATTCATACCAAGTCATTAATATTATAAAACAAAACAAAACTATATAGAAAATCAGACCGAGGTTTTCCTCGCATTTAGATTTTGTATTATCCAAATTTTTTTATTGAGATATTTTATTTTATTTTTTTTACTTGATTGAGTTTTTCTATTTTTAGAGTTTCTTTTTACTTCATATCATTCGTTATAGCATCATCGATTAATAATCTAACACGTTATCTTTATTTTTTAAGATTTTTTACTTCAAAATGTCATGTGTTAATTATCGACCGATAACATTATAACATAAGGTCTAAAATAAAATAAAATAACTAAAAAAATAGAAATTTTCATTCAAACTAAAAAAAACTAGCCTCTCAATTAAAAAATTTCGAAGAGCAGAAGATCTAGATGTGGGTAAGACTTATTATAATAAGATTTAGTTGCTCAATTTTTCTTTTTATAATAGGATAATTCTTTAACATGTGTTTATATTTTTAAATGAGTTAATTTTATTATTAAATATACTCTGAGTTTCTTATCTATATATCTTTGACAAGATTTTCAAGTGATTTTATTGTATCAATTATTCAAAACGGTGCTTGATTATAATTGGGGTTAATTGCTCAATATCTTTATATAATATAGTAATTCTTTAATATGTCTTTATATTTCTAATTGAGTCAATTTTATCATTCGAATGTATTTTAAGTTTTTAAGCTATTTTTTGGCAAAAATTTTGGGTCGAATCAACAAAATTATCGATGCAAAATTAGTTACGTAATTTACACATGACTATTATTTATTTCCAAAATACTTTTGCAAGCTAGACAAATAGAAATTTTTTATGTACAAATTATGTGACTAATTTTGATGGTTTGACCTAAAAATTTTGTCAAAAGAATAAATTTAAAACTTAACGTATATTAAAAAATAAATTTAGCCCAATTAAAAACATAAGTGTAAATTAAAGAATTATATCATTATATAAATACAGATAGAATAATTCACTCTTATAATAACATATAGTTAGAAGAGAAAGATTGCGAGAGCTAATTAAGTATTCAATGATTATTATTATTGTTATTATTAAAAACAAGTAATTAACACATATACAACAAAAAAATAATAAACATCAATGAAAAAGGATATTGATTAATTTTTTAATTTTGCATTTTTTTATCCATATATCATGTATTACAATAATTAATCTAGTCATACAACATCTTCAATAATATTATCAGTCCTAATAAATTATATATATATTCATCCTCTATTCCCATGTTTTGGTCATGCTGTGACATGAATAAAAATAAATACCTGCATAAGTCATAGCTTCGTATATTGATTAAGGCACTGACGGCTTAGATTTTTTTCAAATTCTTTCATGCAAAGGCAATTATTAAGCATGCCATGACTGACTTTCTGTGGATAATTCATGGGAAACTCGGTCTCTTTCTTTTTTTTTTTTTTTTTTTTTTTTTTTTTTTTTAAATCAGCAACAAACGAGAAAGGGAAATGTGTGAAAAATCAACTTGTGCAATTGGGGATGATGTTGAATTAATAGTTCAGTCCAGTCAACTTGCAGCTATTTAGCAATGGAATTGAGTCAAAATATATCCCCACTTCATATTGTAGTTCAAAGAATCAAGGGATAGAGGACTTGGTGGATGTTGAATAGTCATACTTGGCTAATTGATGGTGAGATCATCCCCACCTCGAATTGAGCTTTTTTTTAAAAAATAATAATAATGAATTCGTCGAGATAACTTTAATTACATATAAATTAAGTTCTTTAGTTTCGAAAAACGAATTAATTAATAATTTTTGTTTTAAAAAATCATTATTTAATTTTTATATTTTAAAATTTCTTGTAGCTTGATTATTTTTATTTTTTTCAATTTATTTTGATTTTTTTAAAGAAGCAAAAATAAATAATAAATAATAAATAATAAGGAAGAATTTATGAAAAAAATGACATTTTATAAAGTAAAATTAAATGAAACTAAATCCTGTCAATAGTAATTAAAATATTAAATAATTAATTTTTTAAATAAAAAAATAATTAATTCGTCTCTCTCGAATGTAAAGAAACTAAGTTGCAATCTACTCTTTTAACATTTATCCCCTCTGAGAATCTTTTCGTATGCAGGAGGATGAGGATGTTATAGATAATTTCTTTCTCTTTTTTTTCCTTTCTTTTGTTTTCGTTTGAGGATATTTTCGTGTTCCAATTTTATTAATATTTTTTTAAAGGTTAGTATACACATATTCTGATTATCCTACATTCAAAGATACCATAAAGTTCTGTTGGATTTATCGCAATTCCAATAGATTCAGAACTTAATGCAGGTGGTGGTCCAACAAATGTATTTCTGGATATGTACGTAATTTTTTTAATTTTTTTATTATCAAGTATATGCATGATCAATTTAGCTCATCTACGTGATCCTTTTATTTACTAAAAAAATCAAATCAAAATCAAATCAAATCAAATCGTGTTCCTTAATAATCCAGCATGCAATTGATGCTTGACGTATTCACAAACTTACATTACATCAAACATCATGGATCAAGTAATTAATTAGTTTAATAAAAAGAAAATGAAATCTAACCAAGTTCTTGTAGCTTGTTGCCTGCTTTCCCCGGCATATCGATCCCATCTAGCTTAATTTGTAGGCTAAAATCAAGAATGCTATGTTGCCTACGCATGGTTAACAAATAAATTAAAATTTAATTTCTTCATTGATAAATACGGATAAGGTTTGATAATTGATTATTAAATTTGAATTTAATGGGTTATTATTATTATTATTTCACATCCATTTAACGGACATGGATAGAGTATTTTTGAGTATTCATCCATAAATAAATATATTATTTATTTTCAACAATATGAAAGAAGCTACATACCTTTTCTTCCAAAACATATAATCGAAAAATTTTATAATACTTAAAAAATAATTAGTCTAACTTATTCTACAAAGAACAATAGACACAAAAAAATAAATAAATAATTGAGCCAACATGTAAATTTTTTTATTATTTTTGATGGATTAGGATGTGATTTTTTTATATGTTTATTTTTCTTTTCGAAGTAAGCTCACAAAATAACAACTCGTATATATATTTTAGCTATTTTTGAATATTATAAAATTTCTCACGTTTACCGAATTGAATGAGAGGACGAAGAGTCACTAATTAAGTGATTTTTAAAAAATTAAAATAACCACAACTAAATTATTTTGTGACAAAAACCATTAATTTCTCGTCCAAATATTGAAAAAATAATTAAACTATATTCAACTCACCTACTTATTGTCCGAGTAAATTATAACTTGGCCCTTCTTATTTTTCAAAATGAATTAAATAATTCTTTTTGTTTAAAAAATTAATTATTTGATGAATTAAGTAGTGTTAACCATATTCAATTAAATTTTTTTTTTGTGATATTATATTCGTTTGGCCAGAAATTAATATTATATTCGTTATTCTTGTCATCTAGCTATTTATTACTCATCCTTTTGATAATAATATTTATAATTTAATTTCTTTGTTTTTTTTTATAATATTTATTACTTATGATTACAATTGGAAGGGAATTGACAACGACAGATCTAACCCGGATTAAAATGCCTGCATATCAATCTAAAGGTCCATAGAGAGAGACACACACAAAATCCATCCACACATAAATATTTTTAAAAATATGTATAGAATTCGATATATTAAAACAATTTTGGACTCGTTCTACATGCCATGATCATCTAAATAGTAAGGCCATTTCAAAGAACTGTGCTATCCTATTCCAACTTTTTCAAAGTCTTCGTAGCACAACTTAATTAGACCGCAACCGATCGATCTTGATCCTTGTTATTTTAAATTCTTGTCTAATATGTGAGGTTTATTTTGATTTGGTATTATTTTTGTGGCCTATAACAAAATAATATTATTATCAATTAAACTGCATTCCTAAAAAAAAATGACAATATGAACTCAATAAAAAATTAACTCCAACCTAACTCAGTAAAAATCAAATCCACTACTAATAAGTTACACATTAATTGATTTCGAATTTAATGGTTAAACTCTGCTATGGTAAAAATGCTAAAAAAGAGGTTTTACAAAAAAATAAAAATAAAAAAATAGCTCGATGTCAAGATAATAAAACACTTAATACCTCTTATTCTTTTTATTTTTTCAATATGAAATCTATTACCGATGAGGAATAAGCTGTTTTCTTGCATTTTTCATTAATTGCTACCTCTATTAGACATAGTATTAGTATTAATAACAATCTCTCTTGCTTAATTGCCTACATCTTTAAGAGTATATATATATATATATATATATATATATATATATAGAGGACCAAAGACCAAGAAATTAAATGTGATATAAAGTCCTGTCCAAATTATGAAGAAAAGGCCCCAACTTGCAGTCAATCTTTCTTTTTTCTTTTTTTCTTTTTTTTTTTTTTTTTTGGGGGAAAAAATCAACTTGCATGCATGCGTCATTCAATTTGGCATATTGAACTGTAATCATATTAGGCAAGCTCATGTTAATTCTTCTCTAACAAGACAAAATTATTTGATTAAAAAAAAGCAAAAACAAATTATTCGTTTTAATTCTCTTATGACAAAACACATGCTAGTTAGCATCATATATAGACGAAACTCGAAGCAAAACATTTTTAGTTCCATATGAAAAGCTAATGAGTGTCTTTTGGTATCCATTAATGTAATTATTAACTTTATTTATTATTAGACTATGTTTTTTTTCAGAGACTAAATCAGTGATAAAAACACTTTTAATTTTTGATCAATTACTAGACTTAAAACCCAACCTAAGTTTAGTAGCATTACGGGATAATTATAATTAATTATTCATGGATAATAGCTTAATAGCAATTGAACTCCAGTCTCGATCAAATTAAAATAATTCTTTTATAATTAGATCATATTTTTTTATGCTAAATCAACCATATTTATTAAATTAAATAATCTAATAAATGCTAATTTATATGATAATGTTTTTTTTAGGTGTCTACTTTACAACAAATTGATTGTTTATTTATGTTCTATATTATAACCAATTCAATTGGGAAAAAAAAAAAAAAACCTCTTCTTCTACTCAATATATTATGTCATATTATTAATAGAAATTATTACATATATCCAGGGTTTTATTTTCTCTTCTCGTATAAACATGAGGTTTATCATGAACATTATATATCATGCAAAAGTATCCACTTAATATACAAACTGTAGGAGGAAAAAGTCCAAAATTATTGATGTTTTCATATTTATATGTAGTAGAATAATTTAATTGCTTGGAGCTAACCATTGTCATGTAAGTCTATGGATCGAAAAGATCAACTTGTCTTGCCTTCCTTTTTTTTTTTTTTTCCCCAGGGAAGTAAATCCGACAAGTACTAAGCAACTCGTGAATTTAGACATTAAATTGACATTATCGGAGTTGTTAAAGTGAGTTATCAAACGTTTTAAGATATCCTTTTCTTCCCATGCTTACGCAAATTAAGTAAACTTCATCAGAAGCATTGTAAGCACCAAGCAACACAAGTGTGTATGCCTCATTGATTAAAAACAATCAAATCAATGTCTATATTGTTCAAAATCTTGCAGTCTAGCTAGTACATTACCATTCAATGATATTTCATGTTTGTTTTCCCACAACTATAAATAGTTATGGTTGATACTTGTCAAAAGATAACATTTACAATTGAAAACCTTTTTAATTTAAAATTTATGCATAACCATCATTATTTTATGTTAAGTTATTTAATTATAATTAGAAAAAAATAAAAGTGGTGATATTCAAATCGCAACTGTGTGATTATTAAAATTTTTATTTCATGTTAATGAATTATTTCAATCCAAAAATTTAAAATATTAGGTGAAATATTAAGAATAATTTGATATTACTATCTAAAAAACCTTAAAGATGGATATGGGGGATCAAATTGTAAATTTTTATATTTCTATTAACTGACTGTATGTTTTATTTGAAGATGGGAAAGTGATTTGCAGTCAACCCTACTTTTTTGTCTCTCCTAGTGTCCAATGAGGAATGCAAGATAGAAGTGCATGGGATCCTCGTTATAAATGTTTTAGGGAAGCACTAGCTAGCACTCATAAATAGTTTAATTTTATAGTCAAAATTTGATATATATATATATATATATATATATATATATATATATATTGCTCTTAAAACTAAATAGTGAATAATACGTACTAAGCATGATGATATCAATTTTGTTTCTTTTCTCAAGAAGATGAGAACAGAAGAGAGTAAGGATAGATCAAATAGAAAACAACTTGGATTCGAGTCATATCCTCATCAGTTTCTTTTTAAAAAAAAACTCAATTTCCTCTTCCTAACAATAATTTATTGTTTTTTTTCGTAAATTAAATAAAAAATAATAGGATTTTTCAAACCAGTTTTTATATATATATAATAGTTTTGTCCTAATTAAATCTTAAATTGATAATTCATGCTGCGGATTATTATATTTAGGATAATTTTTTTCTCACGGTGTATTTTATTATTATGTTAGAAGAAAAACCGTTACGGGGCTTTCACAGTAAAAAAAGAAAAAGAAAAAAGAATTGCATTAGGAAGTCGAGCAGAACATTCGTAGAATAAAAAATATAAATATAAAAATCCATTTTTGACTCTTCCAACCATACACATTCACTATAAAATCCCCCCCATATCTCTGTCTCAGGTCAAGCCTCCACTTGTGAAATTTCCCAACTTGAAAAACACCAAAAGAAAACATCATTGTAAGCATCAATGGTTGCTCTCTCGACTCCACCACCACCATCAACAACCACTCAAGATGGAACCATCTCTACTCTCCACCCTGAAATCCTCCAAACTCACATCCTCACCCTCCTAGATGGCCCAACTCTGGCAGCTACAGCCTGTGCATCATCAGAATTATATGCTCTCTCTACAGAAGATAAACTCTGGCGAAAAATTTGTTCTTCCACTTGGCCATCCATTAATGATCCAAATGTTAGTAGCATCATCTCCACCTTCCCTTCCGGCCACAGGTCGTTTTTCTCTGACTCATACCCTCTCCTCCACCACGACCGCCACAGTTCTTCATTTCCGACAACAAGCACTGAATGTTTTGTCTCGGCAGTTGATATTTACTACAAAAATGTTCCAATTTTCTCAAAAGTTGTAAAGACTGAGACTTTGACAGATTGGTTCAAGTGCTCTCCCTTCAGGGTCGACTTACTTGAGCCCAAAGAGTTTGTTCAGACATTGATACAATACGAACCAACTGAAAAGGACTTGTCTGTGAAGCAACTTGAAGAGAACATAACGTTAAGTTGGATTTTGATTGATCCCAAGAGGAAAAGGTCCATGAATTTGTCGAGCGAGAGGCCAGTGTCAGTGCAGAGGCACTGGCTAACTGGGGAGGTGGTGGTCAAGTTTGCCTCCGTGGTGGCCGGAGACGGAGGGGAGAAGGAGTTTGTGGAGTGTGGGGTGGTGGTTTGCTGTGGGGAGAAGGAAGGAGGGGAGATGGAGGTGAGGGAGGTAAGTATGGGAATGGAGGATATGGAAGGGAGGAATTTGACTGGGAAGGATAGTTTGGTAATTTTGCAAGACGCTATGGCCATGGGGGAGAGGAGGAAAGGGAAAGATGGGAAAGAAGGGAAAGCAAGGCATGAGGAATTTTTGGAGAGGAAGAAGGAGAGGAAAGAAAAGATGCATAAGTTGGAAAAGGCTTTGGACATGGCTTGCATTGTTACTGGGATTACTGTTTTCGTGTCCTTTTGGACATTCATTTTGTTTAGGTAAAAAGAGGTAAAAAAAGAAAGAGGAAAGGTAAAGTTTATGCATATTGATGGTAATTAATGTTTATAACACAAAAAATTAGTGATGTAAAAGAAAATTAGGGAATGTTGACTATTTATTACTGTTTATTAATTCATTATTATATAAAAGAAAGAAAGAAAAAAGCAATGGTCAAATTGGATTGGTTCAAAACTTCTTCAAGTCAATGAATATGCAATTGTTTGATTGCAATTTGGTAAATCTCCATTCCGTTGCCTTTATCTTGTAGTCAATTTCGTAGTTCTTATAGTGGCGGTCAATTCATGCAGCATGACATTGTTGAAAAAATAGAAAACACTAATGGGATATGTTTGGCAATAAACTATTTTATTTTGTTACCATAGAAACTTAGTTTGCGAAAAAGGTAATCTGATGGGGTTATGATTAATCAATTATAGCATTTCTAGGTTAGTTAATTTGATGAGGTTTGTTTTCTTTCCTAATTTATTGAGTTCAGATCTTGAATGTTGATTTAGAAGACAAATTTATTCATATCAAATCGATGTAAATGATATATTTTTACAAGAAATTATAAAATGATTATGCAGTAATTAATAATGCTTATTCATCATCGAATCTATTTTAAAGAAAAAGACACACAAAAAATAAGGAGATAATGACATAAAACCTCACCAAAAGTGATACAAATATTTTCTTTTATGCTTATTTTTTTTAATTCATACTTTTTCTCTTCTTTTTTTCTATTTTTTTCCTATAAAGTAAGTATTACTCCCCCCCCTAAATGATAGTTCTTTTAGCTTTTTAAATAGTTTAAGAAACTTATTAATTATAATGTTATATCAATATTTTTATAATAATATATATTTTAAAAAATATGATACTCTGTTTAAGAAAAAAATCTTGAAATAGATATAAATTTTTTAATAATTTAATCTTACATTTTATGAAAGCTTGAACTGGAAAAGTAGTTTGAGACATATATAAATAAAAATGAGAAAATCTACTCAATTTAATCGTTCATTATAAAATAGAGAAATTTTAGAAAAAAATACAGCATTAAAATCTTAGATTAAACAATTATTTTATAACAGATATGAATAGAAAATAGTACAATCTGTTCCATCTATTTGGAACGGAGGGAGTATTAATTACTCATGAAATAAGATAAAAATATCTCCATCCTTACTATCCTTTAAAAATTTACTTTCAAAAACTATGGAAACTGATTCGAGAGGGTCAATTACCGTAGTAAAAAAAAGAAAAAACAAAGGCCGCTAACAATGTTCTAGTATTTATATATGATCATTCACAGCCAATAAATGGCAGAAGAAAGGACATTGGGTTGCTAACAAGAAGCCGGTCAGTATATTACAGCAGTTAGTTCAAGACTTATGAGCTGCTGTGCCGGCATTTCTTCCTTCAAAAATTTTTATGCCATTTTTGCCTTCCTGGCCAGCTCTTTTGGAGGCTCTATGTTTTTCTTTCTCCGCTGCCTTTCAATGGTTCAGTTGCCAGCTAAACATGAAGATGTTCCTCACACTTTTATTTCAGTCTGAATTATGTATTAATAAAGAAAGTTAATGTTTATCAAATCAAGGTATACACACCTTTGTACGTGTGTTTAATCTATTTGATAAATGAGTATATTTCTCAAACTAAATTTTAGAGAAAATCGTAAAAAAAAAAAAAAAAAAATTGTTTGTGAATGCATGATATGAATAATATGATTAAATTTTAATTAGAAAGAAATTTAGTTTCAATGTGTGGAAGTTGATCTTAGAATAAAAAACAAAAAAAAGGTACCAATCATGTGAGATTGATAATGTTAATAAATCAAAAATCAATCCGTTCAAACCTCCCCTAAATTAAATAATTTGAGAATTAGTGCCTCAATTTTGGATTGGATCTTCTTTCAATTATGTTTCATTTAAAATTTTATCATTTTGTTAGGTTTTTATCAATTCTAATGTGTGAGTGCAATTCATTAATATGTTAGAATATGTCAAAATTTATAAATATTTTACCTTTTCCTTTTAAACTTATTTCTTCTCTCCTAAATGTTAAGAAGTGCAACTAGTTAATATTTTAGAAGAAAAGAAATAAGTTTTAAAGGTAAAAACAAAGCATCCATAGATTTTTTATTTTTATTTTTTTATCTTTCAAAGTATCTTAAGCCCAAAGAGCTAGACTAATCCCTCGTTATTACGTTAAGCGAACAAGACGAGAAAAACTATCCATAAAGTTTTTTGCAAATATAAAAATTCAAACCCGACACTATTTATTTAAGTGACTAAAATCTTTTTCACTTAAATCAATCCTTTTGGATAAGTTGTTAGAAAAGTTAAAAATCAACCAGGTGTACTTTCATCGTCAAAATTAATGAAAACCAAATAATAATAAAAAACTCAGTTTTAAATGAAAGATATTTAAAAATAAATTTAATCCAAAATTAAAAATAAAAAACTAATTTCAAATGATTTAAAATTCAGGAAAGATGGGTACCATTTAGCCTAAATAAAATTTATCCTTTTCTTTCTCTTGTGAAAATAATTGGGCCCCATCGTGACCCAAACTTTTCAGAACAGGGTCTAGAGTGGAACTAATCTATTGCCCAATCTCAATCTGGGCCAAGTTCATAACATAAAGAGCAGCCCATCCTCACCATTCCACAAGTTGAGACCTTGAGGATAGCGTTTTCTTCAGAATCAAAATCAAGCCAACCCCAACCCCACTTTATCCATGCAAATCCTATGTGGCATAACACCATTGATCCATAGCACATCCATGCAATCTTTCTCTTCCACAAAAATCCTCTTCTCGTCCAAAACAAAATCCTCTAAGCCCGTCGATCATCACCACCGCCACCATTGTTCATTTTTGGTACAGCAAATCTTTCCATAGCAACTAAACTACTAAGCAAATATGGCAGCAACATTTGCTAGCTCATCAGCTGTTATAGGATTGGGCAGTAGCTCACTTTCATCCCCTTCTCGCATCTCTTCACCCAAGAAAATCTGCCTTAGCTCAGGTACTTCATAAATCAAAGTACAATAATTTACTTCAGTTTTCTAGTAGCTGAAAAGATGAGATTAATATTAATATTTTTATTCTAATCATATATGTGTTAACAAGGCTTGGTACATTATATTATGGGATACAACACAATAATTTTTCGTAATTTTTTTTCAAAGAATCATGTATGTTGTTCATGTAGTTGAGGCATGAATTTTTGGTTCAAGTGAAATTAAAATTATTTAACTGTATATAAGTTAACCGTTTGATCTGTTTTTATATAATAAGTTAATTTTTTAATCTGTTTTTGTATTTTTAATTGAATTAATTTTATCTTAAATATATTTTTTAAGTGTCTAATCTATCTATCTATTAAGTTTTTTTTTGTTAAATTATCAGAATTAGTCACACAATTTACACACAAAACCCTTCTATTTGACTGACTTATAAAGGTATTTTAAAAATAAAAATTAATTATGTGTAAATTACGTGAATAATTAAGATGATTTGACATGAAAATCTCCATAAGCAACTCAATTGAGGAAAGAAGAACATATTAGAGAACTACTTTATTATATAATAGTAGATTCAGCTATTAACCCATTATAAATAGTGTATTTTAGCTTATGTTTTGGTTGAATGTCAGGATTTGTGAAATCTCCAATTACAGCTAGAAACCCACTTAGGCTAGCAGGCACCAATGGAGGAAAGTTCATGTGGTAAGGTGTTGAATGTCATAATTATTCATGTTTGATCTGATTTGAGATGATCATGCAATTATTTTTGTAATGATGAATTAATTGTCATCAATGTTTGGTTAATTTCTTTTTCCTATGGCAGCTTTGAGAGGGATTGGCTGCGCACAGACCTGAATGTGATAGGGTTTGGATTGATAGGGTGGTTAGTACCGTCAAGCATACCGGCAATTGGTGGCAAGAGCTTGACTGGTCTCTTCTTTGAGAGCATCGGTACTGAGCTCGCCCACTTCCCTACCCCTCCTGCTCTCACTTCTCAGTTTTGGTAGGTTCATCGAGCCCCATTAAGATATAGAATTTTAATTGATTTTTTGAGAAGATTATATTTTAATTATTATAGAGAACTTGGGAATTAGGAGTACTAAATCAAAATGTTGGCACATCGATCTTAGTTTTGTTATCCTAATTATTAAAAATGGATTTGTGATACTAAGCTTATCCCATTGGATCCATGTTCTTTAGAGTAAATTACAAATTAATCTCTCTCGTTTTGAAAAATGAATTAACTAGTCATTTTGCTTTGAAAAACTTATCATTTAGTATCTATATTTTTAAATCTACTTATAACTTAATTTATTTTCATTTTTTATTTTAAAAAATAAAAAATGAAAAGATTGAGGAGGAAAAAAAAATTTTTAGGATAAAATAATACTAAATTAAACATGATCAATATTTGTTAAATGATTAAATAATAATTTTTGAAATGAGAGGGATTAATTAATTCATTTTTTGAAATTAGGAGGACAGATTTATAACTTATTCTTGTTCTTTAAGTGTCCTAAAAAAAACATAAAAAAATGATGAAATAAATAATATGTTATTAACATGATTTTCTTCAATGTATTCCTCTAATGATCTCAATAGTTTTAATTTGGTTGATGAGTTAATATATTTCTCTCGTAATCCTCTAGGATTTGAATCTTAGAAACGCCATAAGAAATTAATATTTTCTCGAAAATGCTTGTTGAAAATCTAATTGACAAAAAAATATTTTTAATACGAGAAAAACTAGCTTAAATATATACTTAATGTTAAAAAATTAATTTGAATCTCAAATTGAGCAGGTTATGGTTGGTGACCTGGCACATAGGGCTATTCCTTTGCCTTACATTTGGGCAAATTGGCTTCAAGGGAAGGAGTGAGAAGTACTTCTAAATAAACTAATTATCAGCTTGCTTTTATTTGTAATAACCTATGTATGATATTATTTTGTATCTTCACCTCATCTTTTTTTTTTTTTCCTCCTTGTTCAAAAAAATACTATCTTCTTTTCTCTCTTCCTTTGGTTATATATATACTGTTTTTATGTACAAAGTGTCAAAGTGATAGTCATCTAACTAGCCATCAAATTGAAGTGAAAAAGAGAGAGAGAGAGAGAGTGGACGAGGAATACTTCTTCTTCTTGTTTCTTTTTTTTTTTTTTTTTAATTTTTTACAAAAATAATTTAGTAAGTTATATAAAAGAGAATTATTAGTGATTTATTAGTTAATACATTCTATAATTATCATTGCATCCCGACATATGATTATATTTATATTTCAGAATTTGAAAGTCGATATTTTTCAATAGTAAATTAATGTTACATCATTTAGTAAAAAAAACAATTATAGAAAATTTAAATATTCCTCGGATCATTCAAAAAGAAAAACGTAAATATGCATTATGCCTAGGAAAACACCTCCATTGGAATATTAATGATGCTCTTCCAGAAATGTTTAAGTAATTAATTATATATAATCTGTCCTGTTCTTGCCTAATTGTAACGTGCAAGTTCCACGGACTTGACGGTAATAGATTTCTTTATTCTTTGAGAATATGCCTGCAATCTTGCTATGCCTTTCATAGTAAAAGACTAAATTATAAATTATTCCTTTAAGTTAAAAATTGATTAACTAGTTTCATTTATTTGAAAAATTATACTTTTAGTTCCTTGATCAGTTCTAATCATGGTTAATTTTATATTATTTTATCTTAATTTTTCTTCTTATCAATCTTAAAGAACGAAAATTAAGTTAGAAGTAGCTTTAAAAACATAGAAATTAAATAATTAATTTTTAAAATAAAAAGAATTAATTAATTTGCTTTTTGAAATTAGAAGAAATAATTTTGTAATTTACGCAGAGAAAAAAGTGGTTAAATCTTGATATACGATGAATTTTTTTAATTTTGTGTGAAAAAAAAGAAAAAGAAAACCAGCAGGTAAAAATTGAAATGAACGTGTCTTAGTGCTGATCTCATAGAATCCAACATGCCACGATTTGAGCCAAGAATTTTATATGGAGATTTGGGTATAATTATGATCAGTGACCGTTGTAGAAGAATAAAAAATATATATATAAGAATATAATAGGTCATTTCAAAGTTACTTCAAATATTAGAGTCGTAATCATTTTATTTTATTTTTTATTTTTTTAATTCATATACTTAAAATATACTTAAGACTTTTAATAGAATTAATCTATTAAGATTAGATACTAATTATTTTATTTAATTAACTTCAACTCAATTGTGGCATGCATGTGCTAGCGTATGAATTTATACCACGATCACATGCTATGATACTCTTAACAAAAGCTGATTATGTGTACCATAAAATAATTAAATCAATAAGACAAAAGGGTCACCGTCTTCCTCCTAAAATAATGAAAGAAAATCCAAGAAACCATGTTAGCTAGCCAGGAAAAAAAATACCAATTTATTGCACCCATTAATACACGTTATTGTAGGTGATGATCAACAAATAATTTTACTATTAATAATTTAATTTATACCCTAAATTATTCTGTCAGCTTTATTAAATAAAACATGTCAGCAAAATGATCACTGCCCAATGCACGAATGACTTAAGTAATATGTATATTAACGTGGTCGAATCCTTATCCACTTATTAATCCATGTAAAATCAATAGCTCAAGAACACAAGTAATTTATAAATTAAACCTTCTAGTTTTTACAAAGGAATTAAACAGTCCTTGTTTCAAAAACTAAGTAATTAGTTTTTTTTATTAGTGTTGATCATAGTTAATTTATTAATAATTTAATCCAAAAAATATTTTTTTCTCATCAATTCTTTTTTTTTTTTACTTTTTTTCTATTTAAAAAAATAAAAATAAATTAGAAAAGAACAAAAATATTCAAATTACAAATAGATTTAAAAACATTGAAATCAATTGATTAGGGTTTGAAACTAAAGGGACTAATTTATAATTTACTCACAAGAACACGACCGACCAATATGATATTTATAATAAGTATAGTTTAACTGTTAATGACATTGTTAATGTTATTACTATCTGGGTTTTCATATCTTTACAGGTACTGTAGATCTGCTTGCTTCTAGAATGATTTAGTAGGAGAATTTTCCAACCCACACAAAAGATTCTGTAGATGTTAAAAAAAAAAAAAAAGAATATAAGATTTCTTTGATGTTTAGCTAAAAGAGAACAAAATAGGGCATTTTCTTATTCTTCTTTTCTCTGTCCTCAATCATGAAGCAATCACTATGCTATTTAATAAATCCATGATGATTTCCTCAATAATATGTTAAATCATAGGGTAATTATAGTAACCTTTTGAGATATCATAAGATTATACTAAAGAAGTTCCTTTATGTTTTCAAATTACTTTTGATATTTTAAAATTTTTCTTAGCAATAAAAGAGGATGATTTTAAAAATATTAAAAGCATTTTGGAAGAGATTTTTGTATTTTTTTTCTTTAATACAAAAGAGGTTTCTATCATATCTATTCAAAAATTTAGATTATCAATTTATGATTTTACTATGTCCGAGAAGAATTATTGTAATTTATGATAAAGGATTTTGCTATTATCGAAATTCTATAGAATTTGAATTTATTTTATTGCAACCCTAAATTATTTTTTCTCTACAATTTAAGAGTTCTACTCTTATATTATTATTGTTTCAAATTTTAATATGCCACGTAAACACACGTGACAAACTCTAGCTAATTACAGCTTGTCACGTGTCATGATAAATCCAAATTGGATTTTGATAAAAATAAAAAATATATATATAGAAAGCTTTCATTGGTTAGAGCTTGTCATGTGTGCTTACGTGATATATTAAGATATAAAATAACAATAAAATAAAAGTAGAACTCTTAAATTATAATAAAAAAAATAAGGTCTCAACGTATAACCCTTATAATAAATCATATGATATCTTATTTATGTATAACATAACACAACTTCAATGTGAATCAAAGTTGTTAAACTCAAATTCTGACATGAATGAATAGAAATTTCAAAGAAAAAGAGGATCACTACTCTCATTATGTGATTCAAAGAAATATCTAATCAACTTCAATAAACCAAAATAAAATAAAAAAATAATAAATAATTGACTTCCATAATCTTCATAGACACTTAGTGATGCGCTTCCATGATTTTCAAACATGCTTTAAAAGACAATTGTGTTTTTGATTAATTGTATCTAGAGATTTACCCATGATTTGTTGTAATATTATAACAGGTGCTGCCCATCAATCTTACAGGTCTGTACTTGGGTCTAACAGACTCTTATGCTTTATCTATGATCTCCTCTTGTTTTGTTCTTGACTTTTTTCCAAGTATACACGTTTATTATTATTATTATTATTATTATTATTGGGGAATGATAACAATACCACCCTTCTCAAAATTCCAACTCGAGAGGGCTCTAGCATTATGACATAATACCTTTTTTTCTAATTCCTTTGTATAAAAAAATATATTTTTTTATTTTTATTTATTTCAAAATGATTATTTGATCAAAATATTCAAGTCATTTATTTATCAAGCAAAAAACCAATGCCGATACAGAAGTATTGGCTACCTAGAAATAGAAGTGTTCATTACTCGGTTTAAATCAAAAAATCAATCAAGTTCTGTTTTTAACTAAAAATTTTAAACAAAGTACTAATCCTAATGTTTTTGATTTTTCAATTTCAGTTTGGTTTTTGAGATTTTGGGTTCAGTTTAAAACAAAGATTGAATTTTATTTTATTTTGTAAAGTTTTATAATAATATAAATAAATGAAAAACTCAATAGCTTCACGTATACAATGGATTAAAATTGTTTTCAACCTATTTATATTATTTTAAAAACTAAAAAAATCAGAAAAAATAAAAATTTTGATTTAAGAAAATCAAAATGAAAAATCAAATTACTATTTAATTTGGATTCGGTATTTAATTTTGTAAATTTGATTAATTAAAAATGGAACCAAAATATTATAAAATTGAGCCGAAAAGCTGAACAAACAGCCCTATTAGGGAGGTTGGGGTGACGAAATTTGCCTTCGTCATGGCCAAAGACAGAGGAGAAAATATTTTGGAGTGTGGAGTAATGGTTTATAACATAACGACATAGAACAAAAATAACAAAAAAAATAATAATAATAATATCACTACAATTTCAAAACAAAAAACAAAGGCAAAAACTTTTAGTATAATGGACACCTGAACGACCTGATTTATTTTCTTTGCTAAAAAGATAGGGTCATTTTAATGCCCTTGGCAGGAAGCTCAGTCTACCCTAACAAAGGGACGGCTGGTGTGGTGGCCCTCCATCCAACAGGATCTGGGTGTCCTTTTGTCCCAGACCTTGAGAGCCGTTAGTCGGGTCCCATGTTCCCCACCCTCTCTTACCTCCCTCCTTCCATCAGATCCATAGACCGGTGATCGCACAGCTCCTTTGCTTTCTTGACCTCAAAATACATGGTAATCAAACTAATCAGGTCCAGCTAACAGAGTTCAGTGGAAGAGACTAAGAATTTAAATAAATGAACTCAAATTTCTGTTCTTTAGGGTCATTGACAAAGAACTGGGATATGTACTGACTACTGACTTCATCAAACGGTCACTAGAATTATTACTTTCTGTACTTTTTCTTATTTATCATATTTGTGTACAAGCCCATTGTTTTTTCGGTTTATGAATTTCTATCCACACAACGTGACATGTTAGGGTTATGTTGTGGGATTCAAGGACAAGGTTGCATCCTATCGTGTGTTTGCCCAGGGTCACAAAGAAAATGTCAAAGCAGAATGATGCATGGATTTTGAGCATGATAGGCTTGTGATTTTGCCGATTACTACGATCTTAAGGTTTGATGTTAAGGGTTAATGTAATGTCGATGTTTGTTGCTTGATGTTGTCTGAGCACGTATCTTATTGATGGGCGATTTAAAAAAAAAAAAATTAGTAATTCAATCTATTTTTATATAATAAAGTAATTTTTTAATATTTATATATACTCTTAATTGAGTTAATTTTATATTTAAATATACGTTAAATTTTTAATTTAATTTTTTTAAAATTTTCATATCAAATCACCATACTATTTATTTGTTTTGCATATGATTAATTTTTATTTTTAAAATACATTTATAAGCTAATTAAATAGAAATCTTTTATATGTAAATCATGTTACTAATTTTAATAATCTAGCTTCAAAATCTTTTTCAAAATGATAGATTAGATAATTAACATATATTTAAAAATAAATATAAAAATATATTGACTATTAATATTTTTTTTTAAAAAAAAACCCATTTTGGTGATATGGCATATTGAAGTGAAAACCTCCAATTGCTTCCTTTTTTATTATAATAAGATTATAATTTCAAGCACAATTTTCTTTCCCTTTTTTATTATTTTTTTAAATTTTCTTGAGAATGCAAGCGCAATCATATTATTATCTACTTGTCTCTGTTTTTGCTCCATTGAATTTAGAAGTTCATTACTTTTTTGAGACCTAATTATGTAGGCAGGCATTCAAATCTTGAAGACATTGTTGACTCCATTGATTGAACCATCTTGGTTTCCATACCATGCACAAAAGATGCAACAATCAATCAATTCCATGCCAAATTCAATTAACCTAAGCCCAAATCTAACATTCTTTATGCAAATCACATATTATTGAAACAAATAGAAAGACAAGACGCCAATGAACAAATAATTCCTATTGTAATTTTGTGGTTAAAGCTTTCCTTTTAATGGTACTTCCTTTTTTCCAAAGAAAAAAACAGAGCAGTTGAAAGGTTTTGATCCGTATGGAACCATCATCCAATTATTTTCTATCATTGTCCATACCACAAACTATATACATAAAAAAAAAAATATTATAAGCCCAAATTAAAATATATACAACTTTTTTTTAAAAAAAGTAAAAATAAACATACACAACTAAAAAGTCAAATTGTTAATAATTTTACATTTAATGCAAATTTTAATTTTCTTAGAAGCAAATTTGAGTCGGACATTGACACACTCATAGCTTATTCATACAATACTTTTCAAGTAAAGTTTGAAAATAATATTTCATAAATTTTTTCTTTCAAATTGTTACAAATTCCATTTAATTTAGTCAGACTGATTTAATATCATGGAATTTAGTTTGGCTTGATTGGAGTTCTAAATTTATGCTTGTTTTTTAGGAGTATGTAATCAGTCTATCTATGCATTTATTTTTAATTATTAAGTAAAATCTCAAAATAATATTTCTTAAAATCTATCATTCAAATTGTTTCAAACTCCATTTAATTTAGTCAAAAAAATTTAATTACATGATATCCATTTCAGCTTGATTAGAGCCCTAAATTTATGACTGGATTTCTAAGTGTATATATTTCTTTTCAATTTCAAAAAATAGAGGACAATCTAGGAAAATAGAAATTTTTGGTGCAAATTACGAGGGAGACAAAAATAAATACGAATGAACCTAGTCAATATTCTAGCCGTTCATTTACAGATGTACGTTCCTGATTCACTACAAAAAAACGCTCACGTGTACGCCACGTCGTCTTCTTGTCCTCTTTTAGCAGCAAGACAAGACAGCAACACTAACGACACATAGTTTAGTGTTTAACCTCTGTCTTTGCCTTTTGTTTCCCTCTCAAGATCTATGAATCAAACCTCACTAAATTTGCTTCTAACAGCTAATAACATTCCATTTCTTGACAGTTTGTCCGCACCCCACTTTCTTTCTTCCTTCCTTTTCTAGGTTCTTGATCTCTTTAGACTGAATCTTTGATTTCCCACTTTTTCTTTCTTTCTTTCTTTTTTATGTGTTCTTTGTGGAATTCAAGGTAGGAAGTTTGGACTTACCAAAAAGAGTAGGATGATGGGTCACTCTTATCAACTTTAACCTTCAAATCTGTAGAATCTTTCTGAGAGTTTGAAATCTTGTAGTGGTATAAATCTTGAATTTTGTGCCACCACTAAGCTAGCTAGCAAGATCTCGACACTTTTTGTTTCTCTTCTTGTTTTCTTGCTACTCAAACTTACTCAATCCTTCATTAATTTCAAAAATCAGGTACAATCTTGAAAATCTTGAAGCAAGCATAATTCTTGGCTTTCCTTTGTTGCACCAATGCCAAGAAACATGATCATGGATATTTGCCTGATAAATATGCTAAAATTTCTCATTGAAACTCCAAATCTTGGAAATCTTTGGAAATCTTCGGAAAACATTCTTTGATGCTCGTGATTGTCTAGTTCCAATCTTGAGAATACTACAGGAGGGCTATTGGTAAGAATGTTTTAAGACATTTTGTGGAACTGTTGGGATTGTGGTATCATTTTATGGAGGCAAAAGGCAGAGAGGAGGAGAAGCAGCAGCAGCAGCACTGTAAGATAAGGAAGAGAGGGAATTCATCATCTTCATCTTCTTCTTTAGTCCCAAATTACAGATTCAAGAGAGCAATTCTTGTTGGAAAGAGAGGTGGGTCTACTACTCCTGTCCCAACCTGGATGACAAGCTCAAAATCACCAACGTTGGCAATGCCGAATGCTGAGTCCACTAAGGGCACAACACCTCAAAATGGAGGCAAGGCCAAAGAAGTCTCAGTTTCTGCAAGAAAATTGGCCGCCACTTTGTGGGAAATCAATGGAATACCTTCTCCAATAATTAAAAAGGATTTGGAAGACAAGAAAGAGTTTAGAAGCAGAGAAAAAGTTACAAGGTTGCCACATTTTTCAGATCCATCTTACACTCCTTTTTCAGAGGTGGAAAAAACATTATATTTTTCTTCGTTTTTGGGCTTTCATATTTTCATGTGAAATTTACTCTCATGATCTTAATTAGACTTGAAAAAAATGAACCTTTTTTTGGATTATGCAGAGGATGGAGAGATCTAGAGGACATAGTCATAGGAGAAGAACATCTATTGTTACAAAGAGACTTCAGCTTACTGATTATCATATTGGAGGTTTGGATTCTATAAGCAATGCCAGTCTGTTGGAGGTAAGTGAAATCCTTTTTTATTTTTTATTTTTTTTTGTGTTTGATGTCATTTTCAAATAATTTTCCATGTCTCTAAAGGTTATAACATGATTAGGATGGCACAGTATAAACGGTCCTAGTACATATTTTAGTATAGTGGTACTTGAAAAATGTCACTGAAATTGACTCTATAAACACCAAATTTAATACAGCTTAGAGCATTACTCTAAAAAAGAAAACAAAAAGGTAGCTTTCAGCTTTGTTATCTCCATGGAAAATAATAATAATAACAACCATTAAGAATATTTATTTTGGAATTCTACTAATTATTCAATTTTTGAGATTTGTTCATCCAAAAAAAAAAAAATCTTTTAATGATTTTGGATTTACAGAATAGCATTTCAAAGTCTAGACCAAACCTTTCCCAATATCTCTCCAAAGGGTGCAGTAGCTATGTTTTTATATGGAATTTATGAGCAATTCTGAGCCAAAGTTTCTTGATGTGCATGAAATTTAGCGGAGAAATTAGCATATCTTCAGTTTTTTTTTTGGGTACTCTTTGAATCATCAATGGAAGTTTGAAATGGGAAATTTGCGAGAAAATAAGGATCTGCTAGTTTTTTGTCAGTTGTTTCACTGGGAGAATTTATATTAGAGAAATAACTGATCCAATCTATGAAAATGCAGATTGAAAGTCATCCAAAAGGCAAATCTCGTAGAATTGGAATGAAGACCTGTTTGAAGGATGTTAGTAATGGGCTAACCACCTCCAAAGAGCTTTTGAAAGTTTTGAATCATATTTGTGGTCTAGACGAGAAGCACTCATCAAGCCTATCTCTTGTCTCCGCCCTCCGGATTGAGCTTGATCGAGCCTGCCTTTCAGTCAATCAATTGATAAAAGAACAGCGATCTAACCGCAGCGAGATTGAGTACCTTATTAAGCATTTTGAGGAAGAAAAGGCAGCTTGGAAGAGCAAAGAGCGTGATAGGATTCGCAATGCCATATCATGCATTGCAGAAGAGCTTGAAGTTGAGAGGAAGCTAAGAAGACAAACAGAGAGATTGAATAAGAAGCTTGGGAAAGAATTGGCAGATACGAAGGATTCTCTGTCAAAAGCAATGAAAGAGCTCGAGAGCGAGAAGAGGGCGAAAGAGATATTAGAGCAAGTTTGTGATGAGTTGGCTAGAGGTATTGGAGAAGACAGAGCTGAGGTAGAAGAAATGAAAAAAGAATCTGCACAGGTACGAGAGGAGGTGGAGAAAGAAAGGGAAATGCTTCATCTTGCTGATGTGTTGCGTGAAGAAAGAGTCCAGATGAAGCTCTGTGAGGCTAAGTATCATTTCGAGGAGAAAAATGCAGCTGTTGAGAGGTTAAGAAATGAGCTTGAGAGCTACCTGAAAGAAAAAGTAGGTGAAGAAAAGGGTGATGGTTCTCCAAGTTATGAAAGGATCAAAGAGCTTGAGGCTTATTTAAAGGAAATCCAATTCGGATCATGCCAACACGCCGTGAGAGAAGAAAACGAAGGGGGCGCAATAGGAAATGGAGAAGTTCATGACGGAGATGATTCAGCTGACAGTGATCTTCATTCCATCGAATTAAACATGGACAATAACAGCAGGAGCTACAAATGGTGTTATGTTTCTGAGGGTAATGCTCTAGACAATCCAAAGTGGTTTTCAGGAGGTAAAGATTTCAAGGGAAGGAAGTCGATCTCCGATAATATTCAATGGGAAAACATTTGTTTGCAAAGAAGAAATTCCAATGGTATCGATGGTCCTGATTGCGACTTAATCAACGAAAACCAGGGAAGTCTGAACGTGCTCAATAGGGAAAGGTTTTCTGAGCTTGGTTTCCATTCTCAAACACAAGACCATGAAGATGAAATGAAGAAACACAGATCTGTCAAAACTCTTAAAGACCATGTATTATATGGTTCTAAAAGATCATCAACACAGAACTTTGCCAGCCCGACGCGCGCGTGGGGGCAATCCTTGCCTCTTCAGGATTCTGGCAGTGTAGTTTCAGATGATAGTTCACCTGTCATACAAGTGGATGATTTGAAGCCCAGGATAGGCGGAACACGAGGTGCTCGTAGAACTTCAACAAGCTCCAGACATTAAATATTCTTAATTATGTTTTTTTTTCTTTTTTTTGCAGAAATGCAGTACTTTGCCTTTTCTTCTGAATGTTCAAGCCTTCCTACAGGCAAATTCATTTGCATCAATCAACTTCTAAAACCGAGAATGTAAATACAAATCATATACAAGATGGATCTGTGAAGATTAGTCCATGAAAATGGAACAAAAAGAAGTCTGCTTTGAACATTTTTTTATCTGTAAAGAAAGTGCTTTCTGAGACCAAAACATTGACTTAGCAGATAAATGTAGTCCTTATCTGCTGTCTACATAATTTTCTATTAAAATGCAGACACTTGCTTTTTTCGGTCGAATCATGACATCTTCCTAACCTCTGCCAGGTCGAAACTGATAGGGAGACAGCCAAACTTTGAGCAATAATTATTGAACTTGATAATTTTTTAGATGAGGTTGGTCAGGAGTAGATACTGAGAACGTGTTTGGTAAATTTTCTGATGTGATGGTCAGAACTGTTCTTGCTTCTATCCGGCATAGTTTCTGATGACCACCACATGCAAACTGACTCTTCCAAGCTGGGCCCTTGTATTGATGCAGGAAATTTGGTCTTTAGCCAGCAAATTGGAGTAAATTATAAATTAATCCCTTGTTTTGAGAAATGAATTTATTAGTCTCTCTTGTTTTAAAAAAATATTATTTAGTCTTTATACTAACTTTTAGTTCTTTTTGTTTTTTAATTTATTTTGATTTTTTATTTTAAAAAATAAAAAAATATGAAAACGTTAACGAGAAAAGAGTACATTTTGTGGAATAAAAGTAATATTAAATTAAATATGATCAACACTAGTAAAAAAAAATTAAGTAATAATTTTTAAAACAAAAACGATTAATTAATTTATTTTTTGAAACTAGAGAGATTAATTTATAATTTACTCACACATTAGATGACCTTGAAAACATTTCAAAACTCTTAAAATATATGCGAGGCAAACTTCCAGTGTCATTACTTATTCCTTGAAAGTTGAAACATGTTTTGTAAATTTCTGATACCAAGTTACTGTTCTGGCTCCTCTTCAACGGGTGCACGTGCGTGCGCACACACACATATATATGAATTAGGTCTCGGACGTTTCTTTTATTTTTCAACCTAATTTTTTTAAAAGTATTGCTAAATCCACCGTTAATTTTTTTATTCTCACACTTGCTTTTTCGAGTTACCAACACACTTTTCCATCAATATTCTATATCAAAGTGAACTATATTTTATATTAAATATCTAAATTGCCTATCAACATTTATATTTTTTAGTTTTTTTTTTTTTTGCACATTTAAATTTTAGATATTTTAGGTATTTGATATAAAACATATTTAAATATAATATAGTAACAAACATTAAGAGGGAATTTTCGAAAAATAAATGGTGGAAATAACAAATTTGATAGTGAATTTAACAACACATTTTCTTTTAATAGTTTGTCTAACAAAGATATTTTATGGACTGAAAATATTTTTTATTTATAGAAAATTTGACACAAAAGTTAATGAATAATAATATTCTTGGTCTAATGTGCATGTTTATGCACTAAAAATGTTTTTATTAATAAAAAATTAGACATAAAAGCTAATAAACAATAATATTTCCGATCTAATATGCAATACTTATGCACTAAAACGATATCAATTTGAAGTAAAATTGACAAAAATGTTAACGGACATTAAAAAAAAAACTTGATTGAGAATTTTTTTGAAACCTAATAAATAAATGGATTTAGGATTGAATTGAGTTTTTTTTTAACCACCACATGCAAATTGACTCTTTCAAGATTGCTGCAGGAGATGTGGTCAATAGGCAGCAATCAGATCAGGTTGGAGAGTTTTCAAGTCTATTGCGTGCCATTAATTAAGCATCGAACAAGACTTGGTCCTTTAAGATGGATTACTAGATGGGTCTTCTTCTCAAACTAGAGGGACTAATTTATAATTGAGAGAGACTAATTTATTATTTACCTGGGTCGTGCGTGATTCAAGGGACGAAGGGCCTTCTACTTCAACAGTTTTATAGACCCATGATGACCTTTGGAAGAGCAATAACAATCAGAACACAAGTACATGCCCACAAGAATTTATAAATTTATTGAAAAAAGGCATTGTTCAGTTATAATTCTACCAACTTGGGGCCCTTGGAGGAAGAATTTACATTCATTCTATGACTCTAAGCTTCAGTCTATGAACAGACATAACACAATTTTACACTAGTGGATTGTCGATATAAATGACCTTAATGATGATCATGATGCCTGAACCAGGAAGCAGTCGTTTATTGGAGATGAGGCAGCTTCGTTTTGCAAGGCAAGCAGTAAAGCTGGCAAGTGAGAATATAGCTACCTATGAGAGCCTTCAGTTTTTGCAGAAGCTGATGTGAACATAACTGCGTTTGTTGGATGGTCCCTCACAGTTAAGCTGAGAACTTCAGGTCTTGAGTAATGCCCAACCACATCGAAGTCAAATTTTGCCCTTGCTATTTCTCCAAGATCTGGTCATGATTTTGATAATTATCAGTATCAGAGTTCTGCTCCCAAAATGAAAACTCAAATATAGCAATCCAGTTTCCAGACATTTTATGCTCTGATAGGGTGACATTAATGTAGCTTTAGAAAACAAGAAAATAGGGATACCCTTAATCGTAACAGACGAATGGACATTTATAGTTTACTACACAACTGATACAGACACATTAAAAACCCAGGAGAGATGGTAACCTATCAGATCATGCCTTTCAAGAGTGAGTTGAAGTTTGAGCATTATGAACCTAATTATAAATATAACAGTTCTTCTCCAAAAATGAACCTTTAACAGTTGAAATTTGCATGATTTTGTTTAAGTATGTACTCCGTTCGTCCATATTTTTGCTACATCTTTCATCCTAGACATGCATGCACTTTCATATTTTAGATATAAGAAATGACAAATTTTAGCATCAGTACCAACCTTTCTATAGTAAAACAAACAAGTGTTAGAAGATTGTGGAATTCAGGATGATTATTGCTAATGTCTGTTTTCAGTGTCTCCTTATGGTGATAGAAACGTACTGTAACAGCTGCTTAGATTTCACTTCTAAGATATCTGAAATTATATATGATTTGTCTATTCTCCTTAGAAAACAACAGAAACTATCTCTGGCAAGCATTATACAGTATAGCGTTTGGATGGCAAATAGAAGCATGAAAGTTTGAGATGAAAGTGACAATGTACATACCTAGATCTGCAGAGATTAGTGCCTCACCATCATAATTGGGTCCAGCTAAAACAGCTCCTAATGGTGATATAATGACACTGCCTCCAGCACAGACAACAGAATCAGGTGTGAGGTCTTCTTCCATGCCTGAAAAGACATACTCTGGGGGTGGTGGGTAATCTTTCCTCCGGCAAAACTGGTTGGCGGATAGTACAAAACATCCACCCTCAAGAGCAATGTGGGTCATTGATGCTTGCCAAGTATCCCTGGAATCAGCTGTGGGTGCACAATATATTTCAATACCTACAAAACCAAAGTATCATGAGTTAAGGAAAAGGTATAAAAGATGAAGTCAAAATAGAGAACTTAAAACATAAAGAATACAGCAATCTGATTCCATCAAACAATAATGTGAATTATACATTTAACTCTATCCTAGCACAACTCTTAATCAGCTCCTTTAGTTGAGCTGATCTTGAAAAGTGCGATCGAAAGAAAGTTAAAGCTCAGATCATAGTTGGGCCTCAATAAACACAGGAACATTCGCAAACAAACACCCAATCACTCAAGTACACATCCTCACAGACATTCCCTAATGTCTACCTAAAATTGTCATTCCAAGCAGCATAAACAACAAAAACAAGTGTTGCTGCTATGACGGCTATTTAGACTGGTTTTGCCAACATAACTCACCTTTACCATACATTGCTGTCCTTAGGAGTGGCATTCTATTTTCCCAACAGATAGCAGCACCAATTTTCCCAACCGGAGTCTCAAAAACCGGAATCGTTGATCCATCCCCAAATCCCCAAACTATACGCTCCACCGCCGTTGGCATAACTTTTCGATGCTTCCCCATGTATTTACCTTGAGAATCGAAAAACAACACAGTACAGTAGAGTGTATAGCCCTCCCTCTCAATCACACCCATCACCAAATATACCTTATACTTCCCAGCCATTGCAGCCAAACGGTCAATTTCAGGACCTACATTATACATAAATCATTAACAGACCCTTAATTAATCAATGATTAAACTCTTCATTAGTCAGCTAACAAACCCTCAATCAATCAAGCCATTCAATCAGCAGCCAGGATCACAAAAAGAAAAAATCTCAACCTTATTCTTACCAGGAACATCAATGGCTGAAGCATGATACTTTCGGAAATCCTCTCTACCTTTAGCTGTACGATTACCAATACTAGCACCAAAACTTGATCCCCTAGGATAACCACCAATAAATGCTTCAGGAAACACGACCAATTGAGAACCATAACCAGCTGCTTCAGCCAGCAATCTCTCAGCCTTATCTTTAACACAAAAGAATCAGGAATTAGAACATGATAACTAACAAAAGAAAGCTTCTTTTTCTTCTGGGGCATAAAGAATTCAAGTACCTAGAGTGGCAGGAGTGTCATAGAATACAGTGGAGGCTTGAACAACAGTTGCACGAACAGTAGTTGCTGAAGAGTCGGAACCCATGTCTACCTCTGCAAAAATTGGGCTTTCTGATGGCGGGACCGTAGAGACAAGAGCCATTCTTTTGGTCTGAGTGGAGAGTGTTTGGCCTGGGGCTGTACTTATTGTCTGAGAATGGTGAGGTGATGACAAAACTGGAACACTTGCTTGCATGACTATTCTTTTCTTCCTTTTTTTAAGGTACGAGAGAGTTCTGGATAGATCGAACTCTGAAGTCTGACAATGTGATGGCTTTTTCATGTTTAAAATTAAAAAAAAAAAAATGGTGCAAAATTTAGAGTAAATTATAAATTATTTAGTCTCTGGGTTTTTATTTCTATTTGTAACTTTTTTTTTTGCTTTTTTTCAATTTATTTTTTTCTTATTTTAAAAAATAAAAAATAAAAAATTAATGAAAAATATTTTATAAAAAATAATATTAAATTAAACATAATCAATCCTAATTAAATAACTAAATAATAAATTTTAAAATAAAAAATTAATTTATTCAGTTTTTAAAACTAAAAAGACTAGTTTATAATTTACTCACAAAATCTAATACGGTCTGTTGGTTCTCTACAAATATTTATTTTGGAAAAGTTTTGCATTACAAGGATGAAAAATTATATATATAATTTTTCACGTGCTAAAAAGTGTGAGTAGAAAATAAGATTAAAAATAATTTATTTAGTTTTGAGTTATACAACTTTCCATTTCTGGTGCATCCTTATAGACCCAATTTTCTCGTTTCCTTAGATAAATTCCATCATCTCTTAATAGCCAAATAAGTAAATTATATTAAATTAGTAAGAAAAGAAAATACTTTTTAAAATAAAATAATATTAAATTAATGATGGATAATAAACTAAATAAGGGTAAAAAGATTAATTAATTAATTTTTTAAACAAGAAAAACTATTCAAGTCATTTTGCAAAACTAAAAGGATTATTTTACAATTTACTCCCGAATTTTCTCTTTTCTTAAATGGACTTCATGCATCATGTCTTGCTAGCCAAATTATATCAATCTCAAAACACATGGAAAGAAGCATGAGATTGATTGTCTTTGTGCATAGAAATTAGGGAAATTGTTGATTTCTCTTCAAACTAATTATAACCAAAGAACATAATGCAAATAATAATCAGAAGCATTTTTATGCGATAATGGCATTTCGGTTTTGTATGATCGTTTGCCATTGATAACAGAAATGATCAATTCTCTTCTGTTCTTTGTTGGCAACGTTCTCAATTTTCTTTCTTAGTGATAACATTTCTAGATAATATTGATTTACGATCTCTAACATGGTATGTATGCATTAATTAGATTTTTATTGAAATGAATGTGGCTTTCATGATATATATATATATGGTCACAACGGAGGATTTTTCTATTCTAGTTTAAAAAATAGAGATTATATCTCGATTGACATGAAAATTTGTTCGAAAACATTATACTATTTATAATATTATATAAAAAAAGGCAAATTGGTTTGATCTACGTTAATTGAATACAAAACGTAATTCAATTGCTAAAATCCTTAATAATTGTTCAATGATATAGGAGTATTTTTAATCCAAAATTATCATTGCAACTTTATTATATGACGACGATGCACTTATTTGATTTATATTATCAATGAAATTATTATCTTTTATAAAATAAAAAAAATCATTTAAAGTATTAACCATGTTATGTATTGGTTTTTAACATTATGATCTATATATTATTGAACGATTGTTAATTTATAAATATTTTATTATAAAAATCCTTTTTGGCGAGTGTATATGTTTTATTTTATAAATTAATTTTGTGACAGGATAATTATAATATAAATATATCAAATTTTAATTTTTTTAAAACTATTAATCAAGTATTTTTATTAATTTTTTGCTAACTGATGACGTATTTATTATTCTTAAAATATGAAATTATAATTTTATCAAAAAAAATAAAAAAGATAAGAATGAAATGAAAGGAAACAAATGGAAGGACAAATAGGTAACATGACATAAGAACAAATGACATAAAAGAAAATTAACTCAAAACATAAGGGTGAAAAAAAAACTTCTTGCCTGGCACAAAATCTACAAAAAGAAATGAAAAGGAAAGCAAATGAAAAAATGACATTTTAAACACATTAGAAGGAGAGAAATGGAGAATCGTGTGGCATTAAGAAACGTGAATCACGCAAACCACAAAACCAAATGAATGATTCAGATGTATGTAAAGATGTCAAACAATGCAGTTGAGTGATAATCTAGGTTGCTTTAGTCTGTGTGAACAGTTTAAGAACAGAAATATCACCCCATGTTTTAGTTTTTTTTTTTTTTTTTTTTGGTAATATGTCATCAGCTAAACTTAGCATGTGCCGTAGATAAGAAAAAACAGGTGTCCAGGCCTTAAATAAATTCCATCATCTTTTTCTATTCAAATGATACGATAGGCGGGTAGACTATTGAGATTAATGCCGCCATGCTTATTGACTGTACTTGACCAAGAAGGCAGAAGTTATCAAACGAAACACGAGATTTCCTGCACCAAATAATGTTGCACCCCACAAGTTTCCAAGTAGACAAAACTCGAATTCTTGATTGGACTTGAGTGTGGGGAAGGCTAACATAACCTACGTTTGAAAAAATAAATAAAAGAAGAATAACATATAAAATTAAAAATAAACCATTGGTTATAAAGTTAAATCTTTTCGATAGAATTTTAATTTTATGTGTTATCAGAATTTTAAAAAATTCAACGGCTCACAAAAAATCTTAAAGCTCAAATTACTTAACATACCTAAAAAATAGATTGCACGTAAAGAATAATATTAAGGAACATATTTCATATTAAATAGTTAAATAAAAAATTATTAATATATAAAGTTGAAAAGAGATCATCACTAGAAATCTTTTAAATAGAACTCACTCTCTATTATTTAATTTTATATGATATTATAGCTACTTGACATACTCAAAAGATGTACTGCAAGTGAGAAAGTGTATTAGAGAACACATTCCACGTTGAAAAGATAAATAAAAAAATGATGAACTTATAAAATTGAGAAGTAGTTATTCACTATTTTAAGTTTTTTTTTTTTTTTTTTGGATAAAAGTTAATCTTAATTGCTTAACTCCATAGATGCTAAAATCATCATCTGCATATTTGTGTACATGCAACACCTTCTTGTTGCTCATGTCATTCCCAACATGTACACCCCAAGCAATAGAGGGAGTTATGGCCATTGCCAAGACAAGGATAATGGCTCCTTAACTTATCCTTTTGCACACAAATTATTGATTTCTCCCGAGACAAATTAGTACAAAGATGCATCAATATATATGATTTATGCAATAATAGCTTTTCTGTTTTGCTTATCAAATCTCTTTCGGCTTTCTTGATTTCTAGTCATTTATAACAGAAATTATCAATTCTCGTTCTGTTTTTTTTTTTAATGTTTTCTTTATTGGCAATAATTTTTATATAATTTCGATTTAATTATAACCTCAACATCATAGTGTGTTAATTAATTAGATCATTTTGTTTTGTTTTGTTTTGATCATTAGACGTTAAATTAATTCAATACAAATGTAATTCGATTGTCAAAACCATGTATTTAATTGTTCAATCATATAAGAGTAATTGATAAAAATTTTATTTAGATAATTTAAGTATGCTTGGATTCATGAATATGAATGTGTAATCAAGAGGGAAGAATGAAAATACTATAATCATGATTACGATGGCACATGAATGTGAGCCAAGTTATTTGGAAACTCCCAATGCGAAGAGATACTTTTGAAACAAATTTCTCTTATATAGACCATGTGTACTTCTCATTTCACCTCAATCAATTAAATATTTGTATAATGATTTTTAATTTATAGATTTGCATTGTGTATCTTTAGTTTTTATATAAGGTTTTTATTTTATATTTTTTGATGTTTTTATAGTAGCATGTAAGCTCGTTTCTTTCTCTTCATAGAAAATCTATGACAAAAATAAAATAATAATAATAAATAAATGTTGAAAATAATTTTTCAAAATTCTAACTTCTGACTCTCAGTTATCAAAAAGTTTGAAAATGTTTTATTTATTTTTTTCTTTTCTAAGGGAGTTTGAAAAAGTTGTCAGCTCAAAATTCACTCATAAGATATACAAGATGAAGCAAGAAAAACTTTGGAATAAAATTATATATGACTATATGAGTAAAGAGGTGACAATTTTATAAAACCTCATAAGAATTCGGTCCAACAAAACCCATTCAAGACTCGGTTAAAAATAAAAATACAATGATCAGTTGAACATGATTTGATATTTTATATTGTTTAATTATTTTAAGAATTACCAAAGCTGTAATCACAGTCGAGAAATTCGGTTAGATGAAATGCAAACTATTTGTGCCTAGCTTAATAATAATATAAGTTATTTTTTATATTAATCGAGATTAAATATATTATTATTTAGACTAAATTAATATCAAAACACGTTTAACTTTCAATCGACTATTAAATTATCCTTTAAGTTATGTATTCTTCACGGGGATGATTTCATTTTTATAAAAGTTAACACAATTAGTATTTCAAAAACTAATGCCGATATTGAATAAACTGATAAAAATATTCTTAAAAGTAATTTAGTCATCTCTCACCTGATTAGTGGTCACTGTGTTTGTTAATTTCTTTTATTGACATCCGGAAATAAACCCTCTTTACATCTCTCTTTAAAGCCCCCACCACCAGACCATAACCACTGCTTCTAGTATTTCTTTTGTTCTTTTTTTCATCTATTTTTTTTTTTTTTGTTTTTTCTTCAGCTTTTTTCTTTTGTTTTTGTTGATTTTAGAATTTATTTTTTTGAGATTTCTATAAATAAAAATATGATATGTTATTTAGATTAGATCCTTTATATTTTTTTAAAAAATAGATATTTATCTAAAAAAATGCGTGAAACATGAAAAAAAAGTGCATGTATGAAATAAAATTAAAAATACTTTTTTTTACGAATAATTATTCTTAAAAATACTTTATATCGAAAACCAATCCATAATTATATAATAGCTAGCATTGTCGTTATCTTTTTTCTTCCATTTCGCATACAAAACGTCCTTAGTGGGTACTTTTCTAAATATACAAAGAATATAACAATCTTGTTCCCTCAAATAAATTCCATCATCTCTTGCTAGCCAAGTAACAATATTGCTGCCATCAGTCTTCTGGGATAGTTGAATGTGTTGGTGCTTTCTATCGTAAATCTTATCCTCCCAAAACACGTCAAAACGACCACGAAATTTATTTTCCCAAGAGAATTCGCATTTATATGTGGAATCACCCAAAATGTTTTCCTGGAAAGTAAACTTAAACTCAGCCTTAGACTTGAGATTGTAGCGGCCAAGATCACGATTGTAAGTGAAGCAGTGTAAATGCATCACCTTGTTGTTGCTCAGTTCATTAACAATACGCACATTCCACTCGAAGTGACTCCATATGCCCCAAGCAATAGAGGGAGTTATGGATTTTGCCAAAAGAAGTAAGAATATTGAACATTTGATGTTGAGGAAACTCACTGTTTCAACCCACTAAATTACCTTTAGTTTATGTTGAGAAATATTCTTAATTTATTTATATTAATGGCATTTCAGTTTTGCAATACAGAAGTTATTAATTTTCTTTCCTTTTTTTGGAAGATAATTATGTTTCCTTCGGTTTCTCAGCGATATTAATTATTTTTTAAATAATATGAGTTTATGATCTCAAATAATCAAATATAATATTGTTTAAACTGATATTTCTGAAGAAAATAATAAGTCTCTTACAAAACAAAAGTACTTGGGATAAAAAAAATCTAATTTCTATGGAGCACTCATGTATAAGGCATAGGCTAAAAAAAACTTTGAAATGAAATTATGAGTAAAAAGATGGGATTTTTATGGAACCTCATAGGAATCATGTCCAACCAAACCCATTCCAAACTCGGTTAAAAATAAAAACATGAGTTAACTATGATTTCATATTTTATTGTTTAATTATTTTCAAAATTACCAAAACTGTAATTAAAGTTGAGAAATTTTAAATTTTTAAGATAACTCTAATGATGTATATGGTGAAACTATTTGATAAACTAGAGTTTAAAAAAAAACTACTTACAAGTATTGGATTGAATTAAAAAAAATTAAATAAAAAATTTAATTTTAATTAATGTACAAATTCATTTAAAGTACTCGTTCGAAAAAATATATTAAATATGACTGTGTTGTTGGTCTGCAATATTATTACAATTCTAAAGCAAAATTTGACAACATCTCAATTATTACATCAAATAAATTTATTATTTATATACATAACATATCCATTTATTAAATATAGATATTTTTTATATTATCATTTTAGAATTAGTTTTTACATTAATTAAAATTAAATTAAATTTCTACTTCTTAAGATAGATCAATGATATATATGATATCACGTACAGATTTGGATTTATTCTAAAAATAAAATTTTCTGAGTCCATTAATATATATATATATATACACACACATTAATGAAATTTTATGTTCAAATTAGCTTTCAACAATTTGACCGAAACAATAACTAAATTGTTTTTTGTTTTACTCATGAGGTTATACAAACCTGAGGCAGAGAAACTCAGGCGTGCCTCGCGACAATGACGGTCCGTACAAAAGCCTCGAAGTGCCTTCAACACTGTTCATTTAAAAATAAATTGTTGAACTAATATTATTTATATCTCAATATGAATTGTTAAATTAATATTAATATATGGTTAAATGGACCAACTACTTGTGAACTTTTAATTTTAAGTTTGATATTTTTTGAACTTTATTTGTTCTCTATTTAGTTATTTTATTATTTTTAGCTGCTATTGAATCTTTTTAAAAAATTCAATTCCTAATATTTTGAGTTAAAATTCTACACAGATATGGAGAATAAATCCAATATATTTTCTGCAAAGATTTTTTGGTCAAGAAGTATATTCTTTATTTTTTAAAGCATTACAAATATAAAAAATTAAAAAATAATCTGAAATGATCTCAAGTTTTTTTAAAACTCCAAATAAATTTTACCGAATAATTTTTATCAAGGACTATTATTTTATTTTTTTTACAAAAAACCAAAGAATTGCTTATATTTAAAAAAAAAATTCAAAAAAGATCAAATCTAAAATCAAAATTTAAGAAATTGATTTTCAAATAGATTAAAGTATAAGAAAATTTTGATTTATTTAAATTTTTTAAAAAATATATTCTAAATATATTAATGTTAACAAAAGATATCTTCGAATTAGCTCAAAAGCCGGTTAGACGGAAAGAAATCAAAGAATAACTAAATTATCTTTAATTGTTGTTTTACTCAGGTTATGCAAACCGAGAGGCAGAGAAACATAGGCATGCCACGTGACATTGACGGTCCGTACAAAACGGTCAACGCGCCTTCAGCACTGGTCTGTTCGGCGACAAGTTTCCTCTTCTGGACGCGCAAACCCCAAGGAAGCAAAGCACCAACTTCATCCTTAGGAGCCCTAAAAGCAAAGCAAAGAATTCCCAGATTCTTTCTTTCTTTGTCAAACAAGAAAACATGCAGAGGTATATATATTGTACTACGTTGTCAATATTATATTGTAGTTTCTAGACGACAGAGATAGAGAGAATTGTTTAGGTTGACGAGGATGGCTTCAGGAGGAGTACTGTCTCGAGAGACGCAGATGTCTATTGAAGAAACGTCCACGTTTCCTGGGTTTCGGTTTGCGCCAACAGATGTAGAGTTGATTTCTTATTATTTGAAGAAGAAGATTGAAGGATCTCCTGAGAAATGGCTTGAAGTTATTCCAGAGATTGAAATTTGTAAACACGAGCCTTGGGATTTACCAGGTTTTTTATTTCCTCGCTTTACTATTTTTCGCTCTTCTTAAAAAAAAAAAAAAAAAACAATTTAAGGTTATATCTGTATTCCTTAAGAGTAAATTATAAAGTAGTCTCTTTAGCTTTGAGAAATGAATTAATTATTTTCATTGTTTCAAAAACCATTTATTAGTCTCTATATTTTTAATTTTCTTATTAATTTTTAATTTATTTTATTTTTTGGTTTAAGAAATGAAATTAAAAAAAAGTATATATATATATTTTGAAAAGAAGATAATTTTTTTGAAATAAAATCATATTAAATTAAGTGCAGTGCAGTCAATGTTTGTTAAAAAATTAAAAAATTATTTTTCTAAATGACTATTTTTTTTTTTTCAGAAGGGATTAATTTATAATTTACTTGTATTTGTTATCAGGGAAAAGGGAAAAAAAAGTGTATTCCATTCCATAAACAGAAGGGAAAAAGAAAAGAAAAACCTTGCATCCACGTGTCATGTTTTGTTCCGGCATGTTTTTGCATGTCGTCCTGCCACTTGGTCATAAAGTGGATGGGTGGGTCCGTGTAACACGTATATAAAATACGTAGCGGTGGGACTCTACCATGTGTATTAAATATGTAACGTTGTGGATTTATATTCTTTTTGGTACCACCTTATTCGGTATTATTTTTAATGCCTTTAATGCCTCAATTTTTGTTTTTTTTATTCCATGAAAAGGGTTTCTCGTATTAGTTTGGACGTTAATCGATATATATATATATATCGATGCTAGCTTTCATAGTCTTGTAAGTTTAAAATCGTTTTGCAAATAGATTTAGTTTGGATCAATTTTATTCTCATAATGGATAACAATGTCCTCATCAAATATTAAGCCATGATAAATCATGTTGAGATTAGGATGATAAACTAGCCAATATTTTTTTTTTAATAGTTGGCAACTGATTAGTGCTGATTATTTTTAACCAGGAAAATCTGTCATAGAATCTAAGAACGAGTGGTTCTTTTTTGTGGCTCGTGGAAGAAAATACCCGCATGGATCACAAAGTAAGAGGGCAACTGAACAAGGTTACTGGAAAGCAACTGGGAAGGAACGTAACGTGATGTCAGGTTCTAATGTGATTGGTACCAAGAGGACTCTTGTGTTCCATACAGGTCGTGCGCCGAACGGGAAAAGAACAGACTGGATTATGCATGAATATTGCATGGATGGAGAATCTAAGGTGATGAATTGTGCTGATATAGCTGAGTTTTTCCGCTATCTTCTATCTAAACTATGGTATAGAGATTAGAGAAAAATATGACATACAATTATATATCCAGATCATCCTGTGCCATGCATGTTAATCGAAATCATGCCTTTAACTGCTAGTTATGAAATATTTGATTAGCTTCGAGTTTATTGACCAAATGCCAAAACTTTTATGATAGTGATTGGTATATTTTCTGATTGAGCTTGAAGTAGGATTTGATGGCTAGTGGACATAAGTACATTTCCGCCGTGTACATTTTCAAGGATACTATGGACTGTGATATTTCTTTTACTTGATTGATTTCTAGTTGAAAAATCAGCTGTAGGCTTTTAATCTGTTGTTTGGTAGTTGAGTGATTCCATGATGTAGATGTAATTTTGATGAGAATGGTTTTCATTCAAACGATAATTAATGAAGTCTACATCTGAATTTCCTTGTCTGTTGCAGGATTCTTTAGTTATTTGCCGCCTGCGGAATAATGAGTTTCGTCTCAATGACGATTCAAACCGCGGTTCTGTAGATCAAAGGCATTTGTCAACCACGCATGATAGTAGAGATGCTGTTTGTGATGGTGGCATTGATCAGGGGGAATACCTGAAGAGGAGACAGCAGCTGAATGCTCTAAGAAGTTTAGTAGTAGCTCCGATTCTTACCCGATTGAGAATTTTTCTTCAGCATACGAATCCGAACTGAAATCATCAACTGATGCTGACTTGGCAGAGTCTTCCCGCCGACAGAAGGTTTGATTATTCGTTTAAAATTGATGTATCAATAAGTTATCCCTTTCTTCTATTTATTTTTCCATCCCGTTAAGAGTTGTCGTTATTTTGATAGCTAGAAAGTTCAACTAGTGTTTTGATTCATGTCGTTCTTAAACTCCAGGATTGTGACAACGATGAAGTTATTTGTGGTGATATACTGAAGGATGATATATATGGTGATATACTGATGGATGATATAATCGAACTTGACGAAACTCTATTGTCTGCCCCTCCTGGGGTCAATCCACCGGTTGAATTCAAGCCTGAGTCTCAAACAACACCTCAGCAGCCAGTTGAATCATTTGTGTCGGAGGCACTTCCTCTATCCTCCATTCCTTCGCAAGGAACAGCAAACCGAAGAATCAACTTAAAGAAGCAAATGCCCGGTACCTCTGAAGCAGAGGCGTTTATTAATAACGGAGATAAGGAAAGCAAGTTACCATGCTCAAAGGAGCCTTCAAAACGTGTGCTTAGTTTCCTCTCCGCAAAGATGAGCCGCCTTCGACTCTTTTCTACAGTTTTTATCCTCCTGATTTTCCTGCTTTTGTTAGTAATTTTAGCCGGACGTTTCCAGAAAGTCAAAAGGAACACCTATGCCTAGCTCCATGTACAGAACCTTCCGGCATTAAATGTAAAAATGTCAGATTGTAAAGATGTTTATGGTTAATAAACCTAGCATGATTAAAGTTTATACAGAAATAGACAATTGTGTCAAAAGTTTTGGCCCATTGGGAAATTCATCCATCAATTTCTGTAAAGAAACGGGCGGTCGCATCCTTCATTTACAGAATGCATCCAGCTTTAGATGGAAATTGGTATCCTTGAAATTGAATCTGGCAGGTCCCAGTATACGAACACCTGCATCTCTGTCATGTTTTTTTTTATTTCTTTGGGCATTGAAAATTCTGCTTTTTTCACATTTATACGGAAATCAAAGGTTAACAAATATCTTTTGATGCTTAGCAATTATAGAAACCACTTGCATCCTCACGTAAGAAGTTCTGACCAGAGTCAACTTCATCATGCTGATGTGGTTTAAATGTATTTTCAATTTACCTGTGCTGATTACAAGCGAATTGTAATGTTTGAAAAGAGGTAAATATTATCGTTTCTATTTTAAATAAAATTATTACTATCTTCAATATTGTGGTACAGTAATATTTGAGTAAAACTAATTTTTTTTTCACCTATGGTTACTTTTGGGCTTACCCAACAAAATATGCAAGTCGTTAAATTTATGCATCTTACAATGAATTATGAATAAGGATGAGCTAATTGCATTTGATTTTTATTTTCAAGAAGGGCTATAATATTTTCTTCCTTTCGCATTTGATGATTTTCTATCATTGTTTATGTTTCAACGTCTGAGGCCACCGCCATATTATTTACTTTACTTTGATCAACACAAATGGGCAAAATATTCTCTAATTAACTCGGTTCACATCTAATTTATTTGTTTATTTAATACTCATTTAATAATGCTAAAATTACTTTTATCAAAATATTTTATTTTAATTTTTGTAATTAAAAAAAATTATTTTGGTCTTAAAAATTAATGTTTTTACAATTTGGTCCTCAATATATAATTTTTTTACTATCAAAGTTTTCATAAAAAAATATTTTTATTTTTGTTTTATAAATTTTATGCAATCAAGTCTATACATATTTTTTTTCAAAAAATTCAATGAATATTAATAATGTATAAACAGAGTATCAATATTTAAAAACCATATTAATAAATATATATTTTTTTATTTAATTTAATTTTTATTAGATATTTTTAATAAATATTTTTTGAACGAGGCAGAGCCCATATATGTTTCATCTTATTGCCGCTCCTAGTTATAGTTTTTGTTGTGAACGCAGTCTTGCGATCCGTGGGATGAGTGATATTGTCAAGGATCAGGGTTTACTGCCTACTGCTCTCAAATTACTAACCATATTTGAATCTCTTATAGTATCGGACTTGAATTTCTTAATTGGGTTGAAAATACTAAATATTAAAGAAGATTTGCAAGTCCGATCGAGTATCCTCGAGATCCATGCATGTTCGACAAAAGCATTTAGTGTTTTGGCACGACCAACTCAGAAAATGGAGGACTAATTAGATGGTTCAAGAATTCACGTAATTAAACCCGATTTTCTTCTCTATTTGCTTCTTTTTTAGCCAAAAAAGCATTTAAAAATACAATTCAAACCGCTTCACTAACCATCCACACCTCTAGAAAGGCAACATGTCAATCTCATGAGACAACATATTAATATGGTGAGAAATTAATAGCGGTTTAGTTAAATTGAAAAGGAATTTATTTATTTATTTATTTACAAATAATCGAAGTATCCCACTCAATAAAGGGAAACTTATTAGTTTTTTTTTTTGACAAGAGAAGTGGATTAGGGTAGGTTATAATTATCATAAAACTATATATCTTAATCCAAAATTTTAAATTGTTGGATGGTTGTTTCATTATTAAGATCTTAATAACGTCATAAAATTAATTTAACTAAAAAATTTTAAATTTTTAAATAAAATCTTATAATATAATTTTTATTTTTTATTGATGTTACTCAAGAAAGAGATGTTGAAAATGCTGTTGATTCAGCTGTTTCTAAGCATGGAAAGTTGGACATCATGTTCAATAATGCAGGTGTTTTAGACGCACCGAAACCAAACATACTAGACAATGACAAGGCTGAATTTGAGAAGGTCATTAGTGTTAATCTAGTGGGTGCTTTCTTAGGCACCAAGCACGCGGCCCGTGTAATGATCCCAGCTCGACGAGGTAGCATAATATCAACTGCTAGTGTTTGTGGAGTGATTGGAGGCGTTGCAACACATTCCTACACGAGCTCAAAGCATGGCGTGTTAGGGTTGATGAGAAATACAGCTGTGGAGTTGGGGCCACATGGCATCCGTGTCAACTGCGTGTCGCCCTACGTTGTTTCGACCCCATTGGTTAAGAAGTTATTTAAGCCATCTGATGATGTAAATCGTGTTTACTCTAATCTTCAGGAAGCAGTGCTGAAAGCAGAAGACATTGCTGAGGCTGTTCTTTATCTGGGAAGTGATGAGTCCAAGTATGTTAGTGGACATAATTTGGTTGTAGATGGGGGTTTCACTGTTGTAAATCCAGGTTTTTGTATGTTTCCACAGTCCATGTGAATTTCTGATCTTGTTGTTGGTCCCTTTTGATGCTTGAATTTCCTTCTAAATTAATAAAGCTTTTAAAGCAAATCAATTCCCTCTAGTTTATTCGTCATTTGACTATGAATTATAAGAGCTAATTATTGGTTATGAAATATTTGATTTTTTTGTCAGTAGAAAAGAATTTGTTAACTTTTTTTCATTCTGAATCTTGAATCTCGAATTTTTTTTGTTAAATGCTAAAAAATAATTTAGAACTATTTCGGATAGGATGAGACTATGAGAATGATTTTTTATATTTTCTAATATTCAAATGTCAAGTGTATATAAAATTGCAATACTCATCTATAACAAGCTATATGAAGATGAAAACGCTAGTTCAATTATTTCAAGCAAAAACTACATGATAAGTATATCAATTTTGAATTATTTTTTAATTGAGTATATCAATTGTTTTTTCAGTATATTAATTTTTTTGAAGATATCAATCAAATTTTTTCGTCTAATTTTCTATTTAGTAATGATGTGATAGTTAATAAAGAAGATTAAATGATTATATTGTCTTTTTTTCTTTCTTTTCTCCTCTCCAATTCTTATTATTCTTTAATTATTAATTGAAACAAAAGAAAAATAAAGCTATAATTTAGTTTTTTTTTTTTTTTGTTAACTACCATATCATTATTAGCTCAAAAATTGAATGAAAAAACTTGATTGATATTTTCAAAAAAATTGAAATATTGAAACGAAAAAATATAAAAGCTAATATACTCGATTGAAAAAAATTCAAAATAATATAGTTATTATGTAGTTTTTCTATATATTATTTCAGCTTTCATTATTTAATTATAGGACACTTTCTATTTAGTGTTACTTTTCTACATAAGGGATGGACCAATTATATAGCTAGGCAACGAGAGGCCAATGTGATTTCTGATCTATTCATGAAAATGATGGTACCTTATAAAGTAGTGAAGAAGAAGCAATTTCTGTATATTGATTTAGTACACTTGAATGTGACTTTCAGGAAATGATTAAGCCATAACTTTAAGTACTAAGATTGTCTTCTTTATATAATTATTTCAGTTTCAAGATTTCTAGTCTTGATAACGAAACAGAAGATTTCTATTGAAAGAGAGTTTCTAGCTCTAAGGGATCAAATTAACATGGGAAGTGCCTCACTACTTTCAGCAGTTGCAAGAAGGTGATCTTAGTTTTGTTAACTCCTCTTGATTTATTCTTTCAGTTGTTCATTAATAAGATAGACTTGAACAAGCCTGGATCCTGTCTTGTCTTCTGCTTATAGGATAAAAATTTAGGTACTAGGCACCTAGAAAAGTATACAAAAAACTACTAGGCTCTGTAATGTTTCAAGTTGCTCCTTTTCCTTCATTTGCTATATATGTCAAGCTAGCTTAATAGAGTTGATATGAGCTTTATCAATTGGGCAACTTAAGCATGGATGTGGTATTAATTAGTCATTTTAACACCTTAAAAATGGATTATATTAGTCAATTTGATTGAAAAGGGGAGGAAAAAAACTTCCAGTAAGGTTTGTAATCTTTTCAAGTTGCTCCTTTTCCTCCCATCGTTTCTTTATGTCAAGCTAGTTCTACCATGCAAGAAATTTTTCTTTAATCAAGGCAGACACTTCAAATTATCAACATGGCGCTCGATTTTGTCATGGCTGAATTATGTGGAATTTTATAGGCTAGAAGGTAAAGTAGCGTTGATCACTGGTGGGGCTCGTGGCATAGGTGAGGCCACTGCAAGACACTTCTTCAAACATGGAGCAAAAGTAGTAATTGCAGATATCCAAGATGACTTAGCTCATTCTGTTTGCAATGATTTGGACTCTGAATCTGCTTCTTTTATCCACTGTGACGTTACGAAAGAAAAGGATGTGGAAAATGCTGTGAACACCGCCATTTCGAGGCATGGTAAGCTAGACATTATGCTCAACAATGCTGGTATAGTAGGAGTTGTGAAAACCAACATGGTTGATGTTTCCATCTCTGAATTCGAGGAAGTCATTAGGGTTAACCTATTAGGTGCTTTCTTGGGCACCAAACATGCAGCTCGTGTGATGAAACCTGCTCGACGAGGCAGCATAATTACAACTTCAAGTGTTTGTGGTATTCTTGGAGGTTTTGCATCACATGCCTACACCAGTTCAAAGCATGGGGTGTTAGGGCTAATGAGAAATACAGCTGTTGAGCTTGGACAATTTGGCATTCGTGTAAATTGTGTATCACCATACACTGTCGCAACGGAAATGTCAAGAAATTTCTTCAAGCTAGAAGATAGTGAAATTCACAGTCTTTATTCAAACCTTAAGGGGGCAATTCTTAGGCCTGAAGATGTGGCTGAAGCCGCTCTTTATCTGGGAAGTGATGACTCAAAATATGTGAGTGGTCATAATCTTGTCGTAGATGGAGGCTTTACCATTGTAAATTATG